AAAAAAAAAAGCAACACTGGGACATCCATCCGGGACGCTTACTAGGCACAGTGCTTCGTACCACACCAACCAGCCAAGCACAGCCAAGCCAAGCCAGTCACTGACCGACTGCCACCTACACGAGCCACCGGCTTGACTTGGCCTGCCCGTCCGGTACGGCACCTATATATGGTACCAAAGACCACAACACAGCAGCAGCAGCAGCAGCACAGCAACCGCCGCGCAGAGTTCTACGCCCTCGTATACCGACCGTTGCCGTGCTTTCTGCTTTCTGCCGCCTACCAGGAAGGACGTCGAACGTTCCCGTTATCGTTGTGGTGGATGGATGGTCTTTCGGGCGAAGACGTTCATCTTCGACTGGCTGTCATGTTGTTGTCCGTGGACAGCAAGCGTTCCGGATGATGCTGGTCCCCACGGGCATGATGATGCTGATGGTGATCACCACCTAGGATGTTTCACCAACTAAACTACATCGAAGACAGATGAATCGAGGTGGATCGTGAAGGCAAACACAAGAAGCTTGTCCACAACGGATTCCGAAATCAAGGATGAACATTTCAGGCGTCATGACAACCTCCCAGCCGGTTGAGACGTACTTTAGGTTGTGCGCGCTTTGAGGGCGTACATAGGTCGTTTACTACCTAAAGTCGGGCATGCATGCGTGCATCTACACCATCTAAAACCCTAGACCCTTTTCCACACACCCACACCCACACCCCTCCCTCCCCTCCTCGCTCGCTATTAGCTCGCTCAGACAACAACCCCCTGCCTAACGCGCACCGCCCTCCCCCGCACCCACACCGCGAGCGTGTTCCGCTCATCGCCACCATACACCCACTTCGCGACGCAGTCGGCCAGCGACTCGGTGCCGAAGACGTCGACGGGTATATCAAGATCTCCTGTATCCCCCACCCCCCCCATCTCCCCTTCTGTGGTTGTAGGGCTAGAGGCAAGGGCATTCAGCCCCACCATCTGCGCATCCCACTCCATGCCCACCGCGAACCCGCCCACCTTGTCGGCGAGCGAGAGCACGGCGGCCCCGCCCCGCGTCGCGAGGTACAGCGCTTCGGCGTGCGTGAGCTTGGCGCGGTCGGGGTCGGCGTTGCCGTTGCCGTTGCAGCAGCTGCTGCTGTCGGTTTCGGTGTGGCCGTTTTGTTTGCCGCTGCTCTCTTTGCTTGCACCGCTCGCTCCACTCGCCACCTCCTCCGCATCCATAATCGCACGATGCCGCGACGCCCAAACCGCATGCCTCACAGCCTCCAACACGCTCACGCTTGCCCCAGCACTAACATCGGTCCCCAGCCCCACCGTCACGCCCGCATCCAGCAGCCTCCTCACCCCCGCAGCCCCAGACCCCAGCGCCGTATTGCTCGCCGGACAATGCGCGACCTTTGTCCCCGTGCGCGCCAGCTCCGCCCGCTCCTCCGCAGAAACGTGCACTGCGTGCGCGAGCACGGTGCGCGGCCCCAGCAGCCCCGCCCGCCCATATACGTCGACGTAGTGCGCCGCCTCGGGAAACAATTCCTTCACCCACGCAATCTCGCCCGCGTTCTCGGCCACGTGCGTCTGCGCCAGCAGGCCCGGCGAGCGCTGCAGCAGCTGCCCCAGTGCGGCGAGGGTGTCGCGCTCGCACGCGGGCGCAAAGCGGGGCGTCAGGATCGGGGCGACAAGGCCGCGGCCGGCGTCTAGTGCTTGCACGGCGGCGATGGCGTCGTGCGTGGCTGCGAGCGCGGCGGCGCTGTCGGCGTCGCGGTACCAGTCTGGGCAGCGCGGGGCGGGGGCGTCCATGCAGACGCGGCCGACGAAGGCGCGCTGGCCGGCGGCGAGGCAGAGCCGGGCGAGCAGTGCGGTGGCCGGCACGTGGATCGTCGCGTAGTAGGCTGCCGTGGTGGTGCCGTGGCTGAGGGTACGGGCGACGCAGCGCGAGTAGACGCGATGGGCGAGGGGGAGCGACGAGAGCGAGGATTCGGCGGGGAAGGTGTAGGTTGTTAGCCAGTCGAGGAGGGTGCTCGTGCCGAAGAGGCCGGCGTTGGGGTATTGTGAGGCGTGGATGTGCGTGTCTGTTGCTTGGTTAGTCGGTGTACACGTATTGTAGATTGATGGAGCAAATCACGAGGTAGGTGGGTAGGTCAGATTAGGCAGTATGCAGGTAAGCCACGCACCTATGAAGCCGGGGAAGAAGAAGCCAGCCGCGTGCCGGATGCGGACGACGCGCGCGCCGGGCCAGTCCCCTCCCTTTGCACCGAGGAGCTGTGCGGCAGCAGCATCAGAATTCTGGACGTCCCGCTCGACAAAGGCAATGATGCCGTTCTCATCGACGCCGATGGCGCCGGTGGCGCAGATGTCGAGGTCCTGCAGTGAGACGCTGTGCACAAAGGGGCCGACGTAGAGGGCCTTGGAGATGGGGCGGGCGGCGGCTGCTTCGGGCGGGGTGACGGCTGTCGCTGGCATCTTGGGGGTGTCTTACAAGTAGCCGACTAGGGGTGGAGGCGAAGATCAATGACGACAAAATTAAAAGAGTAGTTCTTTCTTCAAAGCGGGCAGACAGACGGACGGGCTCAAGACAGAAATAGAAGGAAAAAAGAAAGCGCTCAGAAAGGCAGCGAGATGGGCAGGAGGCTGCTGTGATGGATGGAGGTACTTATCGGCGGGCAGACGAGCACATGGCCGCCGGCGGCCCGCTTGGCTCGGACGGGCAAGGGGCCGCCGGCCACCTCGGCCTCCTCGGCCGCGGGGAAGCGTAGGTTGTTTGTCTAGATCTCTGCTTGTCCCTACATGGCGGCAGGGAGGCGTTGCTCAGCTGCTCGTTGTTGCACAGCGGCTGCATCGACGGCGGGGCTGACTGCATTGCCCCGCGATGCACGTGATTGGTTGCTTATCCGGCAATTTACACTTGCCTACTCTCTTTCCATTCACTTTGTCTTTCCATGTCGCTTTTGCATTCCGAGCCTAGCGCCTGTGAGGGCCAGTTTGACGGCGCCGCCGTCGACTTCACCTATGCCGGTGGCCGCGGAGAGCTCGGGCTGCGGTACCGCGCGAACGGCTCCACCGAGGCCATCGACGGCCAGAGCATCATCGCCTGCATTGCCGACGGCGACGAGCACGCGCTGCTGTACGTCGACGCGCCAACCGACGCCCAAGCCCTGCCCGCCTTCAAGTCTGCCCGCGCCCGCAACCTGCCCCCCGCCTTTGTCGCCGACAACCTCCTCCGCCAGAAGCCCGTCGCGACCCCCGACGCCGGCATCCATGTCGTCGTCTCTACCAAGTCCGGCACCTGCCTCGCCGAGCAATTCTACAACGACGCGCTCGTGCCGCTACTGCGCGCGCTTGGCCTGCAAGAGGACCTCGACTACGCCGTCCACCGCACCCGGTCCGCAAATACCGTCACCGAGCTGACGCGCGACATCTTCCTCCCCGCCGCCAACGACGGCGTGACCCAGCGCATTATTGTCCTGGCGGGCGATGGCGGCATCCTAGACATCACGAACGGCTTGCTGGCGGGTGCTCGGAGTGAGCGCTTCGTCCCGCCCGCTGTCGCCCTGCTGCCCGTGGGGACGGGAAACGCGCTGGCGCACTCGTCAGGCGTGACGGACGACAATACATGGGGACTAGCGACGCTTGCGCGGGGAGAGACCGCCGCCCTGCCTTTGTTGCGGGCGACCTTCTCGCCCGGCGCGCGGCTGCTGGTCGACGAGGGCAGCAGGGAAGAGGAATTGCCACTGCGCGACTTGGACGGCAGGCCGATCGTGTACGGCGCGGTGGTGTGCAGCTGGGGCATGCACGCCGGCTTGGTCGCCGACAGCGACACGGCCGAGTACCGCAAGTACGGCGTGGAGCGGTTCCAGATGGCAGCCAAAGAGGCGCTATACCCAGCTGACGGCGGCGAGCCGCACCACTATCGCGGCAAGGTGTCGCTGCTCAAGGTGAGCGAGGGCCTGGACAGCTGGACGCCGCTGGAGCGGCGCGAGCATGCCTACGTGCTGGCGACGCTGGTGTCACGGCTGGAGAAGACGTTTATGATATCGCCGTCGTCGGCGCCGCTGGGCGGGGAGTTGCGGCTGGTGCATTTCGGGCCCATGGCGGGCGACGAGGTGATGCGCGTCATGGGTCTGGCGTATCAGGGCGGCAAGCACGTCGACGAGCCGGCCGTGGGGTACGAGGCGGTGGATGGGGTGCGGATTGATTTCGAGGGCGCGGAAGAGGAGGCGCGTTGGCGGCGGATCTGCGTGGATGGGAAGATAGTGCGGGTGGAGAAATCTGGGTGGGTGGAGATGCGACGGGAAAGGGCTCAGGTGGTGGAGCTGGTGAGAGACACGTAGTTGTAGAAAGTTGAAGCGCGACGCGACAAGACAGCGCATGTGACGCAATCGAGCAGGCGAGCTAGCTGACACGGGGCGCGTGACGGATCCTGCAGAAGCACAAAAGGTGAATGGATAGGAGCAGGAGTAGAGGTAGGAGTAGCGGGAAATAGATATAATTATTACTTCACCGCCGCCACCACCGCCACTAGCAGTAAGCCCAAAAGTGCTGCCCCCCGAGTGAGCGGAATGCTGCTCCCTCCGAGGACTTACCAGCTCGCCCAAACCCCCGACAAGGGCGCCAAACAAGCCGCTTCGCCCTTTCTGCACTGCACAAAGTCGCGGAAGGACAAGCTCGCGGCCCAGCAGAGTGCGCGCAGGATGCTGCTCGTGCACCAGGCCGGAAGCGTCAAGGTGGGAGAGGTTGTCCGGTAAGCCCGTCCGCCCGCTGCCGCAACCCAATGCAACGCAATGCCTGATGAGATGAAGCTACACCCTGACCTACACGCCCGCCGAAGACCGCATCCTCCCTTCGCCCCAGCACCTGTGTGTCAAAGTCCGCAACACTTCGGCCATCCCCCTGCGCGCCGCATACCTCCACGGGCCCTACACCCTGCACGTCGCCGCCTACCCCTCGACCTTCAACCCGAACCGCAAGGTCGAAAATCCCAAAAAGGACGGCGTGCCGGACTTTGAGCCGAACCTCAAGGCCGGCGGCTCCTTCACCACCACCCTCGTCGTCCCCGAGGACATTCGCGAGCATGGCGGCAATCGCGCCGCCACCAGCGACGACGGCCAACCCAAGAGCGCTACCTGGATAATCGAGATACATTCGCAGATCCTGTTCTCGAATTCGGCGTCGGTCAACTTCGAGGTTCTGGTCGGCCGCGACGAGCGCTCCGTCGAGTACGGCGTCGCGACGGGCGCGGCGGCCACACACGGCCAGGTCCAGGATCACCAGCAGGGCCAGCACAAGGGCCGCCGCCCTTCGCAGCCAAAGGGCGTCTATTCGCGTGCTGTCAAGCTCGTTGTCGACGACACGACGAGTCTTTGGAACAAGCCCGCGCTGCCGGAATGGGAGGATGAGGGCGAGGACAAGGGCGCGGAGCGCGCGTCACAAGACGGACATACTGGCAAAGAATCGCAGCAGGAGAACAAGGTCAAGAAGCAGAAGAATATCCACGTCGTTATTATCACGCATGGCTTGCACAGCAATTTGGGAGCGGACATGCTTTATTTAAAAGAGAGCATTGATGCCTCAGCAGCGCAAGCGCGGATGGATGCCAGGAAGAGGAAGAGAGCGGCAAGAAAAGGGAAGCCTGCGCCCGAAGAGTCGGACAATGTCGCCGGCACGTCGACCGCTCCGCTTTCTGGAGGGCAGGAGGACATTGACGAGGACGCGGCCGAGGACGACGATTCGGATGACGAAGAAGTCATCGTGAGAGGCTTCGGCGGCAATGCCGTTCGCACCGAACGAGGCATCCAGTACCTAGGGAAGCGCCTCGCCAAGCACATTTTGGAATTGACGCATCCGGACCAGCCCTTCCTGCCGGTGAAGAAGACGCTGAAGAAGAAAATGTCGCATACTTTTGCCGGCTCGAAACAGGACGAGGACGAGGGCATACCGGCGCACGGGGGCAGCAGCGTCCACCAAAGCCGTCCCGGCTCCGAGGAGAAGCCCCGGGCGTACCGGTATACGAGCATCAGCTTCGTTGGGCATTCGCTCGGCGGCCTGGTCCAGACGTACGCCGTGGCCTACATCCACAAGCACTCGCCCGAGTTTTTCCTCAAGATCAAGCCCGTCAACTTCATTTGCCTGGCTTCGCCGCTGCTGGGCCTGAGCAATGAGAACCCGATGTACGTCAAGTTTGCGCTGGACTTTGGTCTCGTCGGACGTACCGGGCAAGACCTGGGCTTGACGTGGCGGCCGCCGACGCTGGCGCGGAACGGCTGGGCGGCCATGGTCAGCGGGTTTGGTGGGCAGAAGGACCAGAAGCAGGAGGACCCGGGCGCGAAGCCGCTGCTGCGGATCCTACCGACGGGTCCGGCGCACCAGGTGCTACGCATGTTCCGCAACCGCACCGTCTACTCGAACGTGGTCAATGATGGCATCGTGCCGCTGCGCACGAGCTGCCTGCTCTTCCTGGACTGGCGGGGCCTGGGGCGCGTGGAGAAGGCGCGGCGCGAGAACGGGCTGGTGGGCACGCTGGCGAGCTGGGGCTTCGCGGAGCTGACGGGACAGAACTCGTCGCCGAACCCGTCGCGGCTGGCGATTCCCGACATGTACCAAAACAACGACGACAGCGGGACGAGCACGCCCATAACGCCGATTGGCGAGGGCCCGTCGACGACGGTGCCGCAGCCGGGCGAGGACGCGGTTAACCAGGACGAGACGGCCCAGGCGAGTAGCGAGCCCCAGTCGCATCAGTTTTTGTCAGACAATCAGCGTGAGACGGTGCAGAGCGCGACGTCGCCGAAGAAGGCCGGCGCGTCTAACCAGAGCAGTGCTTCGAATACGAATCCGATCACGGGGTTCATCAACTATCTAAAGGGGGCGACGACGACGCCCAAGGACAAGAGAATGTACAAGCGCAGCCAGACACTCATGGCCATGGGAGACGAGGGGCAAGAGGGTAGGTCACACTCGTCAGAAGAAGAGCAGCAGCAGCAGCAGCACGGTAGGCCGCCCGCAACCCGAGGTGACTCTTCGACAGAGGATGCGCACAACGACAACGCTCCGCCAAAGACGACGCTCTTCGAGATGGCGGGCGACATTCTGAACCCGCCGATCCCGCCCATGAGCTGGATCATCGACCCGGCGACGCGCTCGCGCACAATCTTCCACGACCGCGTCTACCACCCGGAAGACATTCCCCCGCCACCGCTCAAGCGGCCCGGCCGCATGGCGCGCTCCTTCTCCGAGCACAGCGTAGGCAGCACGTCGACGGCCGAGACGGCGCACACGGCGACGGACGGCAGCGGCATGCGCGTCGAGGAGAAGATCGCGCGCTCCTACCACAAGGACCTCTCGTGGCGCAAGGTGCTGGTGCGCCTCGAGCCCGACGCGCACAACAACATCGTCGTAAGACGCATGTTCGCCAACGCCTACGGCTGGCCCGTCATCCAGCACCTGTGCGACACGCACTTTGCCGACACGTGGACGGCGCGCACCCGCGACGAGCGCGAGCCCGCGCGCGACCGCGCCAAGCGCGCCCTCGTGCCGGGCCGGGCCGAGGAGGTCAGCGGGCAGCGGGCGCGGGGCACGCCTCCGTTGGGGGAAGGGGGCGAGGTCGAGCTGCGCGAGGAGGCCGACGAGTTGGCGCCGTTGAGGGAAGCGGAGCGTGGGACTGGCTTGACGCTGAGTCCGTCCAGCGCGGCTGCTGCCCCGCGCGATGCCGATGCCGCACTGGCGGCGCAGCGCCTGCGCAGGCAGGACAGCGAGAATTGGGACGATGCGTATTTTGAGGGCGGCGAGGACTCGTCGGATGATGAGGGTCGTGGTGGGAGCAATGGGGGTGGAGGGTACTTTCAGCGGTTCTTGTCGCCTGCGCCGAGGGGGAAGAAGGGTGCGAGTGCGGGGGCGGGGGCGAAGACGGGGCAGCAGCAGCAACAGCAGCAGCAGCGCGCGGTATCGGGTCCCACGTCGGCGCCGGGGTCTGCCTCTATTTCTACATCCACTCCCACTCCCGCGGGCCCAACAACAACATCAACAACAGCAAAAAGCACCGCCCCAGACAACGAACAAACGTCGCGCGACGAGGCAGAGCTCGCGTTCGACGCCGCGCGCGCCGGCACCTCGGCGGCCGAGATAGCGGATTTCCTGACCAGCAGCCCGCGGCCGTCGATGCAGGTGCAGGTGGAGGGGCACAGGGGCCTAGGCTGGGCGTCAGACTCTAGGTCAGGCTTCGGTGATAGCGAGGGCGAGGATGATGGCGAGAATGAGAGGGAAAGAGGCAGGGGCAAGGAACGGGGAAGTGATCCCCGCAAGGACCGCAGCGCCATTGTGCTGAGTCCGCTGCCTTCGCCCGGGTTGGGCGGTGCTGGCGGTGATGGTGGGGGGAAGGCGCCGATGGTGTCGCCTAGGCTGGGGGGAGGGGGCGGTGCTGGTGCGAGTGGGGGTGGGTAGACGGTGGCTGCGGTTGTAGGGTGGATTGATTGATTGATTGATTGTGGGGCGGGGGCGTTCATGGCTGGCTGTTTGGCTGTTTGGCTGCTTGGCTGGGTGGGTGGATACATGCATTGCATTGCATTGCATGACATGATACGATCGATATATATAAACGGTATGGCGACGGAGTGGAGTTACCTATGTTCTGTTTTCTTGCTTCTTTCTTTCTTTCTTCTTCTTTTTGCCTCTTTCGTCTTCCTTCTTTCTGTTTGCCTCGATTCAACACGCCCCGCCCCGCCACGCCACGGTTGCAACGCAAACAGCAGATATACACGTCATGTTCATCATATTCGTCAGCATGCAGATACAGATACAGATACAGATAGAGCAAGAGGAAGAAATGTAGGGGGGTTGGCGTGGTTTACGTTTGGTGTTGGTATAGATAGATGGGATTGCATGTTGTGTTATAGCGAATGAAGGGAGGGAGGGTGTTGGATTGGATTGATTGAGTGATTGTGGTGGTCGTATGTACCGTACCTACTTGGGAATGTTACTAGGTACTCACTTGATTTGCTCGTGTATTTCTGGTGTCTGTTGGATGGATTTGTGCTGCTTGTGGAGGAAGAGAGAGAGTGAGAGAGAGTGTGTGAGAGAGAGAGAGAAAGAGAAAGAGAGAGCGTTGTGGGTTACATATCCTGTGTTGATGTTGATGTTGATACCATCTCAGGGGCCGAATGCCGAGTGACCACAATTTGCACTACACGCACTCGACACATTCAAACAACGCATCGATTCTGTAGCTAGCTAGCTATCTAGCTAGTAGTGAACTAGCACCGTCCGTTCACTCCCCTCCCCTCCCCCATCCCCCTCCACTCATGATCCATCCATCCGCAGCACGCAGCAGCCCCTATGACTCTATTACTGCTGCCCATGTACACTCCCCTCCTCTCGTCTCGCACTCCCCATCGTGCGTCTGCTCGGCACACACCTAAGCAAACATATTAATCGTCTCCTTCTTCTTGGCCTGCACCTCCAAAATGGCATCCACATAGTGCTCATGCACAATCTTGTTCTGCCCGCTGCGCAGCGCAATCATGCCCGCCTCGACGCACACGGCCTTGAGCTGGGCGCCGCCAAACTCGTCCGTGGAGCGCGCCAGCTCGGGCCAGTTGACCTTGTCGTCGACCGTCATCTTGCGCGAGTGGATGCGCAGAATCTGCGCGCGCGCCTCCTCGTTGGGCAGGGGGAACTCGATCTTGCGGTCCAGCCGGCCCGAGCGCAGCAGCGCCGGGTCCAGCACGTCGACGCGGTTCGTCGCCGCCAGCACCTTGACCCGGTCGTCCGACGCGAAGCCGTCCAGCTGGTTCAGCAGCTCCAGCATCGTCCGCTGCACCTCGCGGTCGCCCGACTTCTCGCTGTCGAACCGCTTCGTGCCCACCGCGTCCAGCTCGTCGATGAAGATGATCGACGGCGCCTTTTCCTTGGCCAGGGCGAAGCAGTCGCGCACCAGCTTCGCGCCGTCTCCGATGAACATCTGCACCAGTTGCGGGCCCGCCAGCTTCAGGAACGTGGCGTCCGTCTGGGCGGCGCAGGCACGCGCCAGCAGCGTCTTGCCCGTACCGGGAGGTCCGTACATCAGTGCACCTGTCAAACGTAAAAAAGTCAGTATGTGTGGTTGACAGCGGGGCGGCATGGGCCGACGACTTACCCTTGGGCGCCTTGATGCCAATCTTCTTGAACCGCTCGGCCTCCTTCATCGGCCATACTATCGCCTCGACAAGCTCTTCAATCTGCTTGTCGAGACCGCCGACATCCGTGTACTTCTCCGTCGGCTTCTCGTCCACCTCCATCGCCTTGACCCGGCTGTCGTACTCGGCGGGAAGCGTGTCCAGAACGAGGTACGAGTCCTTGTTGACGCCGATGAGGTCGCCCGGCTTCAGCTTCTCGTGGTCGACCAGGCCGATCAGAGGAAGGAAGATGGTCTGGCGTGTCGACGTCTTGATGACCGCCGACTTGCCGACACGGGTGGCGTCCAGGTCGATGTTGGCGCCCTCCTCGGCCGCTTCGGCCGCGACGTCGAGGTCGAGGATTTCGACAACGTTGCCGACGAGGTACGGTAGTTGTCTGTGAATGGCTTGTCAGCTCTCTCTCTCTAGTTGACCTGTGCGGAGGAGGCACCGGCGGGCGTTTCCATCAAACGGCCGTCGCCGCCATTAGAGCCAACGCACCTGTTGTTCTCAATCTTGTCCATGTTGTCCTTGATCTTCTCGAGCATCGTCGCTTTCTCGTGCGATAACCGCTGGAACTCGCTCTTCATGATGCGCATGTCGTTCTCGAGCAGTCGCCGCCGGGAGTGGATGTCCCGCGTGCTCGAGTTGAGAATGTCAGCATCCAGGACGTCCTCCTCCTCCTTCGACTCCTCGGCCGTGTCCTTCATCTCGGAGTCGCCATTCTGGTTGGGCTTCTTGCCATCCTTGTCGCCCTCATCCTTTCTCTCCTCCTTGCCTTCGCGCTCAAGGTTGTCGAGGTCCTCGAGCGTGGACATTGCGGCGTGCGGGTATCAGGGATCGTGTGCTTTAACGTAAGAGTGCTTGGCAAGGTCTGGGTGACCGTGGGTGGATGTGAAAGCGTGCGACAAAGGTCGGGGGCGTGGTGGGATGAGCTTGGTGTAGGTTTGTAAGGTACAGCTCGCTGACGATAGCCACATGAAGCTCTCGGGCTTGGCGCGCTAACTAGCGGCGATCCGTCACCACCAACATCATGTCAACACAGTCGGAGGTACACTTCCTTGGACTAGTCGTTTCACTTGTAGTGCAATTGTTCTTTTCTCAATCCGTTCTACAATTGCACCGGATAATCTATCCATCCCCTCCGGCATTTGCCCGCCCCCCAAAGTACCGGTTCGACATGTCCATCTTCTGGCGCCCCAGAAGCAAACTGATGCCTTCACGCACCGATGTTTAAATTGGGTCCTCGGCTATTTTGTACTCTGATCTGTAGCGCGACATGTAGTCATCGCGGTTGACTGTGATAGATCAGTAAATCGAATGCAAAGGGCACCGTGCTTTTACGTACTGTAACCACCACACATCCGTCTCTTTCCAGTGAACGCCGTCCGACCATGGAGTACGCGCCAGTTGTCGAAGACTGAGGGGGACCATGTCAGCAGAATGCTTTTGGGGGCCGTTAGTGGATTAAACATACTTAGTGCGCGCCCTGGCACTAACTGTGCCCGATACTCGTTCTCGGGTCTTTTCAAGATATCATTCCATTTCCTAGTGTTCAGGTGTCAATGAACGCTACACCTTACAATTTTTTAATGAAGACCAATCTTACCTGGCTGCTTCGTACCATAACTCCGCGACTTGAAAGGAGCAGTCAATACCGGCCCTGTCCGAGTTGTTCCACCTAACCTGAACGAGCCGCCTGCCATGGCGCATGAATACAGGGAGTGGCTTGTATGGCTGAATCCTGACACCCTCGTTGCCACTGGCGTGGCTGTTGACAGGGACTGTGCAGAGAACAGCAAACGCTGTGCGATCCTCGTTGTACAGTTGATCAGCCGCTTTGAAACCGTCAACGAGGATTGATTCTCCGCCCTCGCCTTCTGTATGAGAAAGCAAATGGAACATCTGCAGACCGGCAGGGTCGGAGAAGTAGGTGTTGTCCGTGTGCGCATCTAGTGCGATGTCTGTGTACGCAGTATCTTTTGACGCCAGGTCGGACGTGAAGTCCCAAAATCCACCTGCGCCGATATAAGTTTTGATTCTTGTCATCAATAGTATCAACCATACCGTAGTGCGTGTTGCGGATAAAGGCTATTTTTTCAAGCAACTCTTGTGTGGCCTCAGGTGTAACCGGACATCCGTCGACATAGGCGAATCCAAACCTCCGCTGACGGCACCGTCAATTGCATAATCGGAAAGTGTTTCCGAAAACTTACTAGTAAATGTATCCACGACTTCAATCCTTTAGGGCGCTGCATCACGTCCTTGTATGATATGGTAGGGGGGGAATCCGCGATGGAAGAGCCCCATAAAGTGGGACTGACGTTGCGTTAGTCTATCATCGAGTAGTGGGTGGAGTAAATATACCGATATTCTCCTTCCCGGTCATGCGTTCGATGAGACCTGTAGTTCAATCTGGTGAGAGCGTTATAGCTATACTCGCTTACGTGGCCGTCACTGACTGTTGCAAGTTAGGGAACTATTATGTTACATGTGATAATCATAAACTAGGTACGCACAATTGACTCGGACTGATTTGCCTTCATCAACACAAGACTCTATGCTCAAATTGGCGGGTAGCGGCACGTAGGTCAGTACTCGTAACGTAAATCAGATTGCGGAGCTTACTGCAAAGGTGTCAAGGAGACGTTGCTTCGTAACTGGATGTACGCATTCGGGACATTTACAATGGTCACTGCGGTCTATCAGCCACAAATGGCGATGGGAGGTCGCTTGACTGCTTACCGAAGGAGGATGGGTGGACTGTTTGCATCATCAGCATTTTTGTTTTAACGGCATCAAACTGCAGAACTACTCACATGCGAGACAAGGGATAGCCCGGAGTGCCATCTATGCACACTTTGATTGCGTTGGGCTCGACAACCGGCCTCGCAGGAAACTTAATATGTGGTGGAACGTTGATGTACTGTTGCGCCACGCAAAGTTAAGATATTGTAAGCAGGTGGAAAAGATATATTGGCAGGGAATGTCTTACAGTCCTGGGAGACCGGGTTACAAATACTTTCCGAGCCACTTCAACTGTTTTTTCGTCCAAGTATTCCTGTGACGACTTAGCATTGTTGTACCCAGGCAATAAATAGCATTGGAGACATACGAGACTACGCTGGTCGCTGGTAGCAGAAGACTTGTATCGCAGACACCCGCTGCCACGTGACGTCGGGGACACAAAGCTAAAGGGGTTTGTTAGTATCGGAAATCTACACCGAGGCTGTACACGTACCGTCCGTCCACAAATGGTCGCAAGACGGTAGCAAAGGCTGTTTTGCGATGACGAAGTATTTGGAAGGAACTCATGAGTGGAGACAAGACTATGAAGCAACAAATTGCGCATGCGAAAACACAAAAGCAACTGATCTGCTGGATCAGAAACCGTCTAGAACCAGTCTTGCGGCGGGTGGATGGATGTACGACTTGGTGGTGGTAATGGGACGATTCAAGCGGCAATAAGACGGAAGATGTTCGGTGCGAGGGTGGGTTTAGGTCCGAGGGTCCATGTTGACCGTATGCCGAGGCTCCGCTGGCCCTTTGCGAGGTTGGGCAGCGGGCTCTACCAATTGTGTCCAGCATAGCAATCGCTCGTGAAAGTATTCATAGGTAAGAATGAAACAACCCGGCAGGCCGGTAACTGCACTCAGGCTTCTTCATATTTTTGCATGTGTAAGGTGTAGATTTTCGGTGATTGAAAACTTTGTATATATGATATAAATGTTAACTTACGTAATATCACAAGGTGAGGTGGCCGAGTTGGTTATGGCGCCAGGTTAAGGTTATCTTAACACTAATTCCTGGTGGGGCAACCCGCGCGAGTTCGAGTCTCGTCCTCATCATTTTTTTGTTTTCGCATGATACATTTTGCCTCACGGAGAAGTGTCAGTGCAACAGGCAGGTGATCTTACCAGGATACGTTTTACTTTTAATTGGTGTTATTGGTGTTATGCTCCGCGCGGCGCAATGACGTGCAGCAGGGCATCCGAAAACAACCAAGTTCCCGCCTTGACACTGCAAGAACAAACACCCACATCGTGCAGTATCAGCACCTCTTCCAAGCCAATTAACCTCAACCAACTGCGCTGGTTAGGCGGCCTCTAATCGACATCAGGAACCGGCAGACCATTATACAACTTCATGCGCCTGCCCAGCGCCTCCATTGCCTTCATGGCCTCGCTCTCGCGCAGGCGCTTCGCCTCCTCATCCGACACGAGCACAAAGTCATACGTCAGCAGCTTCGCGCCCTCGCTGACGCCATAGCGACGGGCTTGGTCGGCGTCGACGCGGCCGAGGTCCACAAGCAGCGATTCCTTGACGCCGAAGACAGCGTCGGAGGTCTCGTAGGGGTCGTTGCGGAGGTAGAGCGCGCTGCGCAGCAGGGTCAGTCAACACGCTCTGGCCTACGCAGAGGGAGCAGGCCAAACCTACGTGATCAGGTGGTCGTAGCCCGGCTTGTCGAACATGAAGTGCATATGGCTAGGGCGATACGGATGGCGCTTCAGCACACGGAGCAGCTTCCCCACGGGCCCATCATGCGGAATAGGATACGGGACGGGGACGATAGCCTTGAACCAGAAAACGCCGTCGGCATCGCTTTGCAGGACGGCGCGGCCATCGGGCCCTTCGCGCGTGGCGTACTGGACGTCGTAGAAGCCCTTGGAGTCGGTCTCCCACACGTCGACCTTGACGGCGTCGAGCGGCTTCCCCGCCGTGTCTTTGACGCTGCACAGCACCAGACACGGCTCCCCGTCCGGGTCGTGCGAGATGGTGCTGCCGTTGGCCTCGCTCTCGGCGTCGTGCGTGTGGAAGGGCCCTAGCACCGTGCCCTCGGTGCTGGCGCGTGGTTTGGGGTGGTCGATGCTGTCGACCAGCAGCGAGAGGCCGATGATGTCGGACAGGAGGATAAATTCCTGCGCGCGCGCGTGTGTGTTAGCTGCCGTGGTCTTTGCCTGCGCGCTCCTCCTCCGTGGCTTGGTCTGCCCTGCCTGCTGTAAGAGTACATACCTGCCGCACGTCGCTACAGATCTGGCCGACCTCGGTCAGGAACTTGATGCCCGTCATCCACTCGTCGGTGCTCAGCCGCGTCTCGCGCGCAAAGTCGTGCGCGTGCGTCACCAGCCGCTCCAATATGTACTTCAGCCGCGGGTCGGGGCATCCCGAGTTTATCAGGTGGACGTTCTCGGTGATGTTGTCGATGGTGAGGTCCTTCAATAGCGGGATGTCGACTTTTGAGGGATCCATATTCACGACGCAGGAACTTGCAGACTTGGGGCGCAACGGGCGAGCGGGCTGCGAGAGGAGAGGAACGAAAAGGAAAGGAGAGAGAGAGAGCAAGACACGGGTGTGGAGCATGAGCTGCGCGTGCGTACTAATACATTGGATTCTACAGGTGCCGTTACTTGTCCCTGACCCCGCGATCGGCTGGGCGTCCCCGCATTGCTATCGTCGGCGCGTCAGGTCGGTAGTAGCAAGCGGCTGGCGGGGACGGCTACGTAGTATGTACAGCTGCCGAGCGAACGCGCTGTCGCACTCCCTCCTGACTCTGGCAGACGCGACGACCCTAAATCGCTGATGGACCATTGCAGTTCGAGGTGCGATGGGTGGTTTTTGATGACGGCAGCGCCTGTTGCCCCGCCGGAACGTTTCCGCCCCGCCCTTGACTCCACTCCACACCGCAGCATCCGCTCCCATCGTTCACTGCACCGTTTTCGGCGCGTCCTCCCTCACGACTTTGACCTCCGCCGGTTCCTCCGCCTGGACCATCTTGACTCCCGCCTGCTGCTGGTGCTGCCGAGGCTGCTCCGCCGACCCTCTAACCCTCAGATGCCTCGCCGCGAACTCCACAGCCGCGGTATAGCCATACGTGCCCAAGCCGGCAATGACCGCCTCCGCCTTATCGCTCAAGTAGCTATGATGGCGGAAGGGCTCACGGGCATGGACATTCGAGACATGCACCTCGACAAAAGGGATGTCGACGGCGAGCAAGGCGTCGCGCAGCGCGATGCTCGTGTGGGTAAACGCGCCGGGGTTGATGACGATGGCGTCGACGGCGCCGCGCGCCTGGTGCACGCGGTCGAGGAGCGCGCCCTCCCAGTTCGTCTGGAAGGCCTCGAGCGCGACGCCCAGGCCCGCGGCCTGCTGCTGGGCTTGCTCGACTACGGTCGCCAGGCTCGTGCTGCCGTAGAGGTGTGGCTCGCGTGTGCCGAGGAGGTTGAGGTTCGCGCCGTTGAGCAGGAGGATCCGCTTGCCCATTGTGTGCTGCTGGTTGGATTGGATTGAATTGGATTGGATTGCTGGCTGGCTGGCAGGCAATGCCGCTCGCTGCCTGTTAGACGACGGCCTTCTTCTCTTTTAAAGGCCTCCGAGACCGCTGCCTCACCTCCTTGCTGGGCCCTTGGCCCCTTGTCTCGCGACATGGTTTTGCTGGGCGTGTTCGTCATAAAACGTGGGGAAGGATGGAGCACAGGGAGCCAGGCACCGCCAATCCGTCTTGGCCTTAGTCGAGAGAAACCCACGGCGGGAAAACGCTGCTCCGCCCATCCAGCATATCAGCAGTACTCGGAGGCACTGGGGCAGTAAGCGTAAAAGAAGAAAAAAAGTGGGGGCAGCTGCCTGAGTATTTGATATGTACATATTAGGCACAGCAGTCAGCAACCCGCCGCGCCGCCAATGATGACCTGCAGCTGCAGCGTTCCCCGCGTTTCCCTCGCCGTCGTAATCCTCCACGCTTGCACAACGCGCTTCTGACGAAACGCATGCATCGCCTCTGCGATCGGGCAACGATGCGCGTGCGAGTTGCGTTGCATTGCGCTGCTGCATCAATTGCGCTGAGGCACAGCACAGCACGCGGCAGGGATGCTGGCATGGCATCGCATGGCATTGCCTTGCGTTGCGGAGAAGGCGTTCTGCCTACCTTACTTAGATAGGAGGACGTGTGCGTGGGGTGCACGGTAGGTCTTGCTTCTTGCTGGCTGGGGTCGACGGGGGATGAACGCCGCGGCTGCTGGCGGATGCGGATGCGGATGTGCTTGGTGGTCACGAGCTTGGAGGGTTGGGGGGTGTGGACCTCATCGTTGCCGAACCAGGCAATGGGGTGGTCGGCGGTATGTATGTCTGACCTTACCTAGCTATCATGTGCTGGCTGACTACTTCGGAGATGATGTCATCGTCAAGGGTGTCTACCTACGAGTAGACTGAGGTAGATCTGGGGCTGGGAGTAGCCGAGGGAGTGCCCTGAACCTGGTCTCTATCTTGCTTTTGTCGAGTAACAGGTGCTGGGTCAGTCCCACTATGTCTTATGGTGTTTTCTCCTCTAATGAAACTGGTCGGTTATCGAAGCTATAAATCATTGGACTGGTAGTATTTAAATCTATAGGTATTTCATATAACTAGAACAGCCATAGATTCTATCCGGCTGGCATCTCCAGCGTTGCTAAACCGCCGATCTAGTCATTCTTCCTTATCGCCTAGGTTATACATCACCTTGAGCTGACAACCCGCCTCGCATCTGCGCACATCGCGCGTCCCTGTGACCTCGTCTCAAAAGCGCTAAACCACCGAACCCCCAAACAGCAGCAAGGCCATTCGTTCCGCGGCATGGGGGACGCGCACAACCCCCTCTCTAGCTGGCTGACGTCGACTGTAAGCCTTACTTCTCGATCCGGGGCGGGATGTTCCTTTCACGCATGCTGATAGGTCGATAGGCTGGAGCCGAGGCAGTGATCCCTGTGCCCTGGCTATTGGGACGTCTTATCGCGTTTTGCGGGGGCCAGGTGGTGTTGATCGCGGTTGGGTTGCGGCTATGCGAACGGAGCTAAACGTGCTGGAGATGATCTCTCCGCAACGGTGTCAAGGCCTTTTTGGGCAAGCCGTCGGATTTCCGTTCGTTGCAGCTTGAAGCAAGCTTTGTCCGGTTGGCGGTCGGGATTTGCCGTGCGTCCGGGGCTTCCTTCTGCAGACTGCTGCATGCAGCTGCACGTTGAAGTCGGCAGTCCATGCTCGAAGGCACGCCATGTCCCCATGGTAGCAAGTTACGAGCAGGGATTGACCATTTGTTTCCACGGCTGCACGTTGAAGTCGTGTAAAGCTTTCTTTCTTTGTCTTCGTGGTAGTTACGAGCATTGATCGACCCGATTTCTAGACCTCGCTCTCCACTCTTTCCAGGTAATCCTCTGCCGACTTCTCCAGCGACAAGTCCGCACCCTCGGCATCGTGGCGGAAGCTCTCCTCCATCTCCTTCAGCTCGGCCATGACGACCGAGTTCGCCTTCCTGCACGGCTTGATCTGGAACAAGCGGTCCATGTTCTCGAGCGGCACGGCCTTGGTCTCCGGCAGGAGGAAGTAGACAAACACGACGCTGAGGAGCATCAGGCTGGCGAAGAAGAAGTAAACGCCGTAGCCCATGGCCAGGAACATCTGCGGCGTGAACCGCGAGATGATGAAATTCCAAAACCAATTATTTGCGGCGGCGGAGGCCTGGCCCAGCGAGCGCGTGTCCTGGTCGAACATCTCGGCGTTGACCACCCATGGCGTGCCGTTCCATGACGGCGTGTAGAAGGCTGTCCAGAGGTAGAAGAAGACCATGGCCGCGGTGCCTCCGGCGTCGAGGCTGCTGCGCTTGGTGTTCTCCACGTCGGCCACTTTAATGTACGCTCCGATGAACCACATGCACAAACTGCCGCCCGTGGCTCCGATCATTAGCATGAGGCGTCGCCCGACCAAGTCGATGAGGAAGAACAGCCAGATGAAAGTAACGACGGTTTTGACAACACCGAAGATGCCGGTCGTCAAGAAACTCGAGTTCGTTCCTGTGATTCCAATAGATTTGAAGACTGTAGGTGAATAATAGTTGATAGCATTGATTCCGCTGCCGTTTTGCCACAGGAATAGCATGCCTCCAAGGAAGAATCGCCATTGGACCTTGTGGGACTGACCCACTGCCTATTGCTATGTCAGTACGAGATCACAATGTGAGTAAATCGTGTCCCAACTTACCTGGAATGGCTTCCAGAAGCCCCTCCCGAGGTTAGCACGTTGTGCGTCCAGAGCTGCATCGATAAATGCAACTTCTTCCACCATATACAGGTCGTTGACGTCCAGCTTACGGATCCAGCATAGGTTCTTCAAGGCTTCCTCGCGCCGGCCTTGGGAGAAGAGCCAACGCGGAGACTCACGAATCCAGAAAGCCCCACTGAGCAAGAGACCGGCGGGTATGAGCTGGACGGCAAAGGGAATAAGCCACTGCTTGTGCGATGGTTCCATGGTTTCGCTGAGGCCATAGTTGATCCAGAATCCCACAAGCCCGCCAATCTGCCAGCCGGCCTCGTAGATGCCGACCAAACGGCCGCGGACGGCCGGGGGAGCAAGCTCGGCAATGTAGATTGGCGTCATGTTGGATGCGCCTCCAACACCGATTCCAGCCAAGATACGCCCGGCGATAATGAGGCCCAGGCCGCGGTGGCTGTTGGCGCCCAGCATTATACCAGCGCCCAGGATGAATACAGTGGTAAAGAGCTGTAGCGACTTTTTGCGGCCGAGGAAGTAGCTGCTGACGTATGCGAAGAGGGATCCAAAGAAGGCGCCGGCTTGATAGACGGAGACGATGTTGGCTTTGACGAGGGCTAGGTGGTCGTCGCTCATCTTGTCAAACTTGAACTCTTGCTCAAAGGCTGGTAGAGACAGAGTCGTCCCAATGAAGGCGGAGTCATAGCCAATCATGCATGACGCGAACGAGGCAATGGTCGCGCAGGCGTAGACGCGCCAGTTGTAAACGGCCTTGGGCGTCGGCCGGTCTTCGACGAGGGTGAGGAGACCCATTCTGCTGCGGTTGGGGAGGGTCTTGTCGAGATTGCTGCCAAGTTTTTTTGCAAGAGGATGAAGTGTAATGACAAGACTTGGGAGGTTGTTAAGAGAAAGCTCCCATCTCCACCGTGGACTGGGATGCGGCTCAAGCAGCTCTCTCGGAGACGAAGGGAGCGGGGGCGAGCGTCAAATAGCAAGCGCGAGGAAAGGCATTACCTATTTGTATGTGCGTGTGGATAGTCATGGTGCGGCGGGAACTGGGCCTTAAGCGGGATAGATGTGCACGAACCCCAGAATCCGGGGAAGCACATGTGGGGCGACGGAGTCACCAAGGCAAAAATTTCGTCGGCGTTGCAGCGGCCCAATGACAGCGGGCAGCATTAGACATGGCGGCGCCTCATGTGGGCATTACGCTTCCGAGGCATGGGTAAGCGTATGCGCCTTCGGCATACCATTGAGGGGTCACTTGGACTTGTACGAGTAGCAATGCCAATTGCCGACCAAGCTGAGGCCTAGCAATGATTAGGATGATTAGCAAACGCCTCAATTGTGCCGTCGTGGCAAGATTTGTTATAGAGAGAAGAGTTAGGTGGTGCCATCAAACCAGCCACAAACATTTCGACCGGTCTCGTTCCGATCTCGGCCAAACTGCCAGCTGCAGGGATCCCCGCCCGCCATTCCTGCTCTGCTGCGACATCACAGCTGTGACTTCTGCTACGGGAAACTCCCTGGTCGACCGTTGCAATTGGTTTTTCCTATCTCCTCTCCCATGCCACTGCGTCGCTAGATTGTCACCATTGAGTCTTTTCTTCTGCGTCTTTTTTTCTTCTACCTGCGCTTAATTTCTCACGTCTCTGGTCTTTTTTTGACATCCGTGCATTACATCGCTGCAGAGTCATCGTGGTCAAGATGGGATCAGTAACTCCTCCGGACAACCTTGATCGCCATGGCTATCTGTTTGGCCATCCAATTGCCCATTCAATGTCGCCTCTGCTGCACCAGACTGTGTACGATGAGCTTGGCTTGAAGTGGTCTCAGCTGCCCCTCGACTCTACCGACATGGATGATTTTCTGAAGCGCATTCAAGATCCTAAATTCTACGGTAGGTTGATCTTAGTTACAACGCTTCATCTTTTCTTTTCCAGTCACAGTTCTGCACTTCTCTTGGTTGAGCTTGTTTGTTTCTCCACCCCTCCCAACATGTCAGATCTTCTCCACCTTCGCAGTAGCCCGAATCAATTTCACACACGGGGCCCGCTGACCCACACGCAGGTGCTTCCGTAACCATGCCTCACAAGGTGGCTATCCTGTCCCACCTGGACGCTCTGACACCTGAAGGACGTGAGGTTGGCGCTTGCAACACACTCTTCATCCAGACGGACGCAGAAACCGGAAAGCGCATCTACACCGGTACCAACACCGACGTCATCGGGATCCGCGACTCCTTCGCCTACAACGTCGCCGACGCCGCAGCTCTCTACCATGACAGGCCCGCGCTTGTTGTTGGCGGTGGTGGTGCCGCTCGTTCTGCCGTCTATGCCCTGCGCAAGTGGTTGCGCGCCACGCGCATCTACCTCGTCAACCGCGACGCCGGCGAGGTTGAAGCGGTGATTAATGAGTGTGCAGCGCGCGGCTACGGCGACGACCTTGTCCACGTTGCAACTGTCGAGCAGGCCGAGGCGCTCGAAGGGCCAGGTGCCGTCGTTGCATGCGTGCCAAACTTTTCACCTGTCACGGAGGCTGAGCGTACAGCACGTGCGGTGCTAGAAACGTTACTGAAGAAGGAGCACAAGGGTGCATTGCTCGAGATGTGCTACCATCCTAGCCCGTGGACTGAGATTGCTGAGATTGCGAAGTGTGAGGGGTGGCAGGTCATCCTTGGGACAGAGGCCATGATATATCAGGGCCTGGAACAGGTATGTTGGACACTTTCTGTTCTTCGTTTGAGACAAACATTGTGGGTTTGCTTAATTGCCTCCTACGATACTTCCGGCTCAGACCCCGTTTTGCTACGTGGGTGGTGCGTATTGCTGACAGGATGCCGCACAATAGGACAAGTACTGGACCGGAAAAGAAGTCACTGAGCTCCCCATCAGTAAAGTCCAGGGTGTCATCGCCCTCAAATTGGCCGAGAGCCAGCATTAGATCGTTCGCAGGAGAATGATCCAGCTAGCGCACAGTGCTGTGTCGAGCCGTGCATGATCGCTCGCCAGTTTGTTGTGCGGGCCAGACAAGGATTGACTGTTGTCAACCCCGCGAACAAGCCATCCCGGTACAGCTAGCGGTGGCTGTGAGCGCCCGAAACTAAATGACCGCTGTGTCATCTGTAGTGTCACTGAGCTCTGGCACAGCTTACAGCTTGAGAGGAGTTTTGGCTAAAGTCAAGAACAAACCTAAAATAGACGGTATTGCCTTAGGATAAGTAGACGGAAGGAATTGACCGCTTGGGAGACTGAATGATATGGAGATATGTTGATATCTTGTGGATCTTTCTCTTGTACATACCGCCTAGTGATCGACATGGTAGTTGTCGATGATAGACTCGAGGCGTCCTGCGGCTACTTCGGTCCTCCGCTGGACCGAGCGGGTCCCGAACAGACCGCGGCAAGCCGCGGAAGACCTGCATGGCCCTCGCGAAGCCCCAGTCGGGATCTACTCTACATACATAGCTCAGATCCTGATTGTTGCGGCTCAAATTCGTGAACTGTTTCCGCCTTTTCGAGGGATAGAGGCTTACACCCTTCTTATACCCGTGGTCACCAGCATTCCAACCCCAACCCTTTGGGATTCGGACAACACGAATTCTTGTCATCTTTGTACAGCCCAAATCGGGAACCGTTCGCGCTATTGGAACGCCTAGTGGATATTTCTTCGTTCCACGTGTAGTGACCCAGCGCAAGGGCAATATCTGATACGAAAGGTTTGAAATTCCCGACCAATGTCGTACACTATTCCGGTTGAATTCTTGTGTTCCACACATGCCGGGTCTTCTACCTGCCCTTGTGACCAAAGACAGGGATAGAGTTTACCAGTGGAACGGCGTCCACTCACCCGCAATGGCAACCACCAAGGAATGTGGATGCTTTGGACCTTAACACACAGTTACTAGCAGCCCAATTATCCCTTAAATATGGACAGCCCCAGCGATTCTGGAGTTCCTCGCTCTTGACAGCGCTCCAATGGTGGCTTCAGAGCATCGGAAGAGGGCCGCCCGCCTCCCGAACAACGTTCTGGCGACGTCACGCGATGTGTCAAATGGCCTTCCAAGAGAAGCTTATGATGTGAGATGGGCTGGGCAAGCTGAAGAGAAGGCACGAGGCAAAGGCACATCCAACAAACCGGACTGCAGTGGTTGATTGACAGCCATGTGGGTGCGGAAGTGGTGCGAGGTCCGCAATTTTTTCGTCGGCTCTTTGCCGGCTTCCCCGGTTTTCTCCACACGTCGAGTCCATCCTGTTCGACTCACGCCCAGAATCTGCCGTCTCATGGTTCGTCTGCACGCCATCTGCCTTCCACAACGGCATTCCGCGTAAACATGCTCATTTGGCTCCAGCACGCTTACCGTCAGCGCTCGAGACAGACATTCCGAGAGGACTTGGTCCCTCCTAGAAGATCCCACCCGACTACATAATCCGAAGCCTTTCATGTTGGGAGCACAGCACAATGCTTGGTAATGATGGAGGAAACAAGGCAAAAAGAAAGTGTTCCGCCGCCGTGGCGACGCCGACCGACCACCAGGACAATCCAGCGCCCCCGAAGCGCCAGAGAGTCTCGAGGGCCTGCGACCAGTGCCGCGCCGCACGGGAAAAATGCGACGGCGTACAACCCATCTGCTACACCTGCGCCTCCTCCAACCGCGAATGCTCGTACACGGCGACGTCCAAAAAACGCGGCATCCAGCCCGGTCACATAAGAGCCATGGAGCTTGCCCTGGCGTGGGTGTTTGACAATGTCCCTGGAACGGAGGATGCGCTGCTGTCGATGCTTGGACACCCGGAAGGACGATCACTGCTATGCGGAAAGGACACAGAGGGCTCATTGAAGCTGCACAAGCGGTGGCGGAAAAGCAACTTCTGCAAAGAGATTGACCGCTCGCTGACCGGCGCGGATCCAGCAATTGATCTCAAAAAACAATCGCCTGCATCTATACAAGATGACCAGCTGAACGATGGTGAATTCGCGGCGGAATCGCACTTGGCAGGGAAAGCCGCGTTTAATGCAGCGCTGCACTCCGACGAAAGTTCGATCTTGCCTGGCAGTCATGGAAATGCGGCGCAGGGCGCGCTCAAGGCTCATGGTCCATGCCCACTGAGAACGCTGCCTTCAAGAATCAGGTCAAGCTCGCAATTGACCCCGATGCTGAAGATCCCCTCAAATCTGTGGCGCCTGCTTGACGTGTACTTTGCTTATACCCATTGTTGGTTTCCTATCGTGGAAAAACATGATATCATGAAGCTTTCGTATACTTACCCTGAGGAAGGATTGGATATTTCAGCGGACAAGCCCGGGTCTGGGGAACATGCAGAGCTCTGGAGCATACTGGCCTTGGCTTCACTCCAACAACAAGCCGCAAACCCAGCATCTTCCTGGAGACAAGATGATGGAGCTCCGGTATCACCCAGCGATATCTACAATATTGCACGCGGCCTGATTCCCACCGAGCAAGGGACTTATGAGCTTGGTCATGCCAAGGCTCTCCTTCTGCTTGCTCTGATCAACATAGGAGGAAATAACCTTAAAGCCGCCTGGCTCCTTATTGGTCATGCTGCTCGATTAGCCACTTTGCTCGGGCTACATAACCAGCATAATGTCCCAGGAGGATTCGCTGGTACCGAAGAGCAAAATCCCCGAAGAAAGCATGTATTTTTGGCATGTTTCGCGCTCGACACCCTTGTCTCAGCCAATCTTGGTGAAGAACCTTCTCTCAAAACTGAACATGTCAAAAGGTTGGGGCTTCTAGATGAGGATGGGCTTGAAGAATGGCAGCCGTGGGTCGGCTGTCCAGACTTCAAGCCTAGCAGCCAGAATCCAGCCCAGTACACCAGAAGTCCGGTGCATACTATCAGCACGTTCAACCACATCATTCGAATTATGAGCGTCATCAATGATGCTTCCATGAGGTTCCTCGACAGCCATCATGCTTCAATGCGACTCCAGCAGTGGGTAGCCAGTCTGCCTCAGACGCTCAGCTCGGTACAATCGAATCAGCCAACTGCAGCACCAACGCCTACCCTGGCCGGTCTGCGGCTTATATATTGCTGTACCATTATGGCCGTTTCGGTCTCGCCTGTTGTGCCGGCGGAGAATGTTGTCGAGTCGTTCATCAGATTCGCTGATGCATTTGGTGCTCCCGCAATGCTTCCAATCTTCCGCCCCTTGATCGCTCTGGCTGAACGAAGCGGCTCCTTCAAGGCCCTTTCGCCAGAGTCGCGGTACAGGTGGGCGACACTTATGAGCAGCTACCGTGAACTATGGCAGCAGGCCCAATCATCTGAATCGTACAATCCAAACGCCACTGATCCAATGTCAGTCGCACACTCTCCAATGGGCTCCGTAGGTAGCATGGCAAAGCCGCCATCTTTCTCCTCTTCTGTGGCGCAGTATCCAAGCTCCAGCTCAACGGCCTTCGGCCAATCAACTTTCGGCAACAATGTAGCATTTGCTCAGCGGCCTTTCCACACTGCGGCGCAATACGCATCTGCGAACCATCATCCAAGCAATCCTTTCCCGCCGCATAGTCTACCTTTCCAACCGTCAATACGAACACCCGGCGCCACGACACCAAATAAGGAATCCACACTTCAGCAACAGACACCTGCCTTTACGAACGGCAGCATGGGCTCGACTCCCAATTCCAACCTCTGCGCGCCTACGCCACGAACCATTTATGATAACGCAGAACTTCATCGCTTCCATTCGGCCGGACCGGTTGCCCTTGACTCTCTTTTTGACGAACTAAATACCCTCGACGGTCATAATTCCCAGCCACAGTTTATGCAGAACCTGGACTTTGGCTCTGATATGAACTTGAACGATGTCTTGGTCCTCACGAGCGACCAAGAGCAGGCTGAACAACATGGGTTTGGCGCCTACGGGATCCGTCAACCTGAACCGCCGCCGGAGACTAGCAGGCCTCCAACGACGCAAACCCATTTCGACGTGGGGTTGCCGTCGGGAGGATATTTGGCATTGCTGTAGGGACTGGTTAGGGGTAGAGGGCGGTTATTTTGATTTTATTTTTTAGAGTCTCTGCTGGGATCAGATGGAGAGCAGGCGTTGCAAGAAGGGGTTGCGTGCTCGCTTCTAGAGTAATAGTCCGCCAGGACGTAGTAAACAATGCACGAGCAATAAATGGCATGACCGGATTAGGAAAGAGACTAGGCACGGCGCGGTGCCGGATGCTGGTCTTGGCGTCGGGCGGCGTCAGAGGACTCGTGACCAGAACCTCACCCTTCAACACCACAGAAACTGCCGCGCGCGCGGTGCAGAAACGCTCTGGCGAATGCCCTAGCAGGATTGTCGACCTTGCCCGTCGTCGTGAATATGTCGTCGATGATCACCTTCGCCGCGAACAACGAGTTTTTCCGCAAGCGCAAGCGCGTGCACAAGGCGTGCGACCATTGCAAGAAGCGTAGAGTAGGTCTGCGACAGCCCTCCCCTCGGTGCGGCTGACGCTCACGCGCTCCTCCCCCAGAAGCGGTGCGTCCACACGTTCGACGGCGATGACTCCGGGGCTACCTACGAGTCGCCCGCGGGGGCCACGGCCGCGGCCCCGAGCCCCCGTGTGAGTGCCCCGGATGGCCCTGACGCGCGCCGCCCTGCCAATACCAATGCCACGGACGCACCCGCTCCGGAGCCTGCCCAGGATCCGCCGCCGCCTCCGCGCCGCTTCATCGGCTACTTGAACCCGGAGGCTGTCATGCGAGGCCAGCTCCGCGAGTCGGACAACCAAGTTGGCGGCTGGGTCCAGGCCGCCGACGACGACGCCGAACCGCTAACTACCAGTGGGAAAAATGCTCAGGGGACATCATCCGGGCCGTCGTCTAGTGTTGCTAGAGCCCTTCCAGCGTACCTTGAAGCCGCAGGTGTCTACATTGAACCGGACGAGCGCCATCTCGAGTCGATGTGTAGTATCTACTTTGAGTATGTGAATCCGCTTCTTCCTCTGGTCGACCAAAGGTCCTTTTACCTTGAGCTTCATGGGAACAAAGGCTCGCGGATGCTGCGACAAGCCATGTGCCTCGTTGCTTCAAGGCACGAAGGGGTGCGGCAGCATCTCTATCTCTCGAACAGCACGGACCTGCTGGAGCCCAGAGACTACGCCCGGAGGCTATACGGCGCGCTCGTTGCAGGCGTTAATGCTCGACTGGAGAAGAACCGCATCACTCTGATACGGATTCTGGCGCTCATGTCACTGTACAGTGAAGGCATTGACGGTGCCGACCAAGCCTCGATGCACCTGGTGCAAGCCATCCACCACGCGCACACCATCGGCCTGCACCTGGACCGGCAGCAGTCGACGGACAAGCTGTTTTGGTGCCTGTGGAGTCTGGACAAGGTCAATGCTAGCGTCAGCGCCAGACCGCTGTACATGCATGACCGAGACAACATGCAGGTGGAGAGCTTGACGGCGACGCCAGACCAGCGCCGCACGCCGTTTGGTATCTGGTTGCAACTGGCGGGCGTGCTGGACCGGGTCATTGGGCTGTACCGACCTGGCACTGACCCAGCTAACACAGGCATAGAAACCGACTTTCCCGGCTTCGAAGACATCATTGGCGACGGCGGAGACCGGCTCAGGGGGCCCATAGTCGGTATGTATCTCTCTGATTTGTAATAACTCACTAACCCACCACATCCACAGCCGCGCTCGAGCTCTTCTACCATGCTGTGTCAATGCTTTCGCATAAATCTCGCTCCATTACCGATCCGGTGGCACGCTCCACGCCGTCAGCAGTGCGGCAGACGCTCTCAGCCTACCGCGTCATTTCAATTCTGAGCCACGAGTTCCCAACCGACCTGCCTCCAGTGCCCATCGTGCCGTATGCCCTCGCCCTCGCCATGTCCGTCGCGTACCGCCAGTTCCGCCGCAGCAAACTGCAGGGCCACAAGCTCCGCGCCAAGCACGACCTCAAGACGTGTTGTGCGCTGCTGGGCCGTTTGCGCGCTACGTGGTGGTGCGCGGGGTGCATGGCGGACCTGGGCAAGGCGGCGCTGGTGAAGGCGGACAAGGCCATGGAGCAACAGCAGCAGCCGCAGACGCACCAGCTAGCGGCTCCTGTGTACCCAGGGAGACGGACTTCGCAGCATTTCCGCGAAGACGACGATGGCAACGATGACACTGCTAGCGATCGCACGCTGCCGCTTCTGGCGCAACAACCACCGCAGCAGCAACAGCAGCCTCCCACGTCCGCGCCCGCGCCCGCGCCTTTCGCCATCCCTACGCTCCTCGCCCCCCAGCCGCAGCCGCAGCAGCAGCAGCAACAACAAACGCATCCCTACCAGCGCCGGCCGCGCCCACCCACCAGCGCCGACAACACAGCAGGCAGCACGACGCTCAACTCTACCACGGCACCCACGACGACGACGGCGCCCGCCGCATCCAGCAACACGTCCGGCAGCCCGTGCGCGCTGCTCTCGCTCTCGGACGAGAACAGCCCCGACTGGCTCAACTTCGACGCCGCGTTCGAGAACATGGACGCGCTGCTCGGCAGCGGGGCGGCGGCCGCGGCCGGCGTAGGCGATTTTGGCGGCGGGGCGCTGTGGGAGGGTATGGGTATGGGTGTGGGGGATGGGGCAGGGGCTTGGGGGGATAGGGATGGCGTGCTGGGGCTAGGGTTTGGGTTTGCTGAGGGTGGGGGTGGGGTTGGAGGGGCCGGGTCGGGGACAGGGAGGGAAGATGAGCACGAGGGGGAGAGTGCGTTGGGTGAGGGGACGGGGTCGGGGTCGGGGTCGGGGGCGGGAGCCGTTGGGTAGGTGGGGTGGGGTGGGGTGTGTGTGTTTGGGTAGGGTTCAACCGGGTTGGGATGGAGAGATGGACGGCACCAGTATGGTTACATTACTTCTTGGAACGGAGCAAAAAAGGCATAGATATACACGAAATGGGAAACGGAAACGGAAAACGGAAATGGAAAACGGAAATGAAAATGGAATGGGAATTGGAAGTTATAGTTGAACACGACGAAGGGAGTAGCTGAGTGCCTAGTAATTCTTGATGCTTCCGTGCACTTATTCAACTAGGGTACGTGGGTTGCGACTCTAAACCGCCAAGTCAATCAAGCAGATGATGAAATAAAACCTGGATTGTTCAAGCGGGTAGGTTTCAAGAGATAATGCGAGTACCATATCAAATTTCCGGCCCTTGAAGTAGAAGGTGTCCAGCTCATGCGGCATTCGGACATGCGCAAGATTAACGAGATGATCTCCTATCACTGTTCGCTCTTCAAAGTCGTTTGTACCTCTGGCATCTGCTTCCGCTTTCAATGCTGCAGAAATCTCGTTCCGTCGTTCTGCAGCGCTTTCTTGTAGAGTATCCTCCTATGTAAAAAGTAAGACTAGTGTCTGCTAGTTAGCACTAAGAAGTACTGACTGCAAGTACTATATATATATGAGCGATTAGTAGCAAGCCGTAAGCGCTGCTATACTAGCTGTTCGAATCGAGAATAAGCTGTTTTAGCCCTTTTCGAGGTCGAAGTGGACGTCTGCCTGTCTTTGGTCTGTCATGACATGCCATACCATGCAGCGCGAGTGAGAGGGGGTGGGTGTGTCGTGTGTACGTGCGTGATGGATGGTCTAAAGGGTAGGTACTAGGTAGTCATTATGGTTTAGAACGTTATGGTCGAAAGAACGAGAAGAAGGATGGGTAGTGTAGCGATTGCAGGAGAGGTCTACTGGCCTCTGTATAACTTGTCTAACACTATTGGTGCTCCCGAACCGACGTCAGTGATTATAGCTTCCCCTGTTGGGCTAGTCGGGCCTTAGTCAGCCCTGTCTCTTTAAAGTAAGTTCGTGCTTGCCTGCTCTTACAATCATTCGACTCGTTTCGTCTTCTCTCCTTGCGACATGCGCGCCATGTCGACTACGCGCCGCTAAGTCAATCCTGACTCTAGTATTCACATTCTGGACCCGCTTTACGCTGAGTGAAGCTCGATACAAGGTTTTGCTCCTGTCTTTTGCCTACAAATATTGAGGCTGAGAAGCTGACGCAATGAAGATGCAGCGCTTCACTCGACTGAAGTATCCCGCGCACTGCGTTGTTGACCCTCCCTCACGTCTTTTCCCGCTTTCCACAGACATCCGTAACATGTCTCAGATCCTGCGTCAGACACGTTATCTGCATTCAATCATTTCGAGGCCTTCAGCCGCACCGCTGCGACAGCGACAGGCGTTTCCGAGCAACGTAGTTCAGCCGAGCAATGCTTCTTCCACCGGGCTTGCGTTCTCGAAGAGATCTCTTCACATCACGCAACTTCAAAAGTTACTTGGAGCCTGAAAGAAGCTTTGGAACTCCGGTCAGGAGCCTAAAGAACAAACAGGTCATGGGGAAAGTTGGGAAACGATACGAGACACGACCGTGACCGGATCTTCAGACTCACTCACTGACGAACAGCACAACATTTTTGATATTGTACTGAACAAAAGAGAGAAGATTTTCTTCACTGGTCCAGCTGGTACTGGAAAATCGTTTCTTCTTCGCAAGATCATCAACGCCTTACGAGTGAGGGGCGAAGCAATTGCCGTGACAGCATCTACCGGAATTGCGGCCAGCCACATCGGAGGGAAGACACTTCACAGCTATGCTGGAATTGGCCTTGGGATTGGTACTATGCGAGAGCTGGTTTCCAACACCGCATCGAACAAACATAAAGCAGCACAATGGACAGAAACGCAGGTTCTCATCATCGACGAAGTTTTAATAAGTCACCCTAACGTCTTCGATAAACTAGAGAAGATTACGCGCATAGTCCGCCGAAACGACTCGCTATTTAGGAGATTATAGTTAGTAATAACCGGCGGATTCTTCTAGCTTCTACCCGTATCGCTAGGATCTATTCCGAAATTTACCTTCGAAGTAGAGGTATAGAGTATAGTAAGAAGGCGCTACTAGCTGCTCCTCGCCTAGGCGCTTAGTATCTATAAGTTAAAGCCTAAGGTTAGACGTTAAGTTTTATATAGTAGGCTTATAGTATCTATAGATAGATCTATCTACTAGTCTACTTCCGCAACGCTACTATTCCGTTACTATACTATCAATTTCTTAGATATAATCTACTACTCCCTATCCTTCCTACCTACCTATGTCTTATCTATTTCCATCCACCTACGAATAAACCAGCTATTAACTATTACTATATTAGATAGCTATACTAAACCACCTATTCCGTACGGCTGGCTACTAGCGCTGGGAACACTATACTTTTATAGATTTTAAATAGCTAAGGTATATATAAGTATCTAAGCATTTTAATATATGCGAAAGTATAAGCGTTTGTGTACAAGTGGTAGAGAATCCTGTAAGGGTATAAAAACAAAATAAACGAAGGGAAGGTATAACGGCACATGTGAAGAAGTGAAGAGATACCTAGGATGGCTTGGGCCGCATTTGGATGGATGGGGTGGATGAGTACCTAGGTACTTAAGCGCCGACGCAGATCAACGACAGACAGCAGCACAAGAGCGCGAAACTTGACTTGACCTATTTACACCTCCCCCACTCCCCACCACCCACACACCACACCCCCCTCCCTACAACCTTACGCAAACCCAAACACTCGCATACATGTTCACGCGATCCAGCACCCCCTCGCCCCCAGGCATCCTTACGCCCACCCTCTCGTTCCTAAACCCCTTCTTCTCAAACAGCGCCAGATACCACGGTCGCAGGCCCGCGCTGCGCAGGAGCACGCGGCCGCCGGGGCGCAGCGCGCGGTGGAGGGCTGCGACCTGCTGCTTCGCTGCGCGCTGGTCGACGGGGTTGGTGTCAGAGAACCAGTCCATGCTGTCCATGACCACGGCGATGGTCAGGGACGCGGGGGGCAGCTGCGCGGCCACGGCGGCGAGGGTGTCGGTGTGCAGGCGGAGGATGTCGAGCGGGGAGGAGGAGGACCCCTCGACGAAGGAGGGCCCATTGACCGAGGAGGGCCCCTTGGGCGAGGACCCCGTGGAGTGGGAAAGCGAAGAGCAAGGCGAGAGTGCAGCATGCGCCTTCGGCGCGAGGTACGCCGGGCAGTTATGCGGTGCGTAGTGGCCCTGCAGACAGAGGGCGTAGTAGTGGTTACAGTCGCGGAGGTGCGAGTTCCGCGCGATGGGGTCAAGCGTCGCAGCGAGGTAAGCGTGGATGGCGGCTGCCGAGTCTGACGTCGAAGAAGAAGCCTCAGACGACGTCGCCGACGAAGAGGAAGAAGAGGAGGACGAAGGTGCACAGCACAGCTCGCGATAGTCCCGCTCAATCAGCTCTCTCTGCGCGGCCGGCACGCCCAGCGCCCGCCACAACCACCCCCGCGACCCGACTACGGCCCACACGAGTGCCCGCGACAGCAACACTCTTCGCAGCCACCCTTTCGACCAGACGTCGCGCTGCGCTGCCAGCGTCTCGGCGCCACACAGTCGACGGACCTCGCGCCGCAGCCCCAGCGCCCGCACCAGCAGCGCCGCGAGCCGCAGCGCGTGCCGCGACCCGCCCGTGCTGCGGTACAATCCCCCGCCTCCGCCGCTTCGCGGGGAAAAGGCAGCGTCGCCGTGCCGCAGCCAGAACTGCAGCGCCGGCGACGAGAGGTGCGGGCTTAGGCGGCGGAGGAGCAGGGCCCGGAAGGCCGGGTGCGTGCCGTGCCCGAAGAGCTGGAAGAGCTCGGCGTAGCTGAGGGCGGAGAAGGCGGCGAGCTTGAGCTCGAGGAGGTGGTTCTGTGCTGGGCTGTGAAGAGGGTTAGTGCTGGGTTGGGTGGGAGAAAGGGAGGAGGGCTCACTCACTTGAGATCGACGGCGTGGATGCGCTTCGGCTTCTCCAGCGCAAACGAGACGATGTTGTCACCGGCGCTCGTGATAGCCAAGATGACGTCGTCGGGCGTAATCTGCAAGATGTCTGCGTCGGCACGGCTGTCCTCCCACGTAAAAGCGTAGATATACTCGTCGTTAAACTGCGTGTGCTTCGCCAGCAGCTCGTCGTAGTGCAACCGCCAGGGGTGGTTCTGGTACCAGCTGGCCGGCAGCGGCAGGCTGGCCGTCAGGTTCCCCACCGCCGACGCGTACGCCTTCGAGTGCTGCAGCTCGACGCCGCTGTCGCGCCGGAGCAGCGTGCCGCGGTGCCGCGACTGCAGGTCCAGCGCGGATAAGATGGGCGACTCGGTCGCGGCCGCGTCGAGCGAGGCCAGCTTGTCCTCTGCGGAGCCGCTGTTCTTGGTGCATCCGATCCAGACGTAGTACGGGATGCGCATGCCGAGGAAGGAGTTGCGTGCGTTGACGTTCAAAACCGTGCCGAATTTGTATTCCAGATAGTCCTGTGCCGGTCAGCGGAAGCTCGTCCGCCCTGTTACTGCATACGTACCCGCCTGGCTGGCTCCAGGTTCACGCGGTCAATCTCGAACCATGTCCGCCAGAAGACGCGCGACAGCCACATGCAGTGCCTGTCAAAGACGCCGCCGACATAGTTGCGGGACTGGAAGTCGACCTTGCTCTGGACGTAAAAGTCGACAACGCCGATGATGCCGTCGGGGCAGAGCAGCGACGAGATCGAGTCAATGACGGGGTAAAAGTCTGGAATCATCGACAGGGAGTAGCTCAGGGTGACGAGCCCGGCGCCCAACGGCGTCGGCTGCCCAGCCAGGTCGTACTCTTCGTCGTTGATCTGGACGATCGACTTCTCCCGCGGGGCGACGGCCTCGTGGTCCTCGAGGCGAAAGGCGCGAGCATCCTGGCAGACGACCTTGACATTGGTCCAGCCGAGGCGCGCGAACCTCGCCCGCGCTATCTGGCACAGCGACGGCGACAGGTCAACGAGGTAGACGGAGCGGAAGAAGTCTTGCACGGAGACGTGGTCGCCCATGCGCTCGATGTTCCAGCCCGTGCCTCCCCCAACCTATGTAGGTGTGTCGTCGTGAGTTGCCTTGTCTCGCAGCCCAGTATCTAGGGCGCTAGGTACTTACATCGACCCAGATGGGCTTGTGGGCCAGCACCCCAGCATTGACTTTGTATTCTAGCTGCGCGGCGGCGAGCGCGAGCATGTCGTCCCGGCCTCGCAGCAACTTGGCGCGCGTGGCATCGTACACCGAGGCCTGCGCCTCGTAGAAGCTCTCGAGCGCGTCCTGCTGGCTGCCGCTGCCGTCGCCGGTGTGCGGCTTGAGAAAGCAGCCGTAGATGAAGCGGATGTAGGCTTGCAGGGTGCTAGGAGGCTTGCTCGCCGATTTGGACGGGTCGGTCAATGCAAAGAAGAAGACGATGGCTAGGAACCAGCTCAGGGCAAGAAAGCAAAGCCCGACTTGAATGACGGGATCAGTTGAGTGATTGAAGCCTGGAAGAACAGCCATTGTGCCAGAGAGGAGATTGGAAACGAGTTGCAGAGCAGTTGACGGCGGGGCAAGCTGTGGATATATTGAGAGCCTTCAAGGTACTAGCCATGGCAGCCATGGCGGACGAGGGCCTATCGATGCCGGCACATGCATCGTATGCGGCGAAAGGAGGCGGGACTACATGGGAGCGGACCTGTTAAAGCGAGAGGTATCAACATGTGAATGGTGTTGAGGGGAAGAGCGGCGGGAGATGTGCAGCGGCGCGCCCAATCACGCGTCGCCTTGTCGGCACGCCCGACGCATACCTAGTACGCACTCGGCAACGTCCGTCATCGTCACCCGAGATTCGCCGTCTACCAAGCTAGAGAAGGATATAAACAGTCCTTATAGGATACTTCTCGTCCAGCTACGTGTTCAAGTCCTGGATGTAAGCAAGGAGATGTACATACCTACCAGCACCCTGACTAGATTTCGTTCCACTCTACACAGGTATGGTTATCTCTTTAGGCAGTGAATATCGCTTGATGGTGACAGACGTTACTCTCTTGCATGGCTTGGTCGAAGATGATCAATTACGCTGGTGTTCTTTTCGTATCCCGTATCCATACAAGCACGCGCTGCGGCCTGCGCCGTGACAACATTATCCCTCCAAAGACTATGAATACACACGCACCCGTTTTCCGCACGCCCACAAAGTCCAACTCCCAGGCGCCACCCGGCGCTCATTTGTCGCTGCGGCGGAAGCTCTTCTTGCCGACGGTGAACGGCACGTAACGGTACTTGACCATGTGCTGGATTTGCCGGCGCACTGCAATCGTCGTTAGCAGCCACTCGTAAGGAAAAATAAGGGGTCCACGTACTCGTCAGGCAGAAGAGAATCAGCCAGTAGACGACCAGCACGGGCCAGAAGACGGGCAGGTCGAACATCTGGAACCAGCAGCAGAAGAAGCCGATGGCAATGGCCTTGGTGCTCGAGTACCAGAACTTGAACTCGGGCAACCTGCGCACAAACGGCCGGAACTCGTCCTCCTCCTTGGTGGGCAGGCCGCCAGCCGTGCCGTCCTCCATGCCCTCATCCTGCTCGAGCGCCGGGTCGAATTTGGGGGAAAGGAAGGCGAGGAAGAGGTTGAGGAGGTAGATGCCCAGCGAGTAGGCGACTGCGGCGCGCCAAGGGTCAGTACATGCGGCGCAGCGGGGGGAGGGGCGCGCGAGCGAGCGGCTTACCAATGTACCAGCCCTGCGCGTATATGATGCGCAGGCCGAAGAGCACGAAGAGGAAGGCGGTGCCGCTCCATCGCTGGGTGATGTAGGGCGTCGACTTGTCGAGGTAGGTCTGGTAGATCTGGCGCGGCGTCAGTACCTACGTATGCGCTCGGGCGGGCGTGCAGCAAGCCGAGAGAGCTACTACTCACCTGGCCGACCTTGGTCGTCTGCGCGCTCACGGCGGCAAAGGGGGTGTCGGGCTCGGGCGCGTCCATGATTGAGGGAGTCGGAGTTGAAGCGGGAGCGCAGTGGGAGTTGAGAGTAGTAGTAGTAGTAGTCGTCGTTGGACACGGATCGAAATCTGGCAGCCGGGGACGCGCAACTTTATGGAGACGTGGGAGAGTTTGAGGCGGGCGAATCAGGGCAACATGCGGCCACCTGCGACGGCGCTGCAAACGGTTCAAACTCGCCTAGCCCGAAGCCTGTTCCGCGCGTCCATAAGTCGTGGCCGCTTTTTGCCCGTTGCTCTGCTGTGCTTCCCGGCCGCCATGTCTCTCCCCCGCAGAAGCAGCTCTGGGCCTCGGTCCCTCCCCAGCTCCACCTGCGGAGTAACTACATATTCACACCTTCAAAACTGCCCCGCGCCCTCCATTCTTTTTCTTCCTCTCTCACTCTTCCCACCATGTCCCTCCTCCGCCCCACCACGCGTCTCGCCTCGCGCTTCGTCGCTCCCTTCGCCCCGCGCGTCGCCCGCGCCTACTCGACCGCTCCCCCGCAATACGAGCACCTGCAAGTATCAACGCCCCAGCCCGGCGTAGGCCTGGGTAAGAGCTCCCTCCTCCCTCCCCCAGCTAAGCACCTACTAACGTGCGACACCCGCAGTGACACTCAACCGGCCCAAGGCGCTCAATGCGCTGTTCACGCCGCTCATCACCGAGCTCAACGACGCGCTGGGCCGGCTGGACGCCGACCGCGACATCGGCGCCATGGTCATCACGGGCTCGGAAAAGGCGTTTGCAGGTGCGCCTCTCCCGTCTCTTTGCTCGTGGCTAGCTAGCTAGCTCGCGCGCTGGCACGCAGAAACGACGACAACAACAAGCACACCACCATCCATGCTGACGAGACACCTTTTCCCCCGCACACAGCCGGCGCCGACATCAAAGAGATGAAAGACCTGACGTTCGCATCGGCATACGGGACCGACTTCATCGAGCGGTGGTCCGACCTAACAACACGGGTGAAGAAGCCGCTCATCAGCGCCGTGAACGGGTACGCTTTAGGCGGGGGGTGCGAGCTAGCCATGATGGCCGACATCCTGTACTGCAGCGCGGGGGCAACATTCGGGCAGCCCGAGATCAAACTCGGCGTGATCCCCGGCGCGGGCGGGACGCAGCGGCTCACAGCGGCGCTGGGCAAGGCGCGCGCCATGGAGCTGATCCTCACCGGCGCGAACTTCAGCGGCACGCAGGCCGGCGAGTGGGGGCTCGCGGCGAGGGTGTTTGCTTCGCCGGCTGAGTGCCTCGACGGCGCTGTTAGTACCGCTGCGACCATTGCCAAGTATAGCCGTGTTGCGGTCAAGGCGGCCAAGGAGGCTGTCAATAAGAGCCAGGACCTGGGCGTGCGTGAGGGCGTCGAGTTTGAGCGCCGCCTTTTCCATGGCTTGTTTGGCTCCCGAGACCAGAAGATTGGTGCGTTTTGCTTGATATCTATCCCATTGGCGGTGCTGGTGTTGTGCTGTGCTAACCGCTGCTTCTTCCACCTAGGCATGACGGCGTTTGCAGAGAAGAAGAAGCCCGAATGGTCCAACGAGTAAGGTACTTGCCTACTTAGGACGCACCGACGCTCCGTGCTCCACCCTGGCCATGGAGAGGTCGCGAGACGATCAACTGCCGCGTTTGGCGTGCTGAGACTGGTGCTGGTTTCGGGCTTGCCCCTCTGTTTTGTCTTTTCGTAGCGAGCAAGCGATGCGCCAGGAATGGGGAACATTCCTCACAAGCATGCTTATCAGACGTGCACGTCGGCAGGCAGGCAGGTAGGCGGTGTAGGCGGAGTAGGCAAAATAGGCAGGTAGAGTAAACAACCGTAAGCAGGCCTCACACACCCACTCATCCAGCTACACCTACATAAGGTAGTAATACAAACCCACATCATCAAACCCAAACCCACCAAGCTGCAAGCAACAAGCAAGTGAACATGCTCCGCGAAGAGGTAGGTAGCGTAGATAGGATGCAGATGATATGTGGTATAAAAAATAAATAAATAAATATCGCTTTCTAGCCGACAATTAAATATACTACTATTTGTACTAAGGTACTATACGCGTAACGACAGTGGCGCCGCGACTGAGAAAAAGTCTAAGTTATCTCACAAAAGTCCACCCAGAAGGCCTTTTTTGGGCCAAAAACACCACCAAACCAAAAAGCAAAGGGGAGCACGCGCGGAATAAACACGCAGCTCTACCCACGCAGCAACGACAGCACGCCCAACCTCAGCAATTTCTAGGTTCCGCACTCCGCACAACCAAACCTACCCGACGACCCTCTCGCCCACGCCACCCCCATTGGAAACCCTCCCCGCAGGAACCGCACCACCAAAAACGGGCCGCACAGCCCCCACGCCCTCGACGCTATTCCTGCGTCCCCAATTCCTTGGCTGGCGTTTCAGAAACGCGCCCACAGCCCCCAAGTAGCCCTCGTGCCGCAAAAAGTAGGCCTGCTTCTCGCCCTTGGACCAGAACTTGATGGCGTAGGCGAGCGTGTTCATGGTTTGGCGGTGCCCGCCGATGAAGCTGCCGCCGAAGTAGATGCGCTTGAGGTTGTGCTTTTCGGCGTGCAGGTAGGCGATTTGCCCGATGTTGTTGCTGGAGGGGGGTGGGTGTTAGTGGGGGTTTTTTTTTTTTTTTTTTTCTTGTTGGGGGTTAAGGGAAGGGAAGGATGGGCACGGCACGTACCTGACGGCGTAGAGTAAGCTCTTGCTGACGTCCTCGGGCTTGAAGGAGCGCGCGGCATGCTCGTTGTCAGCCGCAGCCGCAGCAGCTTCGTCATCGACGCTGACGGCGGGGGCAGAGTGGTGGTGGTGGCCCAGCAGATTGCCATGGTCCTCAGCCTCGCGCTCAGCCTCGCGCTTGCGCTTGTAGACCTTGCCGAAACTGGAGGCGATAGTGGTGCTCTTGAGGCCGATCTTGCCGTAGTCGGTGCCGTAGATGTCACCGACCAGCATGTCGACCGACGTGTTGTCGCCCTTGTCCGCTAGCCGCAGCATGTCCTCGAAGTTGCGCGCCCCCGTCAGCAGCGACAGTAGCCCCCACAGCGTGCCCCCGCCCAGCGACGTCCCGCCTATCCGCTCGTACTGCCGCGGCCCGGACACTTTGACCATCGACACCCCCGATCCGATGTTCACGAGTAGGTATGGGTAGATGTCTGGCCGTGCTTCGACAAACTGCATGGGGTCCTCCGGGCTGTACGTGAAGACTTCGCAAGGGATCTCGGTAATGAAGAAATCGAGGCCTATGAGTCAATCGTCAGTCAGTTGCCTTTCTCTCTCTCTCGCGCGCGCATTGTGTGCTCCCCGCCGCCGCCTCATACCTATTATGAGACACTCCATCTCGTCCTCGCGCAGCACCTCGACCTCGAGCGCCTGCCTGATGCGGTCGTAGTACTTGAACGCGCCGCCGCCCGTGGCCATGACCGTCAGGTCCGCCGGCTTCGACCCATTGATCGTCTGGTAGTGCAGCTTCAACTCGCGCATAAACTCGATGCACTCCTCTATGCGGTCCGTCTCGAACTTGAGGAAGTTGAGCCGGCCCCCCAGCTCTTGCGACGTCGGGTCGCGCGAAAAGTACACCACCTTGGCCAGCGAGCCGCCAATCTGAGCGCGCGCGTGGGTGCGTCAGTCACGCGCCAAAAGTACAAGTGCCCTCGCGCGCGAGAGAGAGAGCAAAACTTACATCGACTGCTATGTGGCTGACGACATCGGTGTGGTTGGGCAGGCGAATGTCCCGGCCGCCGCTCTCGTAGTCGTCGCTGTGTATGCTCAGCGGCGTCTTGGGCTGGTCGTCGTCGGCTATGTACGCGCCCTGCACGTTGATGTAGACGTTGCCGGGGTGCGCGATAGTGTTGTGGAGCGTCTCGGTGGCCGCGCTCAGGCGTTGGGGTTTGCCCGTCGCATCAATGTTCTGCTGTTGCGGCGCTGGCGACATTGCTTGCTTGTAGGGCGGTGCTTAGGAATATTACAACAGGGTCGCGGAGGTCGGAGAGTCTGGGCGGAGGAGTCGCAAGAGAGAGCTGAGATTAATAGCCCCCGTTGCCTCGCTCCCTCCGCCCGATTGCCGGTCGTGAGCCATCATTCTAAGGCTTACGGTGCAGATGTGAGAACGGCCTGGGAACTTTGTAGGCGGGTGAGCTGACAACGGCGAGCTGGCGGCGGCCGGGCGGTTTGGCCGAGGTTCAGCGCTGCGCAATTGGGAATTTGCTCGAGTGCGACCGCGGGCGCGCAGGAACGCACGCGTAATGGCCCGCGTTGAGCGTGTTGCTGGTTGCTGTGGTGTCTTGCTGAAAACGATCGGGCCAACGGCAACTCAACGCGGGGAAGCCTTCCATCCACCCACCCATGTCCCAAAAAAATTATATCATGTGGTATCACTTTTGTGCTACTAATACAACTCCTCTATGCCAAGTCATCTGAACCTGAATCGGATCCCAACTCCTCATGCTCCTTCCTTGCTAAATGAACCGCTTCACAAGCACACCTCCCGGATGCCCGACGGCCCCTGGTCGTTGTAATCTGACCGTGTCATGTAACCCTGGCCCAGCCCTTGGTCGACGATGAAGACGACCTTGGCCGCCACCTGCGCGCCCAGAAAACTGGCCTCGTCCATCCCGACCTCCTTCCACTCGGGGAAGTACTCTGGCGCCTTCACTGTCTTGATGCTGGTTGGTGTTTGGCCGTGAGACGAATGCGTGTTGTGCGAGCCCAGAGATACTAGAGAGTTGGGCATGCCAGCATGGAGCATATGAGGGTTTTGCGCCGTCGTAGCAGCAATCAGGAGCGGATTCACGCCGCTGCTGGGCTGGAACCCGGGGGGCTGAGGCGTATTGGCGCCCGTTCCCGTAGGTGTAGAGAGGTTGGAGGGAAGCTCTGATGTGAAGATGGTAGCCGATGACGGCGAAATGAGATATTTCGACTGCAAAGTGGAGATGAGCGCTTCCTTGAATCCTGCATTCCGTCAGTATATCCTCACGGTACATGAGAACGAACGCCTTACCTCTAACTTTGGCGCCATTGCCAACGATGATCATGGACTCCCAGAGCTCACCCCGTTTGTTCACTTCATCGACCGAGGATATGGTGCGATGTATGGCATCGGCAATACGGTCTAGCACGCCTCCACTTGCAGCTTGGAACCGTTCTGTGCCCACTTCAATCTCGCGGCGTATGGGGCCGCGTGAAGAACCATTGCCCACCACCGTAGATGTACCATTTGTCTCCTCGCTCGCGGCTGCTTCGCCGCTTGTGACATTTTCACCATCCGCCGCCGTCTTGGGTCCCTCGTCCAGCGCGGCCTGCGCCTCGGCCATCTTTTGACCCCCGAGATTCATATCCTTGAGTGCATCCAACAACGCATGATCTTCGTAGAGGAACGTTGCCTTCTCCCTCTTGACGTTTGGTAAGCGCATTGGCTTGGCAGCAGACTGCGCAGTCTCTGTCCCTTTCTTCTTAGCCGCGACCTTCTCCGCCTTGTCCTTCTCCCGTTTAGCCAGATACTCGCTCATCTTGCCGCTCGTGACAATGTTGGCTACATCAAGCACGCCCTCATTCTCTTCATCACCTTTCTGCTCGTCGCCAACCTCCGTGTCGGGGCCTGGTCCACGTGGAACATTTCCAATGTTCGCGGCGGAGTCTGGCCCTGACGCGCTTGCGCCGGTAGACGCAGCCGCAGCAGGATTGACGGGAGGCTCTGCACCCTCACCAGCGCCTGGAAGTGGTGTATTCGGAGGCAGTATCTCGCAAATAGGGCTCCTCTTCAACTGCTCGCACATTTCGCGGGTGAAGCCCTTGGAGCCGAGCAGTTCTAGCAAACGTTGAGTCATGGCTTCTCCACCGCATTCGGGCAAAGCAACCGTCCTCCCAGTCTCGTGCATCACAAAATCGCTGATGGCCGTGATGTCCGCCTTGTCCAGGCCAATATCGACAACGGTAGTCGTGTGTATGCCATACGCATAGGCCGTGGCAGTCGCAGAGTCTAGGATGGTAAAAGCAGGCATCTTAAACTTCTCAAAGAAGAATTGCGTAAGTCTTTCCTTATCCTTGGGCGTCCAGACGGGCTGCCCGACGAGCAATATCGGCGTATGGAAGGGCGGGCTGAGGGTGTTGTAGACGTGCGTCATGAGCGCGTAGAAACAGGGCCAGTTGACAACCCTGCCCTCGACCATTGGCCATACGGCGCCCTCGTCGGAGAGGTGGTCTTCCTCGAATATGACCTCTTCCTCGGACTCGCCCAAGCTCTTCTTCATGTCATTCGTTTCGTCGGTTTCCTCCTGCGACACGGGCTTGCCGCCATTCTTCCTGCGGACCTTGTACGGCTCCCATTCGCCCTCCTTTTCCGCGGGGAACATGCGCGACTTGATGCGCAAACGCGCGGGCGTCAGCGACTCGGGCAGGCCGAGCTGCGCGAGCGTCGTGGTGGAGCCGGGCGAGATAATCTCGGGGCAGGGTCAGCGCTGGAAACATGATGACGGGCCGCGCGACCTACGATAATCTGTTCATCCTTGAAAGGCGGCATGGTTGCGCGGTGGGAAGGAGATGGCAGAATGCACGATGCGCGGAGGGAAGTCGCGTCTCCGGCGGCGGCGCATCAGAGGCAGCGGCGGTCCCGCGTGGTCCAAGCTTCCACACGCCTGGTAAGAATAGTCTCAGCAAGCCATGTCACCACCCGACTCCGTGTCGCGCCTGTAGTCTCGAGAGCCGTGTCCTCAATGATTGCTTGCACAGACCCGTCTCGCTCCATCCTCCCCCCATGTCGTCCTCAGTGACTATGAGCGCCTTGGCGCCTACCGCTACCCCGGCTAGCTCCTCGTCCCCCCTCGCCCTGGTGGGAAACGCCGTGCTGGAGACGCTTAAGGTCGTTCCCGGCGTGCTGTACTGGATCATCACCTTTACCTCCATCACTCTTCCAACATGGATCTTCACGCTGGCCTCGATGAGCTTGACCGTCACCATGAACGCCACGACCTTGTAGGTGGCCCAGAGCATCGTTGGGAGCGAGGACTAAGATAATTGTAGGATTGTCCTCTTCCTGGCCTTGGCCTCGACCATCAGCTGGTTCATACGCTACCGCTTCCTGAATATGTATACTCGCTTGCCTCCGGAACCACAGCGCGAAGAGCCTCACGTCGAGGTGTTTCCGGACCCGCAGGAAAACGATTCGAAGCGAGGCCTCTCAAACTATCTGGATGAATTTCTCAGTGCAATCAAGGTCTTTGGCTACCTGGAGCGCCCCGTCTTCCACGAACTTACGCGTACAATGCAAACCCGGAAGTTGGTCGCCGGAGAAACATTGCTTCTCGAAGAGGAAAAGGGCTTCTGCTTGGTAGTAGATGGCTTGGTACAAATATTTGTGAAGTCTAGCCGAGAGGACCCATCGGAAGCTGGGCCCTCGGAAGCATCTGAGGATGAGGACGGAGACGATGCCGGGCACAATCAGGGATATCAGCTCTTGACTGAAGTCAAGAATGGCGCACCCATGTCATCCTTGTTCTCAATTCTGTCGCTGTTTACTGAAGACATCAAGCTGCGGCACGATGAAGACGAGCAAGGGCTTGGTTCTGGTGGCCCCTCTAGCGCTGGTGCCAATCAATTCCAACCTCCCGAGCCAAACAGCGTCTCTGTTGGAGCGGTTACTCCCCACTCAGATGTGGAAAGCCCTGTGCAAGATGCTCCCATTTCTCCTAGAGCAGACCTGAGCCGGGGTCGTGCTCAAGCATTTAGCCCTCCACAAGTTGGTCACCTCAAGAGGATCCCATCCTTGTCCCTCGACACGATGCAAGAAACAGAACAACGCGAGGAGATGCGTAAAGCGGGTCTTTCTCAATCACGCGCGAAGAAACTGAAGTCTGCTCACCCGGACATTGTGGCGAGAGCTACGGTTGACACTACAATTGCAATCATTCCAGCTACTGCCTTTCGGCGTCTTACACGCGTCTACCCGAAAGCTACAGCACATATCGTGCAAGTCATTCTCACGAGGCTACAACGTGTGACCCTGGCTACGGGTAACAACTACCTCGGTCTGACAAGCGAAGTCCTAAGGACTGAACGACTTATGAACAAGTACACGACTTATGACCTGCCTGGATTCTTGCGAGACACTGCATTAGAGCGGCTGAAGCAGAAATTCACAAAGGTTGGTATTTCAGAGATCTACTGTGACCATGTCTGACAACTCTTGCAGGAACGAGAACGGATTGGAAGAGAGGAAGGGATGAAGGGCATTGCTCTTCATAATCCAGGCGCTACCCGAGCTAGAAACCCTAGCAGTAGCCTAAGAAAGGAAGTTATGTCTCAGGCTAGGTTCCCTGCGGGTCGTCCTTCGACGGGTACCGTGGTGGATCCAGGGGTACGGAGGGTGTCGACCATGTTGAGCCCAGGAGAAGGAGACAGGAGCGGGGTGAGCGCAGGTACGTATTTGCATTTTGGTGACGGACGCGACGAAATTCCCCAAGCTACGTTCGATCCGTGCAGCATAAACGCTTCATTGCTGCACCTTTGTGAGAATGGCGACTGACCTACAATAGGTGATCTATTGACTAACCAGTATCCACCACGGTCGGCTGGTTGGCAAGGGCGTATGAACTTCTCTCAACCATTTGCCTCACCAGCGCCTGCACGACGGGATGCCCCGACTCCATTGGACGCTGGAAATTTTAATCCTTTCAACTCTCCTAGCGGACGCATACCTTTGCAACGCCAGGAGTCGATGGATGAGGATGCCTTTTTCCGTGCATCGGTCCTTGATTGTATGCTGAAGGCTATCGGTCTTACAAAAGCCGAAACACCGCTGGGGAAACCGGACTCCGTTGAACAGTCGCCTCGTCTTGTTTCCTTTGACTCAAGACGACAGAAGGCTGTTTTCAGCAATGTATTCGGCTTCATTGACCCATACGAAGCTTCTATAGATGCCGAAACTGAATCCGCTGCGTCAGTTCCTCTGTCGACTGCTAGTGTGAGCAACTCTCGCAGTATACATGAGCAACTTGTCAACGACGTCGAAATTGTATTTTTCCCTAAAGGATCCGTTCTAGTTGAGCAAGGGGAGCGCAATCCAGGCCTTTACTATGTCATTGACGGGTTCCTCGACGTTGGCATGCCGGTGGATGGAAGCAGCAACGATCACGATGTGCTTGGCACATTTCCCGACTCAGCTGGGCTTGCAGCTTCGGACCTCCTGGGCGAATCTCTGCATAGGATCCCCACTGGATCATCAGCAACTGGGCCAACAAGCGAGACTGGCAAGAAGAAAAAGCAGCACCGCAGGAGCCTTTTCCTTACTAAGCCTGGTGGTCTCGCTGGCTATTTGGGTACCATTTCTTCGTACAGATCTTTCATTGACGTCACCGCCAAAACGGACGTATATGTGGGTTTCTTGCCCCGCGCGTCTATTGAAAGGATCGTCGACAGATATCCAGTGGTGCTCCTTACTATAGCTAAGAGACTGACGACCCTGCTGCCTCGCCTCATACTGCACATCGATTTCGCCCTTGAATGGGTTCAAGTCCATGCAGGACAGATTATCTACAATCAGGGCGATGAAAGTGATGCCATCTACATTGTCCTTAACGGCCGTCTACGAGCTATTCAAGAAACGGAAGATAAAGGCATGATGGTAGCCGGCGAATATGGCCAAGGCGACAGTGTTGGTGAACTAGAAGTCTTGACTGAATCTAGCCGTCCGGCATCGTTGCACGCTATTCGAGACACTGAGCTTGCCAAGTTTCCGAAGACGCTTTTCAACAGCCTTGCCCAGGAGCATCCGGGTATCACCATCAAGATATCAAAAATCATAGCGTCGCGCATGCGCACTTTGATCGATGATCCACTCCATGAGCAGATGGCGGAACGTACCACGGCTATCAAGAGCAACGTCTCGTCGACTACCAATTTACGCACAGTTGCGGTCCTTCCAATCACCTCGGGCATCCCTGTCGTCGAATTTGCCGGCAAACTGGTCAACGCTTTTACCCAGATTGGCACGCCGAATAGCGTGGTGTCCCTCAACCAAGCAGCTATCCTCAATCACCTCGGACGACATGCTTTCAGCCGCATGGGTAAGCTGAAACTGTCACAATACCTTGCCGATCTGGAACAAAAGTATGGAATGGTGTTGTATGTTGCCGACACTAACGTCAAATCACCCTGGACTCAAACATGCATCAGCCAAGCCGATTGTATCCTGCTGGTCGGCCTAGCCGAAGGCTCTTCCAACATTGGCGAGTACGAGAGAGTATTGCTCACAACGAAAACTACGGCGAGGAAAGAGCTTGTGCTGCTGCATTCTGAGCGCTATTGTCCTCCTGGTCTTACGCGGAAATGGCTGCGCAGCCGCCCGTGGGTCAATGGCAGCCATCACCATATCCACATGTCTTTCCGGACAACACCGGAGCCTGTGCATCCTCAACAAAGGCGCTTTGGCACGGCCCTAAAACAGCGCGTGCAAGTCATCCAGGCAGAAATTCAAAAGTACACCTCGAGGCGCGTCAGACAAACTCCACTGTACTCGGCGGACACTCCTTTTAAGGGAGACTTCCACAGACTGGCACGTCGGTTGTGTGGCAAGACGGTGGGCCTTGTGCTCGGTGGTGGTGGTGCTAGAGGTATCGCTCATGTTGGTATCATCAGAGCATTGGAGGAGGCAGGAATACCCATCGACATCATCGGAGGCACTTCGATTGGCTCTTTCATTGGTGCGCTGTATGCTTGGGATGCCGACGTTGTACCCATGTACGGCAGAGCAAAGAAATTCGCCGGTCGCATGGGTAGCATATGGAGGTTTGCTTTGGACCTCACATATCCTTCGTAAGTTGCTGCCTGAGCCCTTAATCTAACAAAAGCTCGACTAACAATCGACAACACAGTGCCTCATACACCACCGGCCATGAGTTCAACCGAGGTATCTTCAAGACATTCGGCAACAGCCAGATTGAGGACTTCTGGCTTGAGTTCTACTGCAACACGACCAACATCTCAAAGTCTCGTCAAGACGTGCACACATCTGGCTACGTATGGCGCTACGTACGAGCGTCAATGACTCTAGCCGGTCTTCTGCCACCTCTCTGCGACGAGGGAAGTATGCTGGTAGACGGCGGATACATCGACAACCTGACAGTTGCGCACATGAAGAGCCTCGGCGCAGACATAATTTTCGCCGTCGACGTAGGCGCCCTAGACGACAATACGCCACAGCAGTTTGGCGACTCGCTATCGGGATTCTGGGCGCTGCTCAACCGGTGGAATTTCTTCAGTTCGTTCCCGAACCCGCCGACGCTGTCGGAAATCCAGGCGCGCTTGGCGTACGTGAGTAGTGTGGACGCGCTGGAGCGGGCGAAGAACATGAAGGGATGCAGATATATGCGACCGCCGATTGACGGATACGGCACACTGGACTTTGCAAAGTTTGACGAGATCTACGACGTGGGGTACAAGTACGGCAAGGATTACTTGGCGAAGCTGAAGGAAGAGGGCGACCTGGGGACGCCGGAGGAGGGGGAGAAGCAGAGGCAGCTGAGGCGGACGATGGCGCCAAGAAGGGCTAGTATCTGAGGAGGCACTGGAGGATTCGGGCTACCCAGAGTGGTGATGGAATCCGTTCGGGCGAGGGAGTGCCGGCATCGGCTGCGAATCCGTACAGGGTGTAGGCGCATCGGAATGGAATCCGATGTCTGTGCCTGGGCTTCTGAGTCGTAATTCGTTGCCTCCACAAGTACGAAAAGCTGTGCTGTTTGCGGCATGGACATATCTTGCTGCACAGCGGCCCACCCTGTACTTCGTAACAGAGGTGGTCGATAAGAGGTTGGCGCTCCAGTTGGCCGAGGCGGGATCTGCGGGGAACAAGGATTACTCCGCAACTGCCCGAGGTCGGTGGCCTGAGCCGCAGATAGCCTCCGCAAACTGACGCAAATCGTCGACCCTTCCATTACTCGATTCCCATAAACCCATGACCTCGTGCCTTGAGTCCGTAGCCGCTCGGAGTGTGCTGCTTCCTCCAAACTTCCTCCTTGCAACCCTCTTCACCTCCCATCATCCTCAAGAGCGCCTTTCCCATCGTGACGCCAATTGAAGCTTGAGCACACACCACCCATAGCTCTCCACACTCCCGCTTACTCCTCAGTCAGAGCTTCCTCTACGCCGCGGGGCGCACCAAGCCCTCTCGCCAGACAAGATGCAGTCGCAATGTGCCAGAGCGGGTTTCCGCGCAACTCGTCTTATCCTATCGCAAGATGCTACGGCGCGAGTCTCTCGGAGCTGTCGCATTGCCGCCATGAGCCAACCTCTGAGCCTCTCGTTGCGCAGGAGTTCTAAAACACCTTCCGTCAGGACCTTTTACTCCAGCTCGGCCACCGACACCCGCGACAGTGACCCTTTGAGCGAGGGCGGATCTGTCCAGGGCTCTGCCTTTGCGCCTCTCGACACGTTCCCGCGCCGTCACATTGGCCCTACAGCTGCTGCGACGGAGCAGATGCTCAAGGCCCTCGACCCTCCCGTCAGCTCTCTTGACGAGTTTGTCAAACAAGTTGTGCCTGAGAACGTCCTGTCCAGCAGGGATCTCACCATCAATGGTCCGGCGATACGCGCCAGCAATGGCAAGCCCGCGACGTTCGGTCGGGAAGGATACACAGAAAGCCAATTGCTAGTCCGTCTGCGTGAGATTGCGCGTGGGAACAGCGTGAATCGAAGCTATATTGGATGCGGATACGCAGGAACGCGGGTACCCGAGGTAATCAAGAGAAATGTTTTGGAAGGGCCAGGGTGGTACACCAGCTACACCCCGTACCAGCCTGAGATCAGCCAGGGAAGACTAGAGTCGTTGCTGAATTTCCAGACAATGGTCTCGGACCTCACTGCACTACCCATTGCTAACGCGTCAGTGTTGGACGAACCAACGGCTGCCGCGGAAGCTATGACACTTTCTGTGAATGCCCTTCCCTTGAGCCGGCAAAAGAAGCCTAACAAGGTCTACTTTGTCGACGAAAACTGCCACCCCCAGACACTTTTTGTCCTGCAGTCCCGGGCTGAAGGTTTTGGAATAAAGATTGAGATTGGCGACGTGCTCAAGGACGGCGGTAAGCGCATCCAGGAGATTGGGCAGGACCTGATAGGCATCCTGGTGCAATACCCCGATACCTACGGCGGCGTGGAGGACTACAAGGCTGTTTCCGATGCAGTTCACAAGCTCGGTGGTACCGTCAGTGTAGCTACGGATCTGCTCGCCTTAACTGTTTTGAAGGCACCGGGCGAGTTTGGTGCCGATGTTGCTTTTGGCAACGCGCAGCGCTTCGGCGTGCCCTTTGGCTATGGTGGCCCTCACGCTGCATTCTTTGCCTGCAGTGAGAAGCACAAGCGCAAAATCCCGGGCCGTCTCGTAGGCATGTCGAAGGACAGACTAGGAGAGGGAGCGGCCAGATTAGCTTTGCAAACTCGTGAGCAGCACATCAGGAGAGAAAAAGCAACAAGCAACATCTGCACCGCACAGGCGCTTTTGGCCAACATGAGTGCGTTCTTCGCCATCTACCATGGCCCACACGGCTTGAAGAGCATTGCGGAAAGAGTCATCACCACCGCCAGGGTCATCCAAGCCGCACTCAACCAACTCGGTTTCGAGACGAGGAAACGCGGCACAACCGGTAAGAACCAGGTCCTGTTCGACACGATCGTTGTCAATACCGAGGAAAACACCAAGCAAATCATCGCCAAGGCATTGGAGGAAAAGAAGATTAACCTCCGGGCCATTGACGACAGTCACATCGGCATCACCGTTGATGAGACGGTCGCGAAAGATGATGTGGAAGATATCCTGGATGTCTTCCGCTCTTTCGCTGATGTCAAAGACCTTCCGGACGTTGAGAAGCTGGCTGAGCAGGTTGGTTTCGCCTCTAGCGGTCTGCCCGAGCCGTTCAAGAGGACTTCATCCTACCTTACGCATTCCGTCTTCAACACGCATCACTCTGAAACCGAACTCCTCCGCTATATTCACCATCTTCAGTCCAAGGACCTTTCTCTCACCCACTCTATGATACCCCTCGGCTCCTGCACCATGAAGCTGAACGCCACGACCGAAATGGTTCCTATCTCCTGGCCTGAATTCTCGTCCATCCACCCCTTTGTACCTACGGACCAAGCCAAGGGCTACGCAACACTCATCTCTGAGCTTGAACGCGATCTTGCTGAAATCACCGGCTTCCATTCAGTGTCGCTCCAGCCCAACTCCGGCGCCCAGGGTGAGTTTACCGGCCTGCGCATCATCCGCAAGTATTTGGAGCAACAGTCAGGCAAGAAGCGCGACATTTGCCTGATCCCAGTCTCCGCTCACGGCACCAATCCCGCGAGTGCTGCCATGGCAGGCATGCGTGTCGTAACAATCAAGTGCGACACCGGGACGGGTAACCTGGACATGGAGGATCTGAAGACCAAGTGCGAGAAGCACAGTGAAGAGCTAGCAGCGATCATGATCACATACCCCAGTACGTTCGGTGTATTCGAGCCGAAGGTCAAGGAGGCATGCGAGCTCGTCCACAAGCATGGCGGCCAAGTCTATATGGACGGCGCGAACATGAACGCGCAGATTGGACTGTGCTCTCCTGGCGAGATCGGTGCCGATGTCTGCCACCTCAACCTGCACAAGACATTCTGCATCCCGCACGGCGGCGGCGGGCCAGGCGTCGGACCCATCGGCGTGGCCGAGCACCTTTCGCACTATCTGCCAGGGCACCCGCTCATCGCCACGGGCGGGGACAAGGCGATCGCGCCCGTGTCCGGGGCGCCCTGGGGCTCCGCGAGCATTCTGCCGATCAGCTGGGCGTACATCAAGATGATGGGCGGGCTAGGTCTCACGCACGCGACGAAGATCACGCTGCTCAACGCCAACTACATCCTCAGCCGGCTAAAGCCGCACTACCCGATCCTGTACACGAACGCGGCGGGGCGGTGCGCGCACGAGTTCATCCTCGATGTGCGCGGGTTCAAGGACAGCGCGGGCGTCGAGGCCATCGACATTGCCAAGCGCTTGCAGGACTACGGCTTCCACGCGCCGACGATGAGCTGGCCCGTCGCAAACACGCTGATGATCGAGCCCACCGAGAGCGAGTCCCAGGCTGAGCTGGACCGCTTCTGCGACGCGCTGATCTCGATCCGCAAGGAGATTGAGGCGGTCGAGAAGGGCGACGCGCCCCGCGATGGCAATGTCTTGAAGATGGCGCCGCACTCGCTCAAGGACCTGCTGCAGGATAAGTGGGAGCGCGCGTACTCGCGCGACCAGGCTGCGTTCCCGCTGCCTTGGCTTCGGGAGAAGAAATTCTGGCCTTCGGTTGCGAGGCTGGATGATGGTGCGTTTTTCCCTTTCCAACCCCCTTCTCCCTCTTTCTTCTTTTACTTCTTCTACGTCCTTTATTGTGCTGCGATGACGACCGACTGACTGACTCTGCCAACAGCCTACGGTGACACCAACCTCTTCTGCACGTGCGCGCCCCTTCAGCCCGAGGGCGAGACCCTGGGCACAGACTTGACGGGCGCGGCCGCGCCGCAGCCCACTTAGGACTTGGGCGGCCTTTTCTCGCGTGGGGAGCTTGCAGTAGTACGTAGTTAGAAAGGGTGCTTTGCATCCCTTCCCCCTCTGCGCAGGTGACGCGTGCGGATGAGTGAGTGAGTGGGTGATATGAGCAAGTAAGCCAGTAAGCGGCAGCGCAGGCGTTTTCTAGAGCACGCAGTCTATGTATCTACGACCGAAGATATTTCAACACCAGGGGCGTCTTCCTTTTCTTTCTCTTTCCCTTTCTCTTTCCCTTTTTCCTTTGCCTTCGGCTTCTGGATCTCGGCTGCGAGCGAGAGGGCTCTTAACAGCGCCTCCACCCTTTTATATGTTGCCTGCATGTGTGTGGGTGTGTGTCGATTTTCGGCTTCTTGATTGATTGATTGCTTGTTTGCTAGCGTGCCTGCCTGTGGGGTTTTTGCGGCTGCGCGGTTGCGGTGCACTGCATTTTTGTGTCGTGCTGGGTTAGCTGGCTTGGCTTGGTTTGGGTAGACAGACTACATACAACTACTGTAGAGCTTGCGTCTGGCTTTTATTGCAATTGGGAGCGGATGAATAGGTGATTGATGTGAGCGGGTGTTAAGTGGTGGTGTTGTGCTGCTGTTTTCGTCCTCGTGGTTGCCCGTTTCCTTCATCCCGTGCGTGACCATGCCTTTTCTTTTTGGCACCGGATAATTTGCCCACCCCCTCTAGATATTTTGCCCACCCCACGTGATAGCATCTACAGAATTACATGATGTGTTTTCTAGTTTTTAAGATCTTAGGTCTCTATACCCTTATAAGTATGTTTATACCCTTCGAGTGTTTTATTTTTATACCCTCGTAGCTACTCTAGTAGTCGCATATATCTATACCTCTATACTCTCGTAGTATACTCTACTACTCGTATATTTTTAATCTTATATAATTATATAGTATCTATTAGCTGTAGTGTAATAGTCTATTATAACTACCTAAGAAGTATTCTGTAGATACTATAGATTTTACTCAATATATAGTTGAGGGGTGGGGAAATTATCCGGGGCCTTCTTTTTTTTCTACAGTTTTGTGTTCAGGAGCTGGAGGATCGCAATTCGCTTCTTATCGCTTCGTGTTTTGTTTTCAAGACAGTACCGGTGCTAACTGCAGATTCACGCTCGCACAGTCCCATCTACATAGCTCATCGAAGAGCTCGTATGTAACCGTAATCGCAATCTTCTCCCGCAGGCGTCTTCGGTTCGTTGTGCGCATAGATGCTTACAACCTAGGTATGTTATATTGTGTAGTTCGAGTGCAGTTTTCTGTGCTCTTCCTTTTAGGACAGTGTACATATGTGTTGTTTACGGCCGATTGCTTTAGACGGGGTCGTGGTGGCGTGGTGGCGTGGTGTCGTTTGCATTGTGGACGGGAAAATTATACACAAAGTGTTTTCGAGAATTGGATATAGAAATGGGAAAAGAAAGGGGAACGGTTATGCTTCGTGCTGCTGTGTCATACCTGCAATCGCTGATTGTTTTCGGTGAACTATAAATATCTCTTCTGCACATGTTTCTCTCGATATTCATGAATCGTGACGGTAGCTTGGCTCATTGGTTCCAAGTGGGTGGCCCTTTACAGTGACGTGCCCTAAGTATTCATGCCACCCCTGTTTTACACCAAAACTTGCCTTACGCAGTGAGCAATTTCACAACCAAGGAGCTTATAAAAATACTTGAAACTTATATAAGTTAGAGAAAATTGCATGCCCTAAATTATTATAAGATTTCTTATAAAAAGGTAATTTAGAAAAAGAAGATTTTTAGGTATAAAGTAGAGGTAAGTAAGAATTTGGCGGTTTTCCATACAAATTCGCCGAATTTTAATAGTACTAGATTTTATACTAAAATTTCTTAAAATTAGAGACTTAATAAATAATTCTAAACTAGTAGAGTAATAGTTTAACCAATTTTCTACTAACCTAGAAAATTTTAAAGAGATATAGTAAGGTTAGGTAGCTATAAAATACGTGCGAAGAGGACGAGTTTTAGTATAAAATAGGGGTAGTATAAATACTTAGGGCCTAGTAACGTCCGTTACCGTAAAGCAAGATTAGCTATAAAGCGAGATAGTAATACGTATACGGAGTAGAATAAGAGACCTAGTTAAGATATATAGAAGCTCTATATACTCTAAGACCTTTTTACCTATACCGGGGACTCGGGATAGGAGCTAGGCAAGGAGTACTCTATAGGGACTACTTAACTTATCCCTTATCTCGCTATACGGTAGATCTCGGTTTATAGTAATAGACGTCGCGTTATATCGCGATATCTTTAGTCGTTAAGGTAAGTTCGGGCTTATAGCTAGATAAGGAGTACTCTATAGGGACTGTTTGTATCGTCCTCTGTCTCGCTAGACGGTAGATCTCAGTTCACGGTGACGGACGTTACTGTATCTGTTATTACTAGCAAAAATCTCTCTACAGAATCTTTTCAGAACTCAGTAAACCAGCCAGCTCGTCCCACAATCTATCTAAACAAATCCACCCCAAAGGACTACCAGAGCTCATACATCAAAGACCCAGCCGGCCACCATATCAACTCAGCGCCACAGTCCCCACCACGTCCGCAGCCCAGACAACCAACGCGGCCCCGCTGCCTCGGGAACAAAAAACGACACGGCCAAAGCCCTGTAAAAAAGCCCTCGCCTTGTCATGCATGCGCACCTCTCCGGGATCAAAGTTCAAGACCTGCAGGCCGTGCATGTCAGTGGCACGAGACAGGGAAACATATACGTCTGGCCCTTTTCGAACTCACGGCTTACATAGGTGCGCCTTCACACAATACGCCCTCCCTCTTCACTACCACCATACTTAACTAAGCAACTAAACAACCCTGTATATGCACACAAGCTATATACCTCGCGAGAGGTAGCATTCCCTTGGTGCATACACACATATACATACATACACACACATATATATATCCTATCAAATCCAGCTAGCAAGCCTACACCAACCAAACCCACCCACAAACCCAAACAAACGCAAAAAAGCCCCAGCCCAAGCCGTGCCGTGCCAAATCCCGCATTAAGCGCATGCAATGCAGCATGCACGCACGCACGTAAGAGCTGAAAGACGAAAGAAGGAAAGAAGTTAAGAAAGGAAACGTAAGGCAAGGCAAAGAAAAGAAAAAGGCAATATGTATAAAGAACCTCACACACACTCTCTCTCATCCTCAGCAGTGCTAGCAGCAGCAAACGCAGCGCGAAACCCCCACGCTAACAACGACAACGAAACCTCTCCATCGGACGGACGGGTAAACAGACAGACAAACAGACAGAGACAGACAGACTTACTCGGCGCCGCCCACCAGCACGACCCTACTGCGACAATGACGACGGCAACGACGACGATAACATCAACAAGCCAAGTTAAGCAAAGCAAACAAGACAAGACAAGACAAGAGAACAAGAAAAAGGAAAAAGGAAACCCCCCCATTCCCATTTCCATTCCATAAGCTTCCATCTTCCAAGAATCATATCCATATCCATACCTATCCACCCTCTCGAGCACCGCTGCCGTTACTGCTCCTACTGCTCCCACTACTACTGCTACAACGACAACAACAACAACAACAACAACAACTTAGAATAGTCAATAGACCTGCCCGCGCGCGCTCACGCGCTCCACAATGCCGCTTCGCTCACTAGGTATGTATGCCTTGCCTTGCTCCGGGACGCTTTGTTTCTTTCTTTCTTTTTTCTTCTGATGATTCTGATTCTGATTCAGATCGCACTAGTACAACTGCTGCTGCAACGACGACGAAGGTGGTGACGACGGTGGCTTCAATGCGTGCGTGGGTGGTTCGTGATGTTGCTGGTAGGTAGTAGGCAGTGATGCAGGCAGGCATAACGAGATCAGCTAACTGAGTCCACAAACTTGCAAGCAAGCAAGCAGCAAGCAAGCAAACCACCCGCCAAACAAACAACCTCTTACGCCGTCCCATTCGTCGTGGGCGCCGCCCCCTCCGCCGGCGCCGCCAGAATCGAGTACTGCCCGCCCGCATCCGCAAAACACAGCTTCTTCTCGCGCACGGCCGTGTTATCAATGAGCGTGGCGACCTCGATGTCGTCGTCGGTGCCCTGGCCCGTCTGGTAGTTTGCGCTGAAGCCCCACGAGTACGCCCGGCCCTCGCGCGTAATCGCTATCGTGTGGTCGAAGCCGCAGCACGCGTACACGGCGTCGATGCCCGGCACCGCCGTCGGCACCTTCAGGATGCGCGCCCGCCCGTGCTCGTCGCGCTTGACTTGCTCCTCCGGCAGCGCCTTCAGCGTCTCCATCGGTATCCCCATCTGGAATCCGTCCAGCCGGCCCCACACCAGGCATTCGCCGCCTTCCGTCACGCCCACCGAGTGGTGCCCTCCGCCGTACAGCATCTTCATGTTCTTGCCCGCCAGGTTCTCTACCTTGGCCGGCTTGAGAATCACCGCGTCGTCCTCGCCCGCGTGCTCCGGGATGCCCGTCTCGCCGAAGTTGTTCAGGCCCCATGCCCACACGTTGCCCTTCTTGTCCATGGCGAACGAGTGGTACGAGCCGCACGCAATCTGCGTAATCTGTCTCCGGGGAAGACCAAACTCGCGGGGGACGAGACCCTCGATCTTGGTGCGCTCGACGACGCGGCGGCCAAGCTGGTTCTGCTGACCGCTGCCCCAGGCAAAGACGTTACCGCTTGCGTCTAGGGCGAGGATGTGGTTGGCGCCGGCAGCAATGTGCCTGATTTTCTTCAGCTCCGGGATGAGCACGGGAGTCTTTTGGACAACACTAGTCTTGCTAAATCCAAAAATTCCCTCGTTGCTCTAGAAATCATGTGAAATTAGTGTGTTTTCTGGGGACCACTGCATTGATGATCACTTACCCTGAAAGTTCCCCATCCGTAGACGAGACCGTCATCGGTCAAAGCAAACGAAGCACTGTCCGCCGCAGCAACCTCAACAAACTTGGTGCCCTCGGGGAAAGCATCCTCAGGGATGGCGGTGGGCGTGGCCTCACGGGGGTTCATGCCCGTGTCATCGCCAGAGTCTGAGCTGTCATCACTCTTGTTGTCGTCAATGTCCACTAGACCGCCTTCCCATGCAGTGTCCCTGCCCAGCGAACCCTGGTCGTTGACGCCCCACGTCAGGAGCTTGTTGTCGTGGGTCAGGGCGATGACGTGCATGCCACCAGCAGCGATCCGCACAACGCCGACGCTATCGGCAGGAAGAAGCGGGTTAAGGCGCGGACGCTTGACGTCGATTGCGTTCTTTGCGGTCCCGAGACCGAGCTCGCCGGAGCTGCCCTCACCGAAAACGTAAATGTGCATGCGCTGCGTCGGCACGACGTTCTTTTCATCGTCCTTGAGAAGCGCCGAAGCCCTGACCTTTTTCGCGACAGGCGCCTCAGGCTCAGATGAAGCCTTGCGCTTGTTGGACTTGGCCATGGTGGTTTTGGACTTGGTGCTGCTCTTGCTCGCTTTGGATGTTTGCGACTCTTGAGACTCGGCGGGAGGAGGAGACGCGGACTCGGCTTTTTTATCCGCTGGCACGCGCAAGTCAGCCATGATCAATGTTAGATCGAATTGATCATTGGGTTAATCCGGTGTGATGATTGGCGCAATGCGCACAACAAAATATGAAATGCGACGCTCACCCTTTGCTGCCTTGGCGGGAGCCTTCACCTTCTCATCGGCTTGAGGCTTTGCAGGCCGACCGCGCTTGGCAGGCTCCTTTTTGGGCGCGGCTTCCTTGGCTCCATTCGTGGCGGCCTTTTTGGCTGGGGCCTTTCCTGTAGCCTTGGTGGCAGTCTGTGTTATCTTGGTGGTCGTTGTCGTGGTCTTTCTGGTGATTCGCTTTACCTTGGTCGCAGGGGCGTCGGCGGCCTTCCTGGAGGGGAGAGCTGCAGCGGCGCGCTTGGGAGGCATTATTGTAGAGGGTTGCGACAGATTTGATGAACCGATGAGGTTGTGATGGAGGTGACCGCGGCCGAGTAAGCTGCAGGGGTGAGAGGTGGAGTGAGGCTGAGGTGTCGAGGGCGCAAGGAGAAGTCGCCAGGAGCGGCGCAAGCTATGGTTCAATGGGGCAGTGGGCGCAGTGCGGTCGAGGGAAGGGTGCAGACAATGGACGGGCGACAAAGGGCACGAAAAGTCACAGCTCTGTTGTGTGTCGGCGGGTGATGTGATGCGACCCGCCGCGCTGACTCGCGTTCTGCAGTTACCGACATTCCGAAGCAATGACAACACCCGCTCCTCTTCACCGCGCGAAATCCACCACGTCCACACAGTATATACTCCAAGGCCCCCCGACAGTCCGAGCAATACAACACCCGCTCCCCTTCACCGCGCGCTCCGAAGGAAACCCACCACGCCCACACAGTATGCTCCAAGTCCCCCCAGCCGCTGCTTCTCCCGTCCCGCCTCTTCCCGCCATTCCTTCAGTGCCTCCACCACCTCCGCATCGCCCGTCGCCGCCTCACCGTGCAACCGCAAAAACACCGACATCCACGCCTGCACCAGCTCGTACTCGCGCTTCTGCCGCAACCGCGCCGTCAGCGCCTCGATGAACGTCACGAACTCGGGCGCGTCGAGCGATCGGATCGCTAGGTCGGCCGCACTAGGCGGGAGCGACGCAAGATGCGCCAGCACCGTGTCGCCATCGCCCGTTTGCGCCGCGTTGGCAAGATGCCTGCTAAATTCTGACTGGTGAGCACCCGAATTTGAGATCCGTGAGAGTGCGCTTGCTTGCGCAGCACCGTCTTCTGCTTTCTTGACCGCGGCCGGGTTGGCGGCCGGGTTGGGCGCGCCGTTTTGTAAGCTTGGCAGGAAAAAGGGCGCCTTCTCTGGCGCTTTTGGTGCCTCCTTTGGCTTGTTGCGCTCGCGGATGAGGTCAAGATGAAGCAGGTTTTGCCATCTCGACTTAGGCACCAGACTCAGCGTAGTGATAGACTCGCTGAGTTGGTCAATGGAAGGCACACCGCTGTCTGCGATAGCGTCTTCCTGCTCTTCTTCCTCATCAGCGTATGCCGCCTCCACAATGCCTTCTCCACCCTCCCCTGATGCAGTGGGGGCGTCCATCTCCACAATATCCTTGTCAGTGATATGCCTCGTAGGCACGTGCGTAAAGAGGGTCTTGTTCGTCCAGATGTGTACTCCAACAGTGTCTTCCTGAGCGATAGCTAGATATTCGCCTGTAGCCGAGAAAGACAACGCTTTACAGGGGCTTCGCAACTTCACTCCGTCAATTAGGTGGCCAGTCGGGATATCCCAGACACGGACACATGAGTCGCCAGAAGAGGCAACGATCCAGCGTCCATCATTAGAAAAGATCAGGTCGTTAACTTGGCCTTGGCATCCAAACAGCTCACGAACGAGCTTCTTTGTCTCGATGTCAATGACACGGATGGAGGAATCGGAGCAACTGAGAGCAATGAGATCGCTGGGCCTGTGGTAGCGAATGCCGGTTATTGTCACCATGGGGTGCCAGTCAATCTCATGTAAAAGCAGACCACTGGTAAAATCCCAAAACTGTAGTGTCGTTAGTAGAGAACAACCAAATGAGACAAACGTTTCTTACCTTGACCTTGCCATCGTCACCACAGCTGATGACGGTCCGGTTAAGATTGTCCACAACCAAACCAGTTACGGCCTTGGTGTGCTTGCCTTGACCCCTTGCGAACTTTTTAGGCTTGCCATCCAAGCCGTCCATCTCGGCATCCTCAGCCTGCTGGAGCTGAAGTTGTTTTGCTTGTTTGGGAGTAAGGCGCGCCGGAAACCTTTGACGATGGATACCAGATTGCAAGTTAAACATGTCGATCCCACCTCCCTCGGATCCAATCAGTGCAAACGTGCCACAAGGAGAAATGGCGACACTGGTAACAGGCGTAGCATCGCCTGTATCGAAAGCCCATCGTCCCGCCTTCTTCTTGCCCCAAAACCATGTTCTGGCAGTCTTACTGTCATCATGGCCCGTGACTACACTTTCCCAGCCGGTCAATCCGGTAGAGTCGCTACCTGAGGCTCCTTTTGCTTTGGTGGGGTTGTTCCAGACAGCAGAAACGCCGGGAACCGCGCCCATACCGCCATCTCGGTTCAAGGAGCATGCCATACAGGTGATCTTGGGTGCCCTGAGGTCCTCGATCGACAGACTGCTATCGATAGACGCAAGTCCATTGCTGAGGATGCCCATCTTCTTGGCCTTCTTGCGGATGTTGCCTTGACTGAGCTCAGAACTCTGACCGTCCCGGCGCAAGCTCCATCCCCACAACGTACGGTCGCGACTGGCACTAAGGAGCCATTTTCCGCCAGCGTCGGCTCCGTCAGCGTCTGAAGGCAGGAATTCTAGGCTGGATACCGGTGCAGAATGGCCGCTCCTGGAATGCAAAATGCGCGGAATGGGAGAGAATGGCGTTTGGTCGAAAATCCAGGTCTTCAAAGAGTTGTCGAGTCCACTGGTAACAATGATAGCTTGTCCAGCAAGGAACTCCACCTTGCTGATGCCACCAGAGATACCTCCATCGGCGGGCGACGGGGGGTTGTGAGCGCCGCGGAGAACACCCATTTTTCGACCACCTCCGTTCAGGTCCCAGAATACCACGTCGCCAGTGTCCCTGCAAGCTGTCGCCATGATGCCGTCCTTCTGACCATCCTCTCCAGCGCCAAGGCCGTCGGAACGGAAAGAAATTGAGGTGACGGGAGACTTTTTCGCAGAGCCGGTGTTCAAGCTAAGAATTTCCTTATCCGCGCGGATATCATGAATTACCACAGGACCGTTACCGTAGGCGATTGCGACCAAAGACAAAGCGGGCGTTGGCTCCAAGGCTGTCACGGGTCCATATTCCGCTGCCGCGGGAAAGATGGTGTACAGCAGCTTCCCGGTGTTTATGTTCCAGATCTCGACACTCCCGTCTTGTCTTCCCGCAAGGATCTTGTTCAGGTAAGTGGGCATGTTGCAAATGCCACCAGTCAGCAAGCTGCCTGCACCGCCCAACCGCGGAGCCGTAAGGGTGGTGTAATGCTCCAATGTAGCAGATTTCCAGATCTCGATCCTCGTGGAGCCACAACCAACGATCCACGCGCCAAACACCGTGATCTGCTTGATATTTTCGTCGCATCCGCGCGGGAGCTCAAGCTCATCCACCTTTTTGCCGCGCTTAAACACCCACACACCCCTGGTAGCCTTGCGCCCTTCGCCGCCCCATGCAGCCAGAATACGGTCCTTCCATGAAGAGGTAGCGGTAATGGTCTCGGGAGTTTGGGGCCTCGTGATGAAAACGAGGTTCAGGCCTCGGCGCAGGTCATAGGTCTGGAGGCTCCGTCCGACCGATGTCGTGATTTGAAAGGTCGTCTTGCCGAGGGGCACGCTCGTAAAAGGCACGTCGGTGGGAGAAATTAAGCCTACCGTCTGCAAAAGTTAGCTTCCATTGGAGCAGTTGCAAAAGCGCGGCGTCGTACGCGAAAAGGCGCAAATAATCGGGACTTTGCACTGCGCGTCTGATCGGCGCGGGCGGCATCGCGCCTCTGTCGCTTGACCACGGGCCCGTCAGTCGCAGCCATGTTGGATTCGCGTGTGTCGTACTTGTCGAGAGGGTCGCGCGGGCAAGTCGGCGGTGGAAATTTCTTGATCAGATAAGATGGATCGACGCAGGGATGGACGAGCGGACGCCAGGACGCTAACGTCATGCCGGGGGAAAGGCGCTAAGGCACGCAGGCCATCAGGCGTTGAGCGTTCGATGCCAGAGCAAAAAACCTTCCCAAGCAGCCACAGTGCCACAGCTGCGCCCCGATATTAGCCGCCCATCATCCATATACATGGATTCCCAGGCGCGCTCGCCCAGTGCCGAGGGCACGCGCCCGCGTCGCGAGTCTCATTCGCTCTCCGGAGCCTCGTCGCCCTCTGCGAATCGCAAGGCTCGTACCGCAGACCCAGGAACCAGCATCGGAGATGTCGAGAGGGCCAGCCTCTCCATGCCCCCGCCTACGACTAGGCCGAGTCCCTACCAACCTCCGGACCGCAGGCCGTCCAAGGCATCCGAAACGAGTTCTTTGGCCGCCTCTGGCGTCCTCGACTATCCCGAGGTGCACCACCTGCAGTCCACCTCTGCCATAGACGATGCGGCCGAGAGTACAACGACCGAGAGCGTCCGCGGAAACGCAGACAAGGAATCGAATAGGATGTCGTTCTCTTCACTTTATTCCTTGGGTTCGCAAATCTATAATAGTGCTCGGGTTTCAGCGACAAGTGGGCCCAGTTCTCTCACCGGGTCTGAACCAGATAGTACGCTCTGGAATCTGTGAAACGAGAAAGATGGAATCGCTAACTTCTTTGTTAGTCCGATCGATGGATCACTCTGCTCCACCTGGTATGACCACCACCGCAACTTCGTCAATCTCAGTCACGACTTCCAGTCAACATAACCAAGGCCCTACAACTTCACAACTGCTGTCGCCAAAAGAGCTAACTAACCCAGGCTCTCCCACTACAGCAGGTTTTGGCACGACGACGCCTCAAACTAGGCAATCCCGGAGTCGGACGACAAACCAGAGACGAATCAGCCACCACGGCACTGTAAGCAGCGGAAGCCCAGCGAGCGAGAGGAGCATGGTCGGTACGAGAGGAGACGCGGAGCCCAAGAAAGCCCCCATCGGTATCATCGGCGTGTGCGCCCTTGATACAAAGGCGCGAAGCAAGCCGAGCAGAAATATCCTCAACCGTCTTATCGCCAACCAGGAATTTGAGGTTATCATCTTCGGAGACAAAGTTATCCTAGACGAAGAGGTTGAGAACTGGCCGGTTTGCGATTTTCTCATCTCGTTTTTCTCCGACGGATTCCCCTTGGAGAAAGCCATAGCTTATGCTCGCTTGCGGAAGCCTTTCTGCGTCAATGACCTTCCCATGCAAATGGTCCTTTGGGACCGCCGCATCTGCCTCCGGATTCTGGACAAGCTGAACGTGCCTACCCCAAAGAGGGTTGAAGTTAACCGCGACGGCGGTCCTACTCTCCCTTCTGTTGATCTTGCTCAGTTGATGTATGAAAAGACTGGTGTTAAGCTGGAAGGCCGAGAAGACGGCACCGGTGGTGGCGTTACTCCGCCCGAGAAAATAGAAATACTCGATGACGGCGATACCATCTGTGTGGACGGCGTCAAGCTCACAAAGCCTTTCGTGGAAAAGCCCGTAAGCGGAGAAGACCATAACATTCATATCTATTTCCCCAACTCTAGTGGCGGTGGCGGCCGTAGACTTTTCAGAAAGATCAACAACAAAAGCTCCGAGCATGATGAGACCTTGGACGTTCCAAGGAGCATCACAGAACCCGAGAGCAGCTACATCTACGAGCAATTTTTGCGGGTTGACAATGCTGAAGACGTCAAGGCCTACACTGTTGGCCCGGATTTCTGTCATGCAGAGACCCGGAAATCTCCAGTCGTTGATGGTGTTGTCAAGCGTAACCCGAACGGTAAAGAGATCAGATACGTCACGGGTCTGAGCAAAGAGGAGTCCGCCATGGCAGCTAGGATTGCCGAAGGTTTCGGACAGCGCGTGTGCGGATTTGACCTCCTCCGCACGGGCGACAAAAGCTATGTTATTGATGTCAACGGATGGAGCTTTGTCAAGGACAATAACGATTACTACGACAAGTGTGCTACCATTCTCAAGCAGATGTTCATCCGGGAGAAACAGCGTCATGACGGAACTCAACAGACTCAACAGCCCCAACAGGCCTCTGGAGAGCTCAATGAGCAAGGACTTCCGGATAGGTCCTCTAACCGTAAAAGCACCCTTTCCGCCCACAGGTCCGGGCTAAAGTCAATTTTGAAGTCGCCTAGTATGTCAAGGATAGCAAACCATATGCATCACGGACAGTCCCCTCATCGCAGCCTTCACGGTACTAACTCACCAGATCTTTCGACCCACACGACCCCCATAACCTCGCCGCCCAACATGGACCAGGGCACCCACTCGCCTGCTCCCAGTGCGCCCGACCCGCTTCCACCGCCCGCCGTCCCGGATCCTGCAATCCCTGTCAAACCTACCGCCGATGAACAAAGCCCAGCAGCTGTCCCACCTCCAGCATCTAAGGCTCAATGGAAACTGAAGGGGATGGTTTCCGTTATTCGTCATGCAGACAGGACTCCAAAGCAGAAGATAAAGTACAGCTTCCATACTAAACCCTTCGTTGACCTCCTGAAAGGACATCAAGAAGAGGTTCTTCTCATCGGAGAACCTGCTCTTCAAAGTGTTGCCGACGCCGTTGACAAGGCCATGGAAGAAGGCGAGGAAGATCCTGATAAGCTCATGAGCTTGAGGAATGCGCTGAACAAACGTGCTGGATGGCCAGGGACCAAAATCCAAATTAAGCCGATGTTCCGCAAACGGACTAAAGACGAGCTCCCTCCCGATTTTTTGGTTGATCTTCCTTCCGAGAACGAAGCTGAGAAGCATCCTGACGGACTTCCGAGTGAAGACGAAGCGCCCAAAGACCCGGTCAGATTAAAGGAATGGAGAGAAAAGAGGAGCAACTCTCTTAATGGAATGACGCTCTCACGCATCGCCGCGGCAGAGAAGAACCTGATCCTTGACAAGCTTCAACTTATTATCAAGTGGGGCGGTGAGCCTACGCACTCCGCTCGTTATCAGGCACGAGACTTGGGAGAAAACCTGAGGAACGATATGCTTCTGATGAACCGACACGCTTTGGACGACGTCCACGTCTTTAGCAGTTCTGAGCGTCGGTCGACGACCAGTGCACAAATATTCGCGACTACTTTCTTGAACCAAGAACTGCCACCAGACTTCATAAGCGTCCGCAAGGATCTGCTTGACGATTCAAACGCTGCCAAAGATGAGATGGACAGGGTCAAGAAGAAGCTGAAGATTCTCTTGCGCCAAGGAAACAAGGCTCCTCCGCAATTTGCATGGCCTGACAATATGCCAGAGCCTTTCATAGTTGTGCGCAAGGTTGTGGAGCTGATGAAGTTCCACCGTAAGGTTATGCGCCACAACTTTACCAAGTTGAAGTCTGGCGCAGCCTCTTCGTTGATCAATGCCGCCAAAGCTGGTACGGAAGGTACATCCAACGGAAATGGCTCACTTCCTCAGCCTCAGGTAATCGACTCAATCCAGTCCCGCTGGTGCAGTGGTGAAGATCCCGAGCTTTTCAGAGAGCGATGGGAGAAGCTTTTCAAGGAATTTTGCGATGAAGAAAAAGTCGATCCCAGCAAGATTTCTGAACTCTACGACACCATGAAGTTCGATGCACTTCATAACCGTCAGTTCCTGGAATGGTTGTTCACGCCCGATGACAGCCTGCTAGAGGAAGAGATGTTTGAGGAGAGTTTCGCCAAAGAGTCTGCACCGGGCAGTGCCTCCACGACTCAACCTCCTACCCCGTCCGAGTCGAAGCATGAATCGAATGGCAGTATTTCGCATCGCATGAGCTTCAGAAGAAAATCGGAAGCCGTTCCAATGGCACTCAAAGCGAAGGAGGTGGCTCAGCAGTCATACTTCAATCTTTTTGAAGGTGTTAGTACTGGCGCTGGACCTTCAAAGGCCAAAACCGATGCTCGTCTTGGAAAACTTCGTGAGCTTTACAAGCTGTGCAAGGTTCTCTTCGACTACATCGGCCCGCAAGAATATGGTATCACTGATGCGGAGAAGTTGGAGATCGGGTTGTTGACATCTCTGCCATTGCTGAAGGAGATTGTCCAAGATTTGGAAGAAATGCAGGCCTCGGACGATGCGAAGGCCTTCTTCTACTTCACCAAGGAGTCCCATATATACACCCTACTCAACTGCATCCTCGAAGGTGGCATTCAGACTAAGATCAAGCGCAACGCTATTCCGGAACTGGACTATCTCTCTCAAATCTGCTTCGAGTTGTTCGAGTCGCAGAACGCTACCTCGGAAGACGAGCCTGAATCTTTCAACTACAGCATCCGCATCAGTCTTTCTCCGGGTTGTCACACTTTTGATCCGCTTGATGTGTAAGTTTATTATTGTTGTTTACGACGCTGGAAACAAGTGCACTGACAAATATAGCCAACTCGACTCCAAACACTGTATCGGTATCGCACAGCGCCGCTCACTTACATCGCATCACGACTGGATGACGGTCATTAAAACTCTACGGGCAAAATTCCACACGTGAGCCATCTCGCAACATCGCCACCAAAGTGCACAGCTGATTCAGTTATTCAGTGTAAAACTTCCCAAATCATTCATCGCCATCAACCTTTCCGAGAAGGTTCCGCAAGCTTTTGGCAACCCCATCCCGATTGAAGAAGAAAGCAAAGACTCCGACAACACTGACGCACAGCCAATGGAGGACTAAACGGCACGTAACATTCTTTTTACGTACATGCATAAGGCAGCTTGGGCTAGCCGTGTTGGGTATCGCAGGATCATAAACACATCGTTATTTCAAGTGTATGCGGCAAAGCAATGACATGCATTCACTACAAACGACAGCCGTGTTTTTCTGTGTGATTTTACCCGTGATTAGCGATGTGGAGTCAGTAACGTCCGTCGCCCTCAAGTAAGACTCACCGTCTTGCGAGATGGTGATCCTTGACGGAGGGGAAGAAGAAATCCAACTAGGTATGTATAGTATGTACGTGCTCTAAGGCCCTCCCACCCATTCTCAAAACTCAAAACAACAGAGTATCTAAAGGAAAACGCCCAGAGCTTGCCGCCCAAAAGAAAACAACATATGAAGAAAATCGCCCAGAACGTCCTGTGAAGAACATCCAAAAGAAAACGGTCTAAGTAACAAGAATGCCCAAAGAGTCAACAGTCAGAAACATAAGGAAAAAGTAAGAACCCCCGAAAAGAACGTCAAAACTAAAGGAAATGCAGAATCCTCCGCTCAACGCCAGACAAAGCAAATCCACCGTGTTCCTGAAACGTGATCGAAATAGATACAACGCAAAGGATACAAGAAAAGGAAGTGCAAGCCCCAAAAAAACGACCTAAAAGAGACAACACAAAGAGTGTAGGTACAGAATCCTCCGCGCAACGCCAAACAAAGCTTTTCAACTAGTTCCGCCACCGCCATCCAGCACAAATCAAAAAGAAGAGTCTAAGATACAACGGGAAGAGGATACAAGCAAAGGAAAAGCTAAGTCCCAAAAAAACGACCGAATAACAAACACAAATTACGTACAGAGAAATGAGGAAAGGGGGTTCCAACAAAGGAAAACAGGTAAAGAACGACAACATACAAAGGGAATACAGGTAAAGAACGACAGCTTACAAAGGGAATATGGCAAAGAACGACAGCATGCAAAAGAAATACAGACAAAGAACGGCAATATACAAAGGAAAACAGGTAACGAACGACAGAGTACAAAGGAAATACAGGTAAGGAAGGACAACATACAAAAGAAATACAGATGGGGAATGAACGAAGAGAGCAAGAACAAGAACAAGAGAAACAACAACAAAAGAGAGACAATAAACAAAGGAGACCGATCCAGCACACCGCCATCAAACTCATAGCACCGGGAAGCTGCGCATTCAAAATCCGGAATCCAGAAATCCAGGAATCCAGGAGAATACACAGCAACAAAATCCACCGCCAACCAACCAACACTCAGAAACGCCGACAACCAAAAACCAAGAAGCAAAAAGCAAATGCCAAAACGCCGAAGTAACAATGGGCCTGCAACCCGAAAGCGTACAACCACCAAGGTCTTTTTTTGCCACCACAATACACCATTTTGAAATGTTTTTGTTGGACAGAGTCCTTTGAAAAAAGAAGAGAAAACAGAAAAACAAGAACAACAAGAAGAAAGAGCAAGGCTAAACAACAAGCAAAAAGCAAGAAAACAAAGCAGCAAAACTAAACAACAGGTGAAAGCAAGAAAGCAAAAACGCCAGCAACACCAAACAGTAAAAGCAAGAAAGCAAAAACCAAACAGCAGAAAACTAGAATACACAAAGGGGCCTGGAACCCGAGAACGTACAACCACCAAGGTCTTTTTTTGCCACCACAATAATACCATTTTAAAAATTTTTTGTGATTACTTTTTTTTTCAGAATCCAGAAATCCAGAATCCAGAATCCAGGGACCGGCAGTTCGCAGGGTCCAGGGTGATGGAAGGCCGCTCCAGTGGGGTTCCATCGGGGTCGAAATAATGTGACCAGCGGTTTGCAGGGTCCGGGGAAGGCCGCTCCAGTGGGGTTCCGCCGAGGTCGAAATGATAAGGACCGGCGGTTTGCAGGGTCCGGGATGATGGAAGGTCGCTCCAGTGGGATTCCATCAGGGTCGAGAGGAAGAAGAGAAGATTGCCAGGATGCCAGGGTGCCAGGGTGCCAGGGATCAAAGCGAAGGTCTCCAGAAAGTTGTAATGGATCCGGGAATCCGTGGGATAAATGAGAGTGGTCGCCGCCAGGCCAGGAACCAGAAAATCAACGACGTTCGCCACGCGAAGTTGGGTGAGACAAATGAATGAACCTCCGGGAAGAGTTGGGGAGAGCCGGGATCCGGGAACGAGGGAGGGGGCGCGGCGTGCCAGCACGTGGGGGGTGGAAGGAGGGACGCCCAAAAGGAGTGGAGGCGTCGAAGTAGCGGGTCCACCGGCGGGAGTTGATGATGATCGACGGTGTGAACCAGTCGAAATGAGTGTCGTCGCCAGCGGCGGAAGGAGTGGACGCCTTTTTAAGGCAAGACTTCAAAGGAGTGGCGGCAGCAGGCTTTTTGAGGGCCGGCTTGGTGGTGGTCGTCTTGGTGGTGGTGGCGGCGCGCATGGTGGTGGTGGTGGTGGTGGTGGTCGTGGTCGTCGCGACGGAAGTGATGTTGGTGATGGTGGTCGTCGTCGCGGTGGGAGGCGTAGTGAGCTTGGTGGTAGCCGTGATGTTGATTGAAATGTTGATTGATTGAATTGACGGCTACGGGTTGAATGCTGGAAGCTCACTGTGAAGAAGAAAAGAAGCTGAGATGGGCGGGGGGCAGGCCTCAATTTATACACGAGGATTCAGCTTGTTGTTGCACCTGTGAGTCCTCCAAAGCACTACACAACAGAGCACGCCTTCGATCGTACCGCTGGAAAGGAGGGGATAGAGTGGACATGATGTTTTGTGGACGGGGTGGTTGCTGGAACTCCTTCGGTGGACCCCCAATTGAGAACCACAACTCCCACTGGAACGCGAGCATAGGCCGCAACACTGACTTCATCACTCGGAGAGCACCGTCACTGAGCATTTGGCCTGGGAGATATGTCCCGTAGCCTTTCGGAAGAGAGTAGAGAGCTCAGTGAGTAAGTGTCTTCGAATCCTATACTAAAACAGCTCACTGAGAGAACCTCCCCCTCCTATATCAATCGCCTCAGGGGATTGGGCAAGAATTAGTCTGCTTCAGCTTCTGTATGAGGCTCCACATCTTTCTCCGTTTCGAGAACGACCGCAGGCGGATAATGATGTCGAGATGCTCTTCGCCATGGTAACGGGGAGGGCTGGAGCAAAGTCGTCACGAAGGCAGAGGCATCATATGGCAATTGGGGCTCCGCATTGGAGACGACCACAGGCGGACAATCATGCCGAATTGCTCTTCACCATAGCAACGGGGAGCAAAGCCATGGCGGAAGCAGAGATACCAATGGGCAGCGGAAGCACGACATTGAGGGCGAGCAGTCCCGTGCGAGATTTTCGCGACCCAGAGTGTTGTTGCTATAGATACAGCAACTTCAACTTTGGCTTGGGGTTGCTTGTAATTATGCAGAGCGAAATCGTCACCAGATGTAGAGGTATCGTCGGGTAAAGGATGCACAGCACCGAGGGTGGGCGGTCCCGTGTAGAGAGTTCCTCGGCCCGCAGTGTTGTTGCTATAGATACGGCAACCCAACTCTGGTTTTAGCTTGCTTACGAAGCTCGGAGCCGACCAAATTGAAAGCACGCAATTGGTAGTATTGCGGTTCGCCGGGCGGCCTCCTTTTTGAATTGTCGTTGCTATAGATACAGCGGCTTTGATGGCGGTTGCGCTTTGTCCATGCGCTTTGGAGCTGTAACGCGTGAAAGTACGGCATTGGCATCCGAAAAGTATCATGGGGAGTCGTATGGTTGGCTTCTGGTTTTGGGTTGTTATGGTTCTGCTCCAAGAACTCCAACACCGGTTCGGCAGCGACGGGATAAACTACGGCAGGATCTGCCCCAAGAAATCGTTGCCATGGGCGCGTAGCTAGCCATAGCAACAGAACCTTTGCCATTGTGATGTCATGAAGTGCAATGCGGATGCCTTTGCTTGTGAAGATGCGTGTGAGGCGTGCAAGGCAGCAAGGCAGCAAGGCAGCAAGGCAGCCGGACAGCCCCCAGCCCTCAGATAGCCGATACGAGATGGCTGGATAGGTATGTAGTGCGAGATACTGAAGAGGATGATGCGGCTTGTTGATGGGTCAATGGTAGAATTCGTTGGAGGTTTCGCTGTTTGACAAGGCTCTCATGTCGAGATGGATCAGAAGCCAATGCGCGGCGGACCTGACAAGCTTCAGGAAAGCCATCTTCGTGAAGATTCGAAGTCGAAACTTCGCGGTAATTCAAGTTCAAGTAGTGAGTAGCTGTATGTGAGAATGTGTTGGTTGTGTTGTGTGACGGGTGGGCGTTCCATCTTGGAAGGACTTCAGCATTGCGGGCGCAAACGTCCTTCAAAGAAGAAACAAGCTGCAGATCGGATTATATCCTACTAATCGGAATCTGTACAGTTGTAGAAGTGACTGGGAAGCTCTTTCCTAAGTAACTGTAAGACGCGACTATCCGTTCCGTTATCCTCTTTTCGCGACAACATCCCATTGGCAACAACAACACAGCCCAACCCCACCCAAAGCTTGCGAACCTGAAAGAAATAAAGATGCTGCAGCTCACAGCATTTGAATTTTACTAACAAAGACTGCCAGTTCGCGTTACTGCTTCAGTGTTTTGACCGAGGCGTTACGCCGGCAGCGACGCTCACACCCACGACCCGCTATTCAAATACAACACAATTGCTCAATCCGATCGAATACGATCCCTAGATCCATCGCAATGGCCGTTCATTTGAGCACTGCACTTGTGGCTTCGACAAACACCGAACGCGCTTTCCCGGTTGCCGCCAACCTCGACACGGGCCTTGAGCCGTCCTTCAAGAGATGAAACAACCTTCCGATCGCACAATAGAGTACATAACAGCAGCGAAAAAGAGTATTGAGATTGAAAAATGGCATTGCTCGAAGACCTCAAAGAGTTGGCACAGGATAGGGAACAAGGTACGCAGGAAGTCAATGCCATGTTAAGACGACATGAAACGATGAACATATAAGGATCTAAGAAAGAGCGAGAAGGCTTCGGAAGTGCCCAGTCATGGAAGGCTTCGCACGGTCGGATGAGTAGGCATCGTTACAATATTCACGCCCTTGAGAACCACCACATCGACCCACGAACGCAGGCCTCGAATCTACATGTGAAGTGATCTGTAGGGAGCGATCCAAACTACTGGCATGATAATAAAGGTATGTTGACGGTATCCATTAACATTTGAATTTGGGGCGACATGATGCATCCTCGCCTCGACGGAGAGCCACTCACCGTGGGGACACGAACAACACCATATGCCCCCGTATCCACAGCCAACAACCAGCGAAACAACCGCCATGAGGAGCGCACGCGGGCCGTACATGAAGGCAAGATTAATCAGCCCCTTGCCTATATATTCGCAGCTCTACAACCCATTCTCTCTCTCTCTCCAGTCGCTGTCAACTTCATGTTGACAAAGACACCCGTTCCGTTTTTCGGGTTCACCTCGCATGCGGGTATGCCAACTCCTCCAACCTCCTCAACCCACTCTTCAGATACAAACCACAGCAAGCGAACCGCGGCGTGAAGGCTCCCCAATACTGACAACCATCATCTCACAGCGATGCAGTAGAGCAGCATCATCCCTCGCCGACATAACCCATCAGCAACGACAATCTACACTCACCACAACCACCACCACCACGCCTCACAACCAGGCTTATCTCTCTATGAGATGTGTTATGACATGTACAAGACAAAGAACATAAAGTGCGCACCCCCAAAGGGGTCCTGGGATCCTGGGGAATGCTCCAGTGCAACCTTCAGTCAAAAGACTGCAAAATCATTAAAGAAGAAGAAGAGAGCACACCCACCCGCACGCCTTATATACGCGCGTCCACAGCCCACGACAGCACACCACGCCATCCTATGCCATGTCGTCGCACCCAACCTGCCATGGCATGGCATGGCGTGGCGTGGTGTGGCGCATGCACTAAGTCACGCACGTGCACGCCGGTGGCTTGTCCCCTGGTACTCAACACCACGTCTGACTCTGGCACCCATCATGGCCTAAAGTTGCACTGGCATCCTCGGTCCGGCCCGGTCACATGGCGTCTTCGATTGCGATCCAGCTACCTACCTACCTAGCTATGTGTTGCAAATAGGTGAGCAAGCAAGCAAGTGCACATGTCAAAAACGAACAAAATTGAAGACTCTGCAGGCGCCGCCAAGCAAGGCGAATAACTATATAGTATACGTAGGTATATAATCCGATACCCCCAAAAGCATCATCATACATGAAAAGAGAGAGAAGAGCTATCAAGCTACGAAGCCATGAAGCCAAGCCAAGCCAAGCCCAAACCAAACCAAAGCGAAAAAGAAGAGAAAGCCAAAACTAAAAAAAAGATAATAGAGAGGGCAAACCAACATGCTGTAAAAAAGTAAACTAAAAAAGGGGCGGCCCGAGGCCGAGGTTCAAGTTCGTTTCGCTCTATCGTCATTACCTACTTCTCTAACAAAGCCACCCGAGCTCTCTGTGTACGCGCAGGCTCATAGTGCATCCATGACCACCGTAAATGATCATCTCGCGCACTCTTCATCACTCTCACATACGCACGCTCTCTCTTTCTCTCTCAATCTCTCCCCTTCATTCACCGTGTTTCTCTCCCCCACATGCTCATGCCGACGCCTTGGCCGTATGCACCTTCTCCGCGTCAAACTTCCACACTCCATTCGTCTTGTCCGAGTCGATGGCCTCGGCGACGCGCGGCGCCAGCGTGCTGAAGACGGGGTAGTCCTCGGTGCGGGCGAAGTAGCGGCGCACCCACTCGCGGCCCTCTTCCTTCTCCACGCGGCGCATCTCGCGCTGCTCGTTCTCAATCGCAGACTTCTCGCGCGACGTCGAGTCCATGTCGCCCTTCTGGATCGCCGCCGCCACCTTCGACCACGCCTTGCGCGACTCCATGTTGTCCTGCTCCTCCAGCGGCGCCACGTACAGCGGCGTCGTCTTCGACGTCTTCGCGTCGTACGTGTCCACCACCGTCACGTCCTTGGCCTTGCCCTTCTTCACTTGCCAGGTGTCGGTCCACTGCCCGTCGATCGTGTAGATCGAGTCCTTCTCCGTCTTGTCGTGCGGGTACAGCGACGCCGTGAAGCTGTTCTTCTTGCCCGAGATCCAGCCCTTGCCGCTGTAGTCAATCTTCGCCGTGTAGCCCGACGAAGACGTAATGTACGAAGAGCGCTCCAGCTCAACGTACGGAGAGCCCGTGATGAGGCCCTCAATGTGCAGGGCCGGCAGCGTGATGAGATAGTCCTCGTTGTATTCATCGATGTGGAGAACGGCATGGCCGATTTGCTGTAGCCGAGGTCAGTGCGGCTCTTGACGCGGCGGTGAGAGCATGCCGGCAGAAAGACTAACCTTGACGTTTATAGTGCGCGAGAAGGAGGCCTTCTGCGCATTGTAGCCGGTCAAGCGGACACCGTGCTTATCGTTCCAGATCGAATAGGCCGTGACGGGCGGGTGGTGGCTGCGCGACAGAAGAAAGGGCAAATTAGCGCGGATGTCCTAGTCGGTCAGGCGGAGGGATACGTACCTGACCTGCTCACTGATGAGCTGGGTCGTGCCGGCCTCGTCCTCCCACTTGCCCAGGAACAGCTCGCCCAGGAACGGGTTCAGGGGCTTCTTCTCGGAACCGAGCTTCTCGCTGCGGCTGGCATACTGCTGCTTGAGCGTGCTCAGGAACCACTTGAGGACGAGGAGGGCGCGCTCGGCGGGGTCGCTGGACGAGGCGGGCGCGACGAACAGGGAGGGGTGCTCGGCCCAGTAAGACGAGAACTCGACCAGCGACGTGGTGCTGAGGATAAAGGGAGGCGCAGTCAGCGAGGACAAATCGCCGTTGAAGGAGGCGATAGACTGCATGCATGGTCAGCGAAAGCCCGGGGGGCGCGCGTGTCGTGGCAGGCGCCAACAGGGCGGCGACGAGCGGCAGTGGCGACGTACCTTGAGGAACGAGGTCCACGAGCTGCGAGACTGGGCGGGCACGGCGGCGCCTTCTACTTCCTTGCCGGACATGGTTGGTGAAATGTGGAAAGGGGAAGGGGAAGAGTGTGAGAGCGAGTGCAGCGAAAGAAAGGTGTTGGGGCTATTAGAGAGGCAGAGTGGGATGTTGATGGTGTTGAAATGGTCCCACGGTGCCCAGCGTGGCTTAGCACAACGTCATGCCCAAAACTCGCCTTTGCCTTCTGCCCGCCGAGTCCCTCACTGCACATCACCGCCACCCCTGCCGCCCTGCCCCTCCGTGGACCGAGCTGCGCTGAAAATCGCCCTTGTGCTGCCCGCGAAACCTCCGGCCGGCGGCCACGTAGCACCATCATCGACCGAACTTCGCGCTTTCACATTGACTAACGTCCGTCACCGTCACCGTGAAGCAAAATTCACCGTCTTGCGAGATGGTGATGCTTGTACGGAGTAGGAGAAGAGACCTGGTTAAGATATATAGAATCTATATGTGCTCTAAGACCTTTTCACACATACCCGGGACTTGGGCTAAGAGTTAGAGAATGATACAAGCAGTCCCTACAGAACGCTCCTTGCCTGTCTCGCTACACGGTGAATCTCGGTTTACCATTAGTAGTAGTCACCGTCGCCTCGCCTGTACTTCTGGAGCAGCCAATTCACTTTTTATTATCATGTCCTGCTTGCCTAGCGCTGCACTAGTAAAGCCATGTGTAGTATATAATCCTTCATCACTCGTCAAATCTCCTCCGCCCGCGACGCGCTTAGGTCTTGACCGTAGGCTTGCTGCGGCCCGTGAACTCCTGCAGCTTGAGCAGACCCGTCGCCAGGTCGACGTTGTCCTTGAGGTACTCCTGCGTGTCCATCGTGTACTTGCTGGCGTCCGACTCGTGCTTCTCGACGTACAGACGGATCGTGGCGCCGCTGCTGCCGGTACCGGACAGACGAACCACAATGCGGCTGCCGTCGTCGAACTTGACGTAGATACCCTGGTTCTTGCTGACGCTGCCGTCCAGATCCGTGTACGAGAAGTCGTCGGCCTCAACGACCTTGCGGCCCTTGATGGTCGAGCCGACAAACTCGGACTTCTTGGTGGTGATGAGTTCCTGCATGTGCGCCGTCATCTTGTTGGCGCCCTCGGTCTCGCAACCCTCGTAGTCGTAACGGGTGAAGAAGGTGCGGCCGTACGTCTTCCAGAAGTCCTCCTGGATGGACTTGATGCTGGGAGTGGTGCCAGTCTTCTGGCCGACGCCGGCGATGATGTTCAACCAGGCAACAATGGCCCAGAGACCGTCCTTCTCACGGATGTGGTTGGAGCCAGTACCGAAAGACTCCTCACCGCAGATGTTCATCTTGTTGGCATCGAAGAGACCGCAGAAGAACTTCCAGCCGGTGGGCACCTCGTAGGACTGAACACCCTTGGCCTTGGCGACAAGGTCGATGGCACCGGAAGTGGGCATGGAACGGGCGAGACCGTAGATGCCCTGCTTCTTGAAGTAGGGGATCAGGTCAGCGTGGTGAGCGATGATGGCCAAGCTGTCACCAGGGGAGACGAAGCTGTTGGCACCGTAGATCATGTTACGGTCACCATCACCGTCGGAGGCAGCACCGAAGTGGATACCGTTCTTGTCGACAACATCAACAAGGCTCTTGGCGTAGACAAGGTTGGGGTCGGGGTGGTGGCCACCAAAGTCGGGCTTGGGCACGCAGTTCTGGGTGCTGCCCTTCTGGCCGAGCTCCTTCTCAAAAATGTCCACGGCGTAAGAGCCGGTGACACCGCTGAGACCATCAAACAGAATCTTGAAGTCGGAGTGCTCCTTGAGGAACGACTTGATCAGGTCAAAGTCGAAGATCTCCTTCAGCATGGTAACGTAGTCCTGGGTCGAGTGGATGATCTCAACCTCAAGAGGGCCGTAGGTCTTGGAACCAATCGTGGCCAGGTCGACATCGGGAATGTCCGAGATCTTGTAGGAGGTGAGGGCCTTGGAGGTCTCGAACATCTTGTTGGTGACGCCCTCGGGCGCAGGGGCACCGTTGGCAAGGTTGTACTTGATACCGAAGTCCTCCTCGGGTCCTATTACAGTTAGCCTTCTAGGCTACTCGCTCATTTTTTCTCAGACGCTACGTACCACCAGGGTTGTGGGAAGCCGTCAGAAGGATACCGCCAGTGGCCTTGCGTATCCTGATGACATTGCTGGCAGCGGGGGTGCTGAGAATGCCGTTCTGGCCAATGATGAGCTTCTTGACGCCGTATGCCGCACCGATCTTAGCGATCAGCTGCGTAACCTCCGGGTTGTAGTATCTGCCATCACCACCGATAACGAGGGTGCTGCCCTCGGCGCCCTCGGGGATGGAGAGGAGGATGGAGGCAACGAAGGCCTCGGAGTAGTGCTCCTGCTGGAAGACCTTGACCTTCTTACGAAGACCAGAACTGTAGGACCCAGCCAGTTAGCTACTGCTCTTGAAAGAATCGGAAAGGGGTGGGAATTGATGCCAGCATGGTGTTGCCGCCACGGACAGGGGGTTATGGTGTATGCTTGGCTGCAGAAGGTCTGGACGCGTTGAAGAGCGGGATGAAGCTTCAGCAGCCAAAGGAGAGCAGCCTCTAGGAGCGACAAAGCAATTGAGGAGACGGGTGAACCCCTCAGTCGCATACAGCTGGCAAACAACAAGGGGAGGAAAGAGAGTGCGGGGAAACTCACGTTCCAGGCTTCTGGTCTTGGAAGGGCTTGAGGGAAACAGTCTTAGCGCTCATGATTGCTTTTTTGCGAGGATGAGGAACGAAAGAGAAGGGAGAAATGGATTGAAGCGACAAGAGGGGACGGGAGAAGTTTAGGGGAGCAGGAGATCGCGGAAGGTCATGGTGGGGTTGCCGCAGGTGTCCTGTGCGGTGACGCAATGAGCGTAGCTTCTCAACTCTCTGGTCGAAGCGCCACGAAGCTTCGTTGATCACCCCGCGGAAGCCTTTCCAGAGCAAGCATCGCGGGCAATCATCCTTTTCGTTGCAGACGTTCTGGCCGCCGCGACACGTCGCGATCGCGGCGTTGACGCTGACACCAAAGGAACTTTTTGGCTGCCGTTACACCACCATGTGTCGCAAGCCGCATACAGGCTGAATTCGCCGTTGAAAGGGTCTTACACGTGCTGGTACCTAAGCATCACCAAGAGGGATCATCCCTACGCTGTTTCCGAACAAGTCTTGGCTCTTCTGCCAGAAACTGATAGGGACGAAGGGTTTCTACACGTGAATTCTAGATTCCCATTCTCAACGGGCCTGAGCGTCGCCGCGACACACCTCCACCAACCGACATCATAATGATTGGTAAAATACGTCTCACTGTGAAACGTCGAGCTCATCGCCACAAAATATAGGCTGTTTTTCCCACGAATCCACAGGCCCAACTCATGACAGAATGGCTGTCTGCACACTAGCACGCATCGAGGAGCAGTTGCATGCGATCGCCGTAAACGGAGTCACCAATCACATCTCTCAGTACCTCAACATGTCCATGAAAAAAACCAAGTTACTATTTTCTGTGCAAAACATCATCAAGAAATTTCCTTCTCAAGCAGATCCAAAACACCTATAAACATGCAAAAACCGTCTAAGCGGTGCTCTCGGTGGCGTAGGACGCAGTCGGGGCCGCCATCGCACCGTCATCCTTGACTCCGAAAATCGAGTTGACCATCTCTGGGCCTCTAACCGCCAGGATGGATAGTAGGGTATCACTCAACTGCAGCGGATAGTCAGCTTTGCCGTTGCTGCCAGAAACGTCCGGTGCAAAGGACGGGAAGAGGGAAGAACACTTACACCATGCGTCATCTCATTACAACCTTGAAGCCAGACGCCCGCCTGGGGGCTGACCTTGCCCTCCTCGAAAACAACGCCGTAGTTACGGCCCACCTCCCACTTGCTGCCCTCGGCACCGCCGCCGGGCATAAGCCACCTGCTGCCTTGCAGGATCTCCTCGTGCGCGTTGCGCTGGTAGCCAGCGGCAACGACGACGAGGTCGACATCCATGAACTCCTCGGGCGCCGACTTGTGGCAGCTGTACTCGCCGCTGCGGTTCTGAATGTGAAGCCTCAGACCGTTCTTGATGACCGGAGAGCTCTCGACCGCCATGATGTTGCGGAAGTTGAGGATCCGGTGCGGCCACTCCTCCTCCGACGTGTAGTTCATCTTCTGGAGGTACATCGTCTCGTACAGGCGCTCCAGCAGCTCGAGACGAACGACACCGTAGTTGGTGACCTTGTCGTCGAGGATCGTCTTGGTGCGCAGCTCGGGATCACGGCTGAACATGTCGTCAACCTTGGAGGGGTTGAAGATCTCGTTGACAAAGGGAGAGTCATCGCTGGGCCTCAGGTGCTGACCCCTTATGAGGAGGTTCGTCCTGGCGTTGGGGAACTTGTGCTGGAGGTTCTCGAAAATCTCGGCAGCGCTTTGACCAGCACCGATGACAGCAATGTTATAGGGGGCTTCACGCTCAGGCAGCTTGTCCTTGATGGTGAGCTGGTACTGCGAAGAGTGGATGACACGAGAGCTGTCCACGGGGAAAGGCTCAGGGATCTTGGGGCGGCCACCAGTGGCAATGACTACGTGCCTGGCCCTGCGGGAAGTGGTCTCGCCAGTAACAACATTCCTGGACTTGACCACGAAAGAGTCAATGGCCTTGCTGTCGACGGTCGTCTTTTCGGGGACGACCTGGACGACTTCCTGGCCGTAGGCAGTCACCTCCTCAAAGTGGCTGGCAACCCACTTCATGTAGTCCTCGTACTCAGCACGAGCAGGAAGGAACGTGTTCAGGTTCGTGAACTCAATCAGCCTGTCCTGCCTGCTGAGGTAGTTCAGGAACGTGAAGTAGCTCCTGGGGTTGCGCAGAGTGGCCATATCCTTGAGGAAGTTGATCTGCATGCGCGCGCCCTCCAAAAGCATACCCGCGTGCCAGGCAAACGACGTCTGCTTCTCAATGAAGGCGACCTTGGGAGCCCTGTTAAGCTCCCCAATGGTACCCGTCGCCTCAATGGAATCGTTCATCGCAACAGCAATTGCGAGCGAAGCCGGGCCGAAGCCGACGCAGATCAAATCGTGCAGCTCATCCTCGGCAGTGGGCGACAGGTACGAAGAGTTGCCCTGATGCATCTTGGGCTGGGTGGCTCTGTGGACACTGCGGAGGGGCTGGTTGTTGTTCTGCGGAGGGGCAGTGCCGTTTTCGAAGGAGCTGATTCTCGTCTCGGGAATGTCTGCGTGAGGAGCCATTGCGTGCGGAAAGGCAGAGAACGGGCGGCCGGAGTCGTCACTGAAGATATTTCACAAGAAGTCGCACTGGGCAGCAATCAGCCGGACATTCTTTAGGGATGGCGCCGCTTGCCGCGAATGGCCTGATCAAGAGCAGCCGCGGCAAGTGATGAGCGAAAGCTTACACGTACCAGAGGCAAAGCGGAGCTGGAGGCTAAAGAGCGGGCTCGCCGGCGATTGGCTTGAAAGGCTACGAGAGCTTGTCAGTGGCTGTTCGGGGAATGGATGACGCAAGCGGACGATATGGAGGGGTAATTGGACGTACCTCTTCTCCAGGCAGGCGAGGGGAAACAGAAACGAACAGAGGGCGTTGAGCCTCTCATTGTCATGGGGGACGGGCTAACCTTAAAGGCGGCGGAAACGAAACTTCGAATGACGCCCGTCCGTCGGGCAACAACCCAGCAGAGCAGGCGACATCCTCGCCCTCTCACCACCATCGACTGAGCTAGACCACTACGCGCAACGCTACACGGCCTCGATCTCCATCAGATAATTATTAGATAAGATTAGCGCGTCCACGGCATCTCCACTCGACGCGGCGGGCATGAAAATTTTCTTCTGGCGTCGTCGCAATCTCGGTCCTTGATTCAAATTGCGAGGAAAAATGGCGCGCGTGGCACGCGAATTTCTGGTAGAGCCCGCCTCCCACGGAAAGCAGAGCAGGCTGGCCAGTAGCGGCGCGCGGCCGTAGCAGGGCCAACCCGGGGCCTCCGCGGGCCCTCTCCACCCCGTCTGCCGTAACGGTCGATTCAAAGTTATCAGATCCGAGTCCCCAGCTTGGCTCCGGCATCGGAACGTGGCGCGCCGTCGTGGCGCCTGAACGGGCCTGCCTCTTCCGTCAGTGCCCCCCCTGCCAACGTGCCATTGCCCGGTGTCACTTCCAATCCCGGCCGGACGCCTGTCTTATGTTCATGTCATGCTAACCGAGATCCACCGTCCAGCGACGATACAAGCAGAGTCCCTATAGAGTATTCCTTGCCTAGCTCCCAGCCCGAGTCCCAGGTATGAGTGAAAAGGTCTTAGAGCACACACAGACTCTACACGCCTCAACTAGGTCTCTTCTTCCACTCTATACGAGCATCACCATCTCGCAACAAGATGAATCTTGCTGCACGGTGACGGACGTTACACAAGTCTCGCCTCATCCCAGTTGCTGCGTCTCCACCATGCCAGAGTAGATGCCGCCCAAGGCCACCAGCTCCTCATGCTTGCCCTGCTCCACAATCCTCCCCGCGTCGAAGACGAAGATGCGGTCCGCGCTCTGCACACTGGCTAGCCGATGTGCCACCATAATCGTCGTCCGCCCCGTCGACGCTGCTGCAATCGCGTTCCTGACGTCCTTCTCGCTCTTCGCGTCTAGCTGCGACGTCGCCTCGTCCAGAAGAAGTATCTCGGGGTCGCGGATTAGCGCCCGCGCGATGGCGAGCCGTTGCCGCTGTCCACCCGACAGCCGTGATCCGTTGTTGCCGCACTCGGTGTTGTAGCCTTCCGGCAGGCCCATGATGAAGTCGTGCATGGCGCACGCCTTGCACACCTTTTCCACCTCTTCCCTGCTCGGCTCGTGGCCTGGACGAGCGCCCAACGATACGTTGTAAAAGACGCTTCCGGGGAACAGGTTTGGCTCCTGTTCGACAAGCCCGATCCTCGCCCTGTGAGCTAGAACAGGTGTGTTCCTAATGTCTTCGCCGTCCATCACTACAGTCCCTGCAATGGGGTCGAAGAAGCGTTCGATCAGGGAAATGGAGGATGACTTTCCGGCCCCAGACCGACCAACAAAGGCGACGAACTCTCCTGAACGGATAGACACGTCGATGCCCTTGAGGGCCAGCGTGTCTGGTCTGGACGGATATGCCAGGCTCACATTTCTGAACTCCAGTACTCCCCGAATTTTGGTCTTCTTTTCCGTAACGCCAAGGGAAGAAGGAGAGGTGGAATTTCCGGAAGCTGCATGGTCAACAATGATAGATGGCTTCTCGTCGTGGAGTTTGAAGACGTTTCTCGCTGCCGATTTTGCGCGTGTAATCTCAGGGGCAAGGCTGAACATCTGGCCAGCAGATTGCGCCGAGAACAGCAGTGCAGGGAGGACAATGAAAAACTGGAGCTCGTCGTACATGCCCTCGCGGACTTGCTTCGAGCCCCACCAGTAGGCCAGAGCATAGACAAAGTATGTGATAGCAAGCGAGAAAGCAAGCAAGATGTTCCCTATCAAGGTGAACTTCAAGCTTTGCTCATAAGGTCCTTGAATGGCAGCCCGGTATTGCTTCAGGACACCACGCTCCCGTCCAAGGGCGGCAACGGTGCGAATGGCAGCACATGCCTCGGAAGCCAAAGCCGCGGCATCGTTGTACGCAGACTCATGACGTTCTTCAGCCTTCGACAGAACACGAAGGCGGAAGAAGCCGGCGACAAGCATGACCGGAACTGCTGATAACAGCACCACAGCGATTTTCCACGCGACAATGTGAGCGAGGACCATGCCGCCGACGACAGAGGTGGTGACGGAGAAAATGGTACCAATGATGACGCCGGACAAACCACTGATATGGCCGGCGTCCATACTCAGACTCGACATTAGAGAGTGTGATGAATGGCCTGGTTGAGAAAACCACGAAACGTCTTGACGCAAAATGTTGCGAAGCGAAGTGTCTTGGATGCGACACAGCAGCCACTGAGAAACAATTCCAAAGCATGTACCGCTCGTGGTGTAGGCGAAAAGAGCGATTAGAGACAGGATGAAGAACATCAGACAGAAAAAGTTGACGCGGCTGTCGTAGTTGTCCGCGCCAGACTGAGTGTTCAACAAAGAAACAAGGTTACCAAAAACCAGGGCCTCGCCGATGATGATGGCTCCACTGCACATGCAGGCAAAGAGGCCTAAAAGAATTAGGGGTCTCTCAGGCTTGTTCAGAGCTACAGCTCTACGCAAGAGCCGAGTAACGCTGAAGGGCTTGGTTTTCTTTTTCTTCGATTTCTCATCGACGGCCCTAACATCAGGCAACTCGATCTCTTTTTCGAGGTCGGTCGTCATTGGAGCTGAACTGGGAGTAGCGGTGATTGAAGAGGTCTTTGACTCCACATTAGGGGTTTTGTCGAACTTCTGAGCCTCGACCAGCCGCTTGTAGATGCCGTCCTGCTCAATAAGGCCTTCGTGGGTGCCCTCCTCTATCAGGTTTCCGTGTTCCATAACCATGATCTTGGAAGCATTCTTGATCGTGGCCAGACGATGAGCAACAATGATGGTGGTTCTACCAGACACAGCAGTGGCTCTGTCCAAAGCCTGAAGGACTAGCGCCTCGCTGGTAGCATCCATAGCACTGGTATACTCGTCGAGAATGAGTAAGGACGGGTCCCCAACCAATGCCCTTGCTAGACAAATACGCTGCTTCTGGCCGCCAGACAGGGAAGTGTGTCCTGAGCTGCCGACCATCGTGTGGATACCATCGGGTAGAATATCGAAGAAATCGCAAGCTGCTTCCTGCGCAGCATGTTCGCAACGGCGTAAAACCTCCTCATCCGAGAGTCCATGATCTTCCCCAAGACCATGTCTGATGTTCTCAAAAATTGTGCCAGAGAACAAGGTTGGCGTCTGATCTACCAAAGCAATACGCGATCGCAGACCTTTGACGTTAAATTGTTTGATGTCCTGGGAACCAATAGTAACCTTTCCCGATGAAGGGTCGTAGAACCGTAGTAGGAGGCCAGCCACGGTAGACTTGCCTGAACCAGAAGATCCAACAATGCCGTTGACCGCTCCAGGCTGAAAGTCGAGACTGACACCATTCAGCACCCGGGCCGTTGGTCTAGCGGGATAAACGAAAGTGACGTTCTCGAACTTGATGCCACCCTCAAACGTCGAAGCATCCGGAGTTATACCCTCTTCGCTGTACACATCGATATGAGGGTCGGCGTGGTCCAAAACTTCAAAGATCGAGTCTCCGGCCCCTGCTGCAAGTGCGAACGTCTGAATAAACGGACCAAATTGGCCAACGACGAATGAGGCGTCCAGAATCAGAAAGACAACTGCGTAAATCGTACCCGCACCACCACTTTTTCCCCGCTGCTCTTGCAAACGACTGCCCTCCCAGAAGGCTAGTGCGTTGGCGGAATAAGCGACAAAGTACACGCTTCCCAGCATAAGGGCACCAGCAATTGACTTCTTGATGCCCACGCGGACCGATATCTTCAGGAGACGCAAGTATTCTTCAGCCAGTTTGTCGGCAATTCCGAACGCCTGCACAACCTGAACAGCTCTTATGGAGCTCTCTGCAATGGCTGCTGCCTTCTCAGAACACTCTGCCGTCTTCTTTTGAAGCTTAGCCACCGTCTTCGAGCCGAACGTGACTACCATAAACATCGTCGGGATGACTGCCACGAGGAGAATGCCAGTCAATTCAGCATCCAGAATGAAGCCGACGACGAAAGCTGTTACAAAGTAGCTGATTGACTGCAAAAAGAGGCCAACCTTTTCCGAGGTTCCTAGTTGCACGGTTTGCGTTTTCTCCGTGAGGATGTTGGTCATGTCAGGAGCTTCGACATCAAAATACGCCATCTCCATGCCCAGCGAACGTTCGACTAGGGCTTCTCTTAATCCACGGGATACTCTTTCACCAACAATGCCCCAGCAAATGGCCCAGCCCCAGGTGACGACGAAGTAAGCAACTGCCACTCCTAACAACTCGCCAATGACCTTTGCCAGATCTTTCTCTGTTGGCGGGAACGTGTTGATGATGTGTTCGAAAATCACACCGATGATAGGAAGCGGCACGCCGGCTGCAATGGCAAAAAACACGCCCATTATTAAAACCATCCTGTCCTGGAAGCTCTTCAGCGGCCGGAACAAGGAGAAGTAGGACGTCTTGAACGGATTGAGTCCAATGATGCGGCGGAAAACCCTCCGGGGAAGACCGCCTAATTCGGTATGCCATGCCCGTGGTTGGGCTGTGCTGAGAGTCGCCACATCCATATCTCTGCGCCACGGAGTCTCCCCCGCAGCAGCGCTCGTGTTTCGGCGATGATGAGAGGACGGTGGGTGGGACTCGGGTGTCGGATCACCATGGCTCACGAGAGCAGGCTGGACGGTAATCGGTTCCGTTGGAATGTTGGCGGCCTCCATGGTGGGATGGTGAGCGGAGGCGTTTGTCCTCCCGGCTGACTCCAATGGAAACTAGAAGTAAAAGGGGGGAACAACTTGTTGTGTTCAACTGAGCATCGAGTCCAGGGACGCCCAAGAGATGTTGGAAAGTTTCAGGACAGCTCACACATGTGGGCAAGGCGCAGCATTAGCCGGACAACACTGTACAAAAACTAAACAGGAAGTGAACCGTAGAAAGCAGCTCCGCCTGCAGGGCAAAAAGAACCTGGGAGAGGGCAGTGGGTGAACAAGGCAAGAAGAAGCAAGCCAACAACCATGGTCAAAGCTGGGGCTGGGCAATTTGGCGGCTGGGGAACAAGGATCCCAGCGGGGACGCCATTGCAGAACAGCAACAATTGCTGTAAGTGCAAGTCATGAAAATTGTGATGCGTAGCTTTTTACGCAAAAGCAGACGCGGCGGCGTCGGCGGAGGGAAGTTTGGGAAACCGTTAGCTCATAAACAAGGATCCACCAGCACCCACTGTGCTCCCTGACACGGTTCGGCGTGTGGGGCTTATCTGATCCGCCTGTAAGGGCCGGCTCTAGAGCCGATGGGGCATGCTGACCGTCAATGCGGCAGCAGCCACGGGCTTGGTGTGGATTACCGGCGAAAGTTTTTATCTGATGATCAGATGAGATTAGTGTGCATTCGCTGCCGATCTCTAAAAGGGTTGCATCGCGGGCTGCTGGGCTCCGAGGCCGGCGGGTAGGTCGGGAGCGACGCCGGGCGTCATGCATGCATGCAGCAGCGTTGCGTGTCGATCGCGGCCGGTGACAAGAGGAAAACGGGCCTCGGTGGGTGATGGGCTCTAGCGCAGAGGCCCTGGCCGCCTGGGCGGGCCCCAGGGCCCAACCAGCCAGGGTAACGAGCCAGCGTCATCAAACTTCGCGAGCTGCTATCCAGAAGATCGTGCCGGGCCAGACGCGACTCGCAATGGACGCCTTTGCCAAAGCTCCTACGAGACATTCGTTTCCTTTCCGGGAGCGCCAATTTGCCCTGTGAATGGCTTGACCTGTCCAGCTTCTTGCCCTGCTCTTTGCCCACGACAGCACCACGTCTCTCTTTTTCCCGATATCATGGAGCTCACAGCGTTCCCCAACCTTCGTTCCACAACTTCTCGGCATGCGGCGACGCGCGCCGCAGCGGGTGAGACCCTCGCCGAGCTGCCCCAGATCCCGGACGAGATCCTCGTCATCTCCTGGGCCAGGCTGCTTAAAGCCTACACGGGCAGCGATGACCTGGGGTTTTTCGTCGACGGTGGCGCGGTTGCTGTCAGCAGTGCTGGCTGGCATGTGTCCAAGTATGCGGTGCCCGAGCTGGGCCAGGCAGCCCTTGAGACACTCACCGGGGTCTTCTTCGATGCGGTATGTCCCATGCGCGGATGTTAGGACGAGCAAGGTTCAGGAGCTAATATACCCTCCCAGGCACCGGCGCCGGAGTCGCTGGCGTTGAAACTTTACTACAATCGTGAAGCGGGGAAGGCGCGTATCGTGCACTCCGCTTATCTCCCGGGCGAACACGCCCAGCCGCTAGCTGCTCAGCTCCAACGCTGCGTCAACGAGACCTTGGACACCCCGGGTCCGCAGATGGACCCCCGACTATCCATCCTAAACCCACAGCCGGAGCGGTTGAACGGGCCGTCTCTCTTGCACCACCTTGTGCAGTGGACCAAGTCTCCCCGGAAAGTTGCCATAGACTATCTCGGACAAGATACGAACCGCAGGAAGCTGCGATATGCTTCTTTCGATCGCATCACGACAGCTTGGGCCAGCAAGATCAGGACCTACTTCTCGTCGGAAAATCCGCACCCAGTCGTGCCTGTTCTGATCCCCCAATGTCCGGAACTTTACATCGCCCAACTTGCCATTCTGAAGGCCGGTGGAGCCTTTTGTCCTCTGAATCTGGACGCGCCGCCAGAGCGCGTGAAATTCATCCTTGACGATGTGTCCGCCAACCTCCTCATCACCACCTCCTCGCTTCATAATAAGATACCCCCTCATGAGAACGTCCATGTTTTGATTTTAGACGAAGGCTCCCAACCGCCTGAGCTGGAAGGTAGACAGGACTTCGTCGACCCTTGCCCGGAGGATCTGGCGTACGTCATGTACACCTCCGGCTCTACGGGAACGCCCAAAGGTGTGGGTGTGTCGCATCTTGCTGCTACTCAAAGTTTACTGGCTCATGATTGCCATATTCCCTCGTTTTCACGCTTTCTTCAATTTGCTGCTCCGACCTTTGATGTGTCGGTTTTCGAAATATTTTTCCCCTTGTTCCGGGGTTGTACCCTAGTCACTTGCGATCGAACAGATTTACTGAGCGATCTCCCCGCAATGATGAACAAGATGCATGTTGATGCAGCGGAACTAACGCCCACGGTAGCGGGAACGCTACTGCAAACACGGGCAGCTGTTCCAAAATTGAAACTGCTCCTGACGATCGGCGAAATGTTGAGCAGACAAGTTGTGCATGAGTTTGGCGGGGACGATAAGCGGGAGAGCATATTGTGGGGCATGTATGGCCCCACGGAAGCCGCCATTCACTGTACCTTGCAGCCAAGCTTCGGGTCAGATTCGAAAGTGGGCAATATTGGCATTCCGTTCGACACTGTTTCGGCCTTTGTTGTCGCTCCCCCGCCCGAAGATCCTTCAGTGACTACTCCTTTGGAGGTTTTGCCTCTGGGATTCATCGGCGAACTAGCTGTTGGCGGACATCAACTAGCAAATGGTTATCTGAATCGACCCGAGCAGACTGGATCATCATTCGTAAACCATGCCGAATTCGGTCGCCTATACCGGACTGGAGATAAAGCCAGGATGCTTCCAGATGGGACTATTGAATGCTTAGGACGTATATCTTCTGGGCAAGTTAAGCTTCGTGGTCAGCGTGTCGAACTTGGCGAGGTAGAACAGGCTATCTCGAGGATACCCAGCTGTCGCAGTGTAACAGCTAGTGTTATAGGTGGGATCCTTGTAGTCTTCTGTCTCACTCGGGACGATACGTTAACCCCAAAGTCAATCATCAACGACTCCAAGCAATGGCTCCCTGCATTCATGGTACCGGGCGATGTCGTCCTCTTGCAGGAACTTCCCAGGTTGCCGTCTGGCAAGGTCGACAGAAAAGGCCTTGAAGCAGGCTATAAGACAAAGCAGCAGGAGTCCAAACCTCTGGAAGAACAACAATACGGCGATGATACCGATCGCATTATCTGCGAGATTGTCGGCGAGGCCCTTGGCTCGAGGGTATACCTGCAAACTAACCTTGCTGCCATGGGCTTGGATTCTTTGAAGGCGATCAGGGTAGCGTCTATGCTAAGAGCTTCGGGGTATTCGCTTGGTGCTGTTGAAATCTTGACTTCCAATGACGTCGCTACCTTGAAACTGTTGATCGAAGGCCAACAAAACGACAAGAATTCTCTCAATTCTCACGAAGGCATTTTTGACGAAATAAAAAAGGCAGCTCTCGTTGTTCCAGAAGTCCACGTTCAAGAATCTGAAATCGAAGACATTTTGGGCTGTACTCCTTTGCAGGCAGCAATGCTGGTTGAAACTACCATGAACCCACAGGCTTATTGCAACTGGGTCGAATTGGAAGTCAAGAAGCCTCAAAGTGCCTCAGATATTAAGAGATGGCTCAAGGAATTGGCAGCTCAAAACGACATCCTCCGTTCTGGATTCTGCAGTTTGACTGATTCTGCCTACTCTCATGCCCAAATCATCTGGAAAGAACTATCGGATGAACAGATCGTGGAGATAGACGATTTCGAACGATCCTTTGAGCTTTCGACACCCGGATCCATGCTTAGGCCTTTGAAATTTCAAATCCTCACCACGCCTACGGAATCAAAAATTCTCTGTCAAATTTATCATCCATTGTATGATGGCTGGTCCATGGACTTGATGATAGACGATCTCAACGACCTCATCGCTGGCAACGATCACAAAAAGAGACCACAATTCCGTGAGGTAGCAACCTACCATGCCAGTCTGACCAAGGACGACCTTGAGCCTTCACTTGGTTATTGGCAGAAGCAGCTAGACAACTACGCCTACGCACCGCTTCCGAATTTCAACGGAAAGGTTGTGTCTACGACCGGGTTGAGTTCAACAACTCGCAACTTTACCACGTCGGTGGAAAAGCTTAGAGACCGTGCGTCAGCGCTGAAGGTCAACGCACAGGTATTCTTCCAAGCCGCGTTAGCGTACTTGACTAGCTTCTACCTCAACAACAGCGATGTCACATTCGGTACGGTCACTTCTGGGCGCACCATACCTGTCGTTGGTATCGAGGAAATCATTGGTCCTTGTATTGCTACACTACCTCTGAGAGTTGACGTTTCTCATGCACGCACTGTCAAGGATATCTTGCAAAATATCCATGAACTCAACCGTGCAATGCTCAGTCATTGCGAGCTTCCCACCAGGGACATTAAGAAGGCTTGCGGGATTGCTCCTGGAAGCCCTCTCTTCGACATTCTGTTTGTCTGGCAGGAAAGTTTGCATAGTAACAAAGACTCCGGTGCTTTGATACGCCAGGTCGATGGCGCTGATGAGCTCGAATTCAAACTAACACTGGAGTTTGAACCTCGTTCGACAGGTCTCATTGCCAAAGCAACTTACGATCCCTCTGTTCTGCCTCAAGCTCAGATCGACGCACTATTAAGTCAATTGGAGCAGCTCGGCGAATACTTCCAAGAAAAACCAGATGCAGAGCTGATGACATCTCTGACATGTCTGGATGACTCTGTCTTGTCAATCGGAAACCTCCGTTACCAACATGAGGAAACAACCAAGTCGCCCGCTCAGGTGGTTGGAATCATAGCGGAAACAAGGCCAGATGCACCTGCTATCGCTTTCAGCTCGGAGATCTCCGAGTCTTCCATCAATACTCAAACTCTCACTTACTCTGAGCTGAATGCCAAGGCTAACCAGCTGGCAAATTTGCTGAAAGGTCACGGCACAAAGCCAGACGAACTAGTTTGCGTCTGTATGGAAAAGTCCGTTGATCTCTATGTGTCCATCCTTGCAATCCTCAAGACGGGCGCAGGATACGTTCCGATAACCCCCGAGACACCGTTGGACAGGATTCGCTTTATCCTTGAAGAGGCAAATGTTCGGACATGCCTGACGCGGAGTGACTGCACTGCGGATGTCGACTCACTAGGAAACCAAGTTGTGCTCAACGTGGACACACTCCAGTTGGAAGAGTACAGTGGTGAGAATCTCGATCTCACTTACAACGGTTCCCACGCAGCCTACGCAGTCTTCACATCTGGTAGCACTGGCAGTCCAAAGGGAGTTGTAGTGACACAGGAAAATCTTGTCAGCAACCTTGCAGTCCTTTCGAAGATCTACCCGGTATCAGAAGACTCGCGCCTCTTGCAGTCATGCTCGCAGGCGTTTGACGTTTCTGTATTTGAAATTTTCTTTTCTTGGTACAGCGGCATGTGCTTGTGTGCCGGCACAAAAGACGACCTCTTCCAGGACATGGAGCTTGCTATCCGACAGATGGGCATTACGCACCTAAGCTTTACTCCCACAGTGGCAGCCCTAGTAAAGCCTGAGAATGTGCCAAACGTCAAATTCCTCGTTACTGCAGGCGAAGCTGTCACAGAGCAAGTCAAGAGAAACTGGGCCGGCAAGGGTTTATATCAAGGATATGGTCCATCTGAGACGACAAACATCTGCACGGTCAAGCCCAATGTTACCGATGAGGATCTGATTAACAACATTGGCACCCCTTTCACCAACACTTCGGCATTTGTTATGGACGAATCACGAGATGTTCTCATTCCAAGGGGAGGTGTTGGTGAGCTCTGCTTTGGCGGTGACCAGGTTTTCCGCGGATATCTCAACATGCCTGACCTGACAGCAAAGAAGGTCATCGATCACCCTACGTTTGGCCGCGTATACAGAAGTGGCGACATGGGTCGTCTCTGCCCAGATGGATCCATCCTCTTTTCCGGCCGTTCCGATGATCAGGTCAAACTTCGCGGTCAGCGTATCGAGCTTGGTGAGATCAACAGTTGCATCATGGACACTCCATCCGCCGCCGACTGTATGACAATGCTCATGGGCAAGGAGGGGAAAGCACAACTGGTTTCCTTCTGGGTACCTGAAAGCATTTCGTCGAATGATGTCCGAGCGTTACCGATAGAGGGCGCCATCTCTCAAAGAATTGCTGAAATCTTCGAGCACCTGGCTAGCAAGGTCCCTGCTTATATGCTGCCCAACGGCTTACTGCCAGTCACAGCCATCCCTATGACTGTACAAGGGAAGGCAGACAAGCGCAAACTTGTTGCCCTCTACGAACAGCAGTCAAAAGACTTCCTTGACTCGATCTCTCGGAAAACGGAAGAAGCAGAAGATAGCGGAGATTGGACATCGATGGAGCGCAAAATCGCAGCGGTGTTGTCCAAGGTTGTCAAGGTCCCCATAAAGGAAATAGGTCGCCAATCCTCCTTCTTTGCTTACGGTCTCGACTCGATCTCTGCTATCTCCCTATCGAATGGCCTCAAAGCGAACGCCGTGCCCAAGGCTCCCGTCTCGGTTGTACTTCAAAACCCAAGTGTGGCGCGTTTGGCTCGGATCTTGTCCCAGAAGACGTCCGCTAGCCAGGAACGCAGCCCTGCGGTTGACCTCACCAACATCTTCAGTCAAGAAACAAGGGAACAGATCAAAGTCAGCTTCGACCATAACGCGGTGGAAGTAACCAAGATCCTTCCGTGCAGTCCTTTGCAAGAGGCAATGCTTTCATCTGGATCCACAGAGGCTGCAACGTACATGAACAGGATGCTGTTCAAAGTAAAGGGGGACATCATTCGGTTGCAAAAATGCTGGATGGAGATGTCGAAGAGGCACGAAATTCTACGGACATGCTTTGTTCCCACCGATGATTCTCAATTTGCATTCGCTCAGGTTGTTCTTGAGAGCAGCGAGCCAAAATGGGACGAAATCGAAGCCAATGAGGATGATATTTACAAGCAATCTCAACGTTATGTTGAAGATATCATCTCAACTATGGCGGCGTCAGAAGAGCCTCCGCTCCGATTTGCTACACTGTCTGCTAGCAGCTCCAAGTATCTCCTCTTCTGTTGCCACCATGCTCTGTACGATGGAGCTGCAATGGAACAGCTTATGGCCGAGGTGGAGCAAATGTATGCTGAGCTCAGCCTGCCGCCAGTTGTCCCGTATGAGCCTTTCCTGGAACAAATCGTTCAAGTGCGGTCCAAGGAAACCGACGACTTCTGGGCAACCCGCCTCAAGGGCTTGGAACCCACTTCGTTCCCGGACCTGACCGGTTTGTCCTCTGCGATGCGTAAGGAAGTCAATGACCGCTCAATCTTCATTGAAGCCCTTCCTTTCTCTCTCAGTAGCCTGGAATCGGAGTGCCGTCGGATGTCTTGTTCGCTACTGGCACTGGGCCAAGCTGCCTGGGCAAAGATTCTCTCCATATATACGGGAGAGAGCGATCTATGCTTTGGCAATGTTGTCAGTGGACGCACTCTACCTATTGACGGGCTCGAAAGGCTAGTCGCTCCTTGCTTTAACACTTTGCCCGTCAGGGTCGATCTAGCCTCGAAAAGCCAAAACGCGGATATCTTAACGAATCTTCAAGCATTCAATGCGGACATTTTGCCCTTCCAGTTAACTCCACTTCGACGCATTCAAGCACAGTTCAGCAAAGATGGAAGCCGTCTTTTTGATACCCTTTTCATTCTTCAGCAATCTGCGTACAGTCTTAACGCGGAGGTCTGGTCACTGGAGGAAGACCTTGGCGAGATGGATTTCCCTCTTGTATGCGAGCTCGTTCCGAACCGCAAAGATGATACCCTTTCTTTGATGCTTCATTTCCACGAGGCGTTTATTCCCAAGAAGGACGTTGGCACCATTTCTCAGACATACGCGTCAGCTTTGCAGTCATGCATTCAAAACCCTTCCGCTCACTACCTGGACATTGTCCCTGTTTCGGATGACTTGCTCTCCATAAGCAACCAGAAATTCAACACACTCGAACCGCCTGCTGGGCCGTTCATGCACTCTGCTTTTGAGCAAAACGCTGCAGAGCAACCAGATGCTTTAGCTCTCGACTTCCAGCACTCCGATGGTAGTCGCAGTCGATGGACTTTCAATGAGCTAAACCAAATCTCCAACCAGATCGCTCGAGCGCTTTTGGATCACGGCGTTTCTTTCGATGATGCTGTGCCGATCTGCATTCCAAAGTCTCCGGACTTTTATGCCTGCGTTCTCGGTGTTCTTAAGGCTGGTGCGGCTTTCACACCCATTGACTCTAACTTGCCTGTCTCTCGCAAGCAGTTTATGCTGCAGGAACTGGGTGCCAAGGTTGTCCTTTCGAACGAGACTGTTGACACAACCTGGGTTGGAGAAGTAACAATTTTGTCCACCGGGAAAACGAGAGATCTTTCCACAGAAAAGCCGACTGTCAGCGGTCTCATGCCAGAGCACTTGGCATATAGACTCTACACATCTGGATCAACTGGTCTGCCTAAGGCTGTCAGTGTCGAACACCGCAACCCCATTCAGACTGTCGAGGCATCGAGATCCATCATTCCTTGGAAGAAGGATTCTCGCCTTCTTCAGTTCGCTGCGACAACTTTCGATATGTGTTACTACGACTGCTTCCTGGCTTGGTCTTTTGGCTTCACTCTTTGTGCTGCCGAGCAATCCGCAATGTTGAACGACATTGCTGGCACGATAACTTCCATGGAGACTACACTGGCCGACCTGACGCCTTCAGTGGCTCTGAGCCTTTCCCAGTCTGATGTTCCAACCCTTGAATATCTGTACTGTATTGGAGAGGCGATGCCCCAGGAACTCGTGGCGCGGTGGGCCGGAAAGCTTGTCAATTCGTATGGCCCGACGGAGGCTGCTTTCTGCGTAACCATCTTCCCTGTGTCAAACGAGGTGAAGTCGGCCGTGATTGGTAAACCTTTCCCCACTACGAGCTTTGTGGTAAAGTCTCGCGATGGCTCCACTACCATGCCCGTCTTCGGTGCCGGTGAACTTTACATCAGTGGATCGCAGGTGGCTCGCGGTTACCACGCGAACGAGGAGATGACGAATTCGAGGTTTATCATGCACGACGGTCAGCGCCTCTACAAGTCTGGCGACGTTGTACGCATGCTCGGCAATGGCACCTTTGAGTTCGTGGGACGTGCGGATGATCAAGTCAAGATTCGCGGTCTGCGTGTTGAGCTGGGTGAGATCAGCCAAGTCTTGCGCGATGCACATGAAGCCATCTCCAGCGTTAGCACTCAAGTCCTTCGCGCATCGGAAGAGTCCAAGGAACAAATTGTGGCCTTCCTGGCTGTTGCAGACTTGTCCACCATTGACCGGGAAGCAGTCAAGTCTCAGGCTCGCAAGCGTGCCACAGAGAAGCTCCCTGTTTACATGGTGCCGAATTTCTATATCTTCCTTGATCGCATCCCGCTATCTGCTGCTGGAAAGGTCGACAAGAGGTCTTTGAAGGCAATCTTCCAAGACTCCGAGGAAGCAAACCAAGAAGGAGCTCAGCAGACGGACGACGGTCACGAATGGACTGTTACTGAGTCTGAAATACGGTCCGTCTTGGCTCACATGTCTCGCTCCACTCCAGAGTCTATAGGCTTGCACACTACAATCTATCAACTTGGCCTCGACAGCATTAGTGCTGTACAAGTGGCTGCGAGCCTGAGGAAGAAGGGTTTCAAGATTTCGGCAGCGGATGTGTTGGAGCGTCCCACTTGCGCTGAGCTTGCTATTCTCTTGCAAAAGGCTGATGGCGAGACCAAATTGGCTCCCACTTTTGACTTTGCTGCCTTCGATGCGCAATACCGCGACATTATTACCCGCGACCTGGATGTGGACGCTGCAAGCATTGCCTCAGTGAAGCCATGCACACCCCTCCAGAGCGGTATGATCTCGCAGTTCCTGCACTCTGAGGGACACATGTACTTCAACTACATGCAGTACAAGTTCGATGGTGTCGATATAGCCAAGCTGGAGCAAGCTTGGCAGTTGCTTTTCGATAAGCATGAAATTCTGCGGTCTGGATTTGCCCATGTCAATAACCCGCAGTACCCCTTCAGCATGGTCATCTACAATGCCTCGGCCAGCAAGCTTCCTCTTTCCAAACTCAGGGACGCTGAAGCTTCCACTGACAAAATCAAGCAATGGCGTGAAGAATCGAAACGCGAGGTCCTCGAAAACTTGCAACAGAGTGCATGGCGACTGTTGCTTGTCGACGCTGCCGACGGTGTTCGGGTACACCTTTCAATCTTGCATTCCCTTTATGATGCGCAGAGCCTCCGCATTTTCCTCGATGATGTTTCTGTCATCTGCACCCAGGGCAAGGAGCCGCAGCCGCCATCTCTCGACCCTATCCTTGGCACTATCCTCAGTTCCAGCGGAGAAGATGAAAAGCACCAAAAGTTCTGGGAAGAAAAGAGCAAGGATATGCATATCAACGCTTTCCCGAACATGACCCCGCTTCGTGTCAAGAACGGCAAGACGCAGGTAGTTTCGAAAACCTGCTCTGGACAACAGAGCAAGCTCGAGTCCGGCTGCCGGGAAGCTGGTATCACCATGCAAGCCGCTGGTCAAGCCGCTTGGGCACGGTTGTTGTCCGCTTACACTGGCGAGGATGCTGCCACTTTTGGTGTCGTTCTTTCTGGGCGGACGCAGGAGGGTGCTGAATCGGTTGCTTTGCCTTGCATCACAACTGTTCCACTCCCTGCGCGCAACAATCCCAGTAACCGTGCTCTCCTTGACGGCATGATGGCATTCAACTCTTCTGTGCGCAAGCACCAGTTCACGCCTCTGACAAAAATCCAGCGCTGGTCTGGACACCCCGACGAAGCGCTCTTTGATAGCATTTTCGCCTATCAAAAGCTCTCCAGTGAAGACCAAGCTCAAAGAACTTGGACCCTAGTAGACGATGAAGCAACTGTCGATGTTGCTGTCTCTATTGAACTGGAACCTATCAACACAAGCGAACTCGAGCTCAGGATTACATACAACACCGACCGAGTACCCGAAGAGCAGGCTGTAACGATTCTGGACCAGCTAGATCGCATGCTGGTCGATCTTGTTCTTCACCCGGATTCTCAACTGGATGATGCCTTCTCCGGAAACCCTGAGCTCCTCTCAATCACCCCACCCAAGGAACGAGAAATCAAAACTGATGTATATCTGTTGCATGAGTTTGTTGAGAGAAGCGCACGCCAGAATCCGAAGAAGATCGCGTTTGAATTCGCAACCAACATCGAGAACGGTCAAGTCACCAGCAGGTGCTGGACCTACGAGCAGTTGGATGCTGAAGGGAACAAGATCGCGAATCTCCTAATCGGCCACGGTGTCCAGCCCGGTGGCCTCATTGCCGTTTGCTTTGACAAATGCCCTGAAGCCTCTTTCGGAATGCTGGGTATCCTCAAGGCTGGATGTGCATTCGTCGCTTTAGACCCAGGTGCTCCAGTGGCGAGAAAGGCGTTCATCACAGAAGACTCCAAGGCCGCCATGGTGCTCTCGATGACACACCAGTCAAGCCAATTTGCGGACCAGCTCAAGGTGCCACTTGTCAACCTCGATGAAGTCAACTACGATGAGCTTTCCACGTCAACGCCAGAACTCTCAAGAGCGGTTACGCCACAAGACCTCAGCTACTGCCTGTACACGTCGGGTACCACTGGTACTCCGAAGGGCTGCGAGCTGACCCACGAGAATGCTGTTCAGGCGATGCTGGCTTTCTCGAGGCTCTTCTATCCTCGTTGGGATGAGAACTCCAGATGGTTGCAGTTTGCTTCTTTCCACTTTGATGTCTCCGTGCTTGAGCAGTATTGGACATGGGCGGAAGGTATCCGCTTGGTCTCTGCGCCTAGGGATTTGATCTTCGAGGATCTCGCTGCCGCTATTTCTGCACTTGAGATCACTCATATCGACCTTACTCCCAGTCTTGCCAGAATCCTTTCGCCTGAAGATGTTCCCAGTCTCACTAAGGGTGTCTTTATCACTGGTGGTGAAGCTCTCAAGCAAGAAATCCTCGATGCATGGGGACACCACGAGGTCATTCATAACGGATACGGACCGACTGAAGCGACCATCGGTGTCACCATGTTCCCCAGAGTCCCTGAGAATGGCAAGCCATCCAATATTGGTCCTCAGTTCGACAACGTCGGATCCTTTGTCTTCCGACCCAAGACCAATATTCCGGTGCTTCGCGGCGCTGTTGGAGAACTCTGTGTCTCCGGGAAGCTCGTGGGTAAAGGCTATCTCAACCGGCCTGAGCTTACAGACGAAAAGTTCCCATACCTGGAACAGTTCGATGAGAGGATCTACCGTACCGGTGATCTCGTCCGAATTCTCCATGACGGCTCGTTTGACTTCCTTGGTCGCGCAGATGACCAAGTCAAGCTCCGTGGCCAGCGTTTGGAGATTGGCGAAATCAACAGTGTCATCAATCAGTCCGAAGCTCAGGTCATGGACGTCGCGACACTTGTCCTGAAGCATCCCAAGCAACAGAAGGACCAGCTTATCAGCTTTGTCGTCACCAAGACAACCATGAAAAAGAAGCAGAAGCCGACTGTCGTCTATGATGGAAAAGAAGCAATGCAGATGGTCCAAGAAGCCTGCCGGTCTAAACTGCCCGTATACATGGTGCCGACTCATTTCATCCCGCTTAGCAGCATGCCACTGTCGCCAAACAACAAAGCGGACGCCAAGCAATTGAAGGAATTTTACTCAAACCTCAGTCCTGAAGAATTGGCAGATCTTTCCGTATCATCTGAAGAAGGGGGAGCCGCTTCATCTGAAGACGAAAAGAGGGTTGTAGAGGTGCTGGCAACAATGGCTTCTGTGGACAGTGAAAACATTTCTAGGACCTCGAGCATCTTCGAACTTGGTCTGGATTCAATTTCTGTCATTGGCTTCGCCAACGCGCTTAGAAAGTCTGGATTCAAGAACGCCCAACCTTCCATCATCATGAAGAACCCTGTCATTAGCAGGCTTGCAAAGGCTCTTTCTTCGAAGACTGCGACCTCTTCCGCTGAAAAGAGCTCAATTGTTGCTGCAAAGCAAACCATTTCCGCCACTCTGCACCAGTACAAAGCAAGCGCGGCCCACTCTTTGGGCGTACAGCGGGAGGATATCGAAAGCATCGCCCCTTGTTCTTCTCTCCAGCAGGGTATCATCTCCAGGTCCTTGGAGAGCGAGAAGCCTGTCTACTTTGCGACATTCAAATTCGAGCTTTCCCCAGATCTCGACCTCGCTAGGCTACAGAATGCCTGGGAGAAGGTTTACGAGGCGGTTCAAATCCTTCGTGCTCGCTTCGTACCGACGGATGACGGATATGTGCAAGTGGTGCTGCGTGGCCAGCATTTGCCATGGGGGGTAACCTCTGTCAATGACCAGGAGGAAATCCAGACTTACCTCGAAACTCGCAAGCACAAATGGTGGCTCCAGAACAGAGACCAGTTGAGAAGGCCTTTTGAGATCATCACCGCGATTGCACCCGGAAAGGCAATCCTGAGCGTGCACTTGATGCATGTGCTCTACGATGGTGCTAGTCTCCCGATGCTCCTCCAAAAGGTTCGCCAAGAGTACGATAGGGATTCGAACATCCATTACGGCCCCGACTTCCTCGATGTCCTGCCCTACGGCCCTCTTCGTGTCAGCCCGGAGGCACAATCCTTCTGGACCAATCACCTCTCGTTTGCTGAGAGTTCGCTGATGCCAAATCTGATCACCGAACCGCAGCAGAGCGATGTCACCGTCAATGTCCATTTGGAGGACTTGCAAGCATTTGAAAGCATCAGGAGGAAGCTCGAAGTGACGCACCAAGCCCTTGTCCAAGCCTCTTGGGCCGCTGTCCTTCAGAAACACTTCGCCGGAGCAGTAACTCTCGGCATGGTTGTCTCAGGCAGATCCATCGATTTTGAGGGCGCCGACCTCACAATCGGCCCCATGTTCAACACCATTCCCTTCCATCTCAGGTTCGAGCAGAATGAGAGATGGGTCCAAACCGTGCGCAGATGCCATGACTTCAATACCTCGGCTATGCCCTACCAGCATACTCCGCTGCGCGACATCATGAAATGGTGCAAGCGAGCGCCCAGCCAGCCACTTTTCGATACTTTGTTTGTCTTCCAAAAGGAGCTAGCGGGCAGGGATCCTGGCGATGGGATTTGGCAACTTCTAGAGGATCAACCTGAAGCCGACTACCCACTTGCGCTGGAAGCCGAACACAAGCAAGACGGCTCTATCGGGCTCACCCTCGTAGCCCAGGGTCATATTGCCGACCACAAGGCCGCGGAGGAGCTGTTGACCGATTTGAAGCAGGCGCTTTTGAACTTGCTTGCGGATCATGAAGCACTTGTTTCGGCCACTGTGGGCGAGATCCAGTCTTCAGGAGCGCGAAAGGACTCCGCCCAGGTGAACGGACACAGCAATGGTTACATGAACGGCGTGAAGGGCTTCGAGTGGACTCCGGCTGCGCGGCGTCTACAAGAGGAAATTGCTACTCTGGCTGGCGTTGAACCTACGGAAGTGGATGAACACACGACAATTTTCGAGTTTGGTCTGGACAGCATCGATGCCATCAAGCTGTCTTCTAGGCTCAAGAAAGCAGGAATCGACCTTCCGGTCAGCCAGATCATGCGCACCTTGACCATTCCGAAGATGGTCAAGGAGGTCACGGAGAAGGAGTCCGATAGCACGATCGCTTCACGTGCGATCTCTCTGGAGGACCAGCAAAACAAGTTGATGGAATACTTCCGCAAGTCTGGAGAGATTGATATGGAGAAGATTGAGTGTGCCTTGCCTGTCACCCCTCTGCAAGAGGCCATGGTGGCTGAGATGCTCTCTTCCGGCTTCAACAACTATTTCAACCACGACGTCTTGAAACTCGGATCGCAAGTCGATGTAGACAAGATGAAGGCCGCATGGCAGAATGTTTTCCGCAGCTCTGCCATCCTTCGTACGAGTTTTGCGCAGGTCGACGACCCGAACCTGGATATGTCGTTTGCGCAGGTTGTCAACAAAGCCAACGATTTGACAATTAGAGAGCTCAGTGTCTCTTCGGAAAAGGACATCAATGCCATATTGGATGAGATTCGGGATAGCACTGCCAAACAGGCTGGTAGCGAAGGTCTCTTCCAGCTGACTCTTATCCGCTCATCGACCGATACTTACCTGGTTCTTTCCATCGCGCACGCCTTGTACGACGGCTGGTCTCTGGGTTTGATCCACCACGACGTCAAGGCATATTATGATGGTCAAGACAAGACCTGCCCCTCATACAATGGCATTCTCGAGGACATCCTCAACGCCTCTGGCGACGAGGCAGCCGCCTTCTGGAAAGATTTCCTTGGTGGTGCGCCGAGTAGTCTCCTCGCTCCAGACAATGCTCAAACCCAGAGTTCCGGCATTGAAGTCCATCGCAAGGAGCACACGGGGTCGCTCAGCCTCGAAAGCCTCCGCGCGTTCTGCAAGAACCAAGGCATCACGCTGCAGGCTCTTGGACAGACATGCTGGTCTTTTGTGCTTGCTTCTTATGTCGGCAAACTGGATCTTGTCTTTGGCGTTGTCCTTTCTGGTCGCGATAACCAGAACGCTGAAGACGTCATGTTCCCCACTATGAACACGGTGGCAGTCCGCTCGATCATTCACGGCTCGAAGAAGGACATGCTCCGGTACATGCAAGAGAACATGAGCACCATGAGGCAGTTCCAGCATTTCCCGCTCCGGAAGGCAAAGGCGATGGCTGAGACAAGAGGCAAGTCGTTGTTTGACTCGCTGTTCATCTTCCAGACCCAACCAGCGGAAAACAGTGGTGACTCTGACGCGCTTTACGAGTCTGTTGGAGGCTCCTCGGACGTCGAGTACCCGGTAGCTGTTGAGATGGAAGCCGTTGGCGATGCTCTCATCTGGCGTACAGCATGCAAAGCGAGCGTCTTTGACCAGAACGGCACGGAAGAGCTCCTTCAGCGTGCCGACGCGGTCTTGAAGAGCATAATCGAACACCCAGAAGACGCTGCTGTAGCCTACGGTGAAGATGGCGCTTCCGTCTGCGGGATGCCCGCTTTCAAGGACGTTTCCGAGAAGACGGACGGAATTGCTTCAGACACTGAGAACGTTAATAGCACGGCCGTCGCCCCGAAGGAGTGGACGCCTCTCGAGACTACCATCCGCGAGGTGCTCTCCGCCGTCTCCAAGATCCCCGAGACAGAGATCACGCGTGAAGTCACCATGTTCCACATGGGGCTCGATTCGATCAGCGCGATCAAGGTCTCGTCGCTCCTGCGCAAGAAGGGCATCAAGCTCAGCGTCAGCGCCATGCTGCGCGCAGCGACAGTGGAGAAGATGGCGCAAGCAGCCAGCAGCCAGCAGAGCAACGGCGACAACGACGACGCCGCCGCCCCCGCGCTCCAAGCAGACGAAGTCCTGGCCTCGTGGCTGAGCGACATCGACATCGAAGCCTTAGCCGCAACCGCAGCCATCCCGCCCGCCAACATCGAGCGCTGCCTCCCCGCCAGCGCCGGCCAAGTCTTCATGCTCTCGACCTGGCAGAACACGCACGGCGCGCTGCTCTACCCGGGCTTCGAGTACGAGCTGGGCGCGCCGGTCGAGGAAGCCCGTCTGCGCGCCGCGTGGAACAGCCTTGTAGCCGACCATCCTATCCTCAGGACGTGCTTCCTCGCGACGGGCCGCGCCGACAAGCCCTTCGTGCAGGCCGTGCTGAAGGCTCCGAGGGAGTCGTTCCACGTCGTCGACGACGCGTCTGCTGCCGCTAAAACCGCGCCCCCGCGCCAGCCCTTTGCCGCGCTCTTTGCGCAGCGCTTGCGCGCGCCGGCGAAGCAAGCGAATGCAGCAGTGACGGCAACGGCGGCCGCGGCCGTGGCTGCTATGGCGCCCCCTATGCGCCCGCAGGCCTCGTCCACGAAGTCCAGCTCGGGGAAGCAGGCGTCGTCGAAGGCGCCCTGGCGCCGCCTGAAGAAATGGATCTCCAGGCGCGTCAACAGCTCTGACGAGCCCTCTAGCGGGAGCAGCAGCACCAACAAGGCTGCTGCTGCGACTGCTGCGCCCGCACCCGCTGCTCCTGCCACCACCGAGCAGAAGCAGGTCACGACGGGCTGGATCCTGACGCTAAAGCTGCACCACGCGCTCTACGACGGCGTGAGCCTGCCCTTCCTGGTGCAGCAGCTCGAAAGGCGCCTCAACAACCCCAGCACCCCCACCTCCACAACAACACAACCACACCACGCCTACGCCACCTTCCTCGCGCACACAATCGCCCCACCCCCAACCCTCATCCAGCGCACCCATTTCTGGCACTCCTACCTCGCAAACACAAGCCCTGCGCGCCTGCCCCGCCCAACAACCGTCACGCCCGCAGCCGGCCGCACCAGCGTCTTCAGGCCCGCGGTGAGCGATGTGCTCGAGCGCCGTGCGCGCGTGTTGGGCGTCTCGGCGCAGGCGCTGTTTGTGGCGGCGTATGCGCGGGTTTATGCGGGGCTGGTTGGCGCTGCTACTGGCAGTGAGGACAAAGACAGGGACGTGGTGATAGGCCTGTGGCTCGCGAACCGCGCAAACTCAAGCGCAAACGACGACGCGGCCTCGACAAGGGCAGTGCCGACAGTGAACCTGCTGCCCCTCCGCGTCGGCGTCACGGCTCCGCTGTCCCTGCGCGAGGCCGCGGCAAGGGTGCAGCGCGATCTGGTGGCTGTGGGGGAGGGGGCGAATGCTGGGGTGGGGGTGTGGGAGCTGGAGAATGGGAAGGGAGGGGAGGTGGATACGTGGGTGAATTTCTTGAGGTTGCCTGAGGGGGAGAGCGAAGATGGAGGGGATGCGGGTGGTGAAGGTGGGGTAAGGTTGCGGGAGAGGGGCAGGGACAGGGGAGAAGATAAGGTTGATGCTGATGCTGGTGCTGGTGGTGTGAAGGGGTGGAAGCGGGTCGATGTCCCTGATCAGGGTGCCGTGACGACGGTGCAGGAGCTGCAGGCGAATGCGGTGCGCGGCGCTTATTTGGTGAGTCTTTCTTTTCCCTTTCCTGCCTCCTTCCCTACCACCCCCTTCCTTTCCTACTTTCTTTTTCTAGCAGTTGACGGTGTTGAAAATGGGGCACGAGCTAACGCGACGCAACGCAGCATTCCCTAGACATAGAAGCGACGGTGCGCGGCGGCAGGCTGGACATGGGCGTGTTTGCGAGCGAGGGCTTGATGGGGGTGGAGGCGGCCGAGGGGGTTGTTGCGGATGTGGTGAGGGTTTTGGAGGAGGGGGAGGAGTAGTTGTGTTTTGTGCTCTTTCTTGGGTTGTTTGGTGCTGTTTGTTTTTTGTCTTTTACCCTTTGTTTAGTGTAATATCGCGTTTTCTGCTGCTGCTGTTGTTGTTGTTGTTGTCGTTGTTCGGTTCGTGCGTTGTGCAGCACAGCGAGAGGATATTATCTGTCTATCTGTCTATCTGTCTGTCTGTCTGTCTGACCATGATAGACCGTTTCCCTTACGCATTACAGCACACCTCCCTCCTTCCACGCCAGCACGTCTACGCACCCATTCAGTTATATATGGTAGTGGTGTGGTGCAAGGTGGTGCGCGATTAACTAAAGTAGACAACGCAGTCAGTTAATAAACACATACAGGGCAAATTCTCCGGTATCTTTATGGCGGCTCAGTGCCTTCCGCTTTCTATATATTTTGCCCACCCCTCGACTACACATTAAGTGAAATCTACGATACCTATAGAGTACTCCTTAGGTAGTTATAAATAGACTATTATGCTACGGCTAGTCGGTGCTATATAACTACGTAAAAGTAAAAGTATATAAGGTATAATAGTACCTAAAAGGGTGTAATAGTAAAAATATACGAGTCCTAAAGTATACTTTAGAGGTAATAGAGGTAGAGATATATACGAGCCCTAGAGTATCTTCGAGGGTACGAAAGTAAAATATCTAAAGGGTTTGAAGGCACTTATAAATGGATAAAGATATAAACTATCTAAGAGTAGAAAGTATATTATATAGTTTTGTAGGTATACCATCACGTAGGGTGGGCAAATTATCTGGGGCCTTTAATATATTGTGACCTGCAATGAAGTGTAACAAACAAAGGATTTGTATTCCGGTAAAGCCATCCTATCTACGGTAGCTCACCCTTCTTACCCTGAAAGTCGCTGTTGCCACCAACGTGCTTCTTGGCGATGAAGATGTTGGCCATGGAGCGCTGACCCAATCAACACCCTATCGCCTTTGCCGCAGTGTTATTCGCTGCCGCCATTGATAAGACTATTCCTTTAAGAACTTTCTAATCTGTTCCGCGATGAACTTTAACCGCGTAATCGACTCACGGCTGTAGTTTGCACTTTCAACCACAGAAAAGTGGAGAGCCTGCTTCATCGCAGCCACTAGGCTGTCCGCATCTGGAAGGGCTGGCCACATCGCAACGGTCTCCTCCAAGCTGTCGGCCGATGTGCCAACTGTGTTGTGAACAGCATTGACACGCTGTTTGAGCAGCTTTACTTCCTGCAAGATGCATTCCTGTGCGATGCGGAGGAATCTTTTTGACATATTGTCGTTGTCATCGGAACGGGGGCGGCTCGGGGGACTGACGGGTCCAATCGTCCGGTTGCAAGTGTCGAAGATCGAGTTGATCATAGCACGCGCGGTCAAAGAATTCGTCCTTGGCGTCATTGTTATCGATGGACAAGTTCAGGTCCCTAACGAAGTCTTTGTTCGTATCCCACAGGAAAAGAAACGTTGCCATCCAAGCCCTGTAGTGAGAAGGGTTCACGGCGCGGTTGGTCAGAAGTCTGGCCTTGTGGATAAGCATTAAGCTATCCGCGTCGAGGGTTGGATGAGCTTGGATGAGATCGTAGTATGAATCTACGATCTCGGTCAGAGCTAGGTCGGCGTGTGTTCTCGTGAAAGCGGTTTGGGCTCCACCCGATAGCATACGAGCAATGTTGATGTTGGATTCCGACTGACCCATCGATTTCTTTAGGGTGGCCTCTAAAGAATCCAACCAACAGACTTGTCGTGTCTTTTCGTATTGACCGACATAGATGGATGTGAGAACTTGCAGCTGATCCTGCCAAGGTTTGTACCTCTCCGTATCCTTAACGGTGGTTGAGGTGGTCATCGACTTTGTCAACACCTTAATCTTTTCCGTCCACGCCCTTTGTCGGTCGACTACACTGGCCCAGCGCGTCACCGTCGTCCCGATATTCTCGAAAAACAAGAACCTCGTTTTGCTTAACGACACGTGCTTCGCACAACCCATTCGTTCTGTTGATGAGGCCGAAGTACTTGACGTACACGCCCTCTTTTTTGACACCCACGCGGAAGACTCTGTCCGGGCGATTGGGGACGGTGAGGTGGTTGGAGGCCTCTTTGATTGACTTTCCTTGGCTACGACTTCCGCTGTAGCCTTCGAACTCTTGTCCAAACCCTGCCTTGACGACGTCTTTCGCATCCGGTATGAACATTCCAACCCAAAGGAGTTGAGGCAATCCCTCGGGTGTTTCCTCCAATTCGATTTCGGTCGGGGTGAAGTCAGGCGCGACGTCTTTTGTTGTGATTTTGGCAGCTCGTCCTGCTTTAACCGAACTCACATTCAGCCATACTTGGTTCCGAAGTGAGAGCGGTATCTGATGGTCATAGGCGATACCGTTAATGGTGAAGGCCATATCCAGGTCCGCAGCCATGATGACTGGCGATACGCCTGACAAAGGCGCAAGCCTGATGATGACAAGAAAGCTTTTGTTTGTGGATCGTTCTTGACCTGGGACGAGATGGTTGGTGGCGGTTTCGTGCGTGTGGATGGCAAGTTATTCGGGCTTTGAGGGCCGCGCGGGAGAGGATTTATGAGTGAGGAAGTAGGAGGTAGGAAGTGATGGAGGAAGTACGAGGGAAGTACGGAGGAGGAAGTACGAGGGAAGTACGGAGGAGGAAGGAAGTACGAAGGAGGAAGCAAGTACGGCAGAGGCGAGGCGGAGGGTTAAATAGCGGTGACGGCATCAACTTGTGACAAACGCCGGTGACCGTGCCTGCCTAATTGTCTTCGCTTCCATTTTCGCTTTGTTTTCTTCTGCACATCCGCCCTCTCTCCTCTGACCACACCTTCACCTCTCCGTTCCTCTCCCTTCCAGCTCCCTCGACCTTCTTTCCCCACACCCTCACCTCGCCGTACCACTCTCACCCAACTCCATGCTCGCTACCCAAGACATTGTTTCCTTCGAAGAGCATCATGGAGCGTCTTAGGAAGGCGAAGGCGAAAGCGGACAAGGCTAAAGCCGAAAGCAATGACCAACCCGGTGACTTTTCCGAGGTGTTGACGGACAATCACTCTCAGAATGAAGCTTTGGTTTGCTCAGAAGACCAACCCGGTGACTCTGCCGAGATGTTGACGGGCAATCACTCTCTGATCGAAGCTTTGGCTTGCGTAGAAGAGCTTAAAGCAAGACATGCCGTCATGGAAAGACTGGAAGAGAGATACGTCCACGGCAAATGAATCGGGAAAAGATTCGCTTGAAGAACAATACGAGAAGGAGGACAAGAGACAGAAAGCCACTATGGACCGACTCAACGAACATCTTGAAGACTTCGGGCATCTTGCACCAGCCATCAGCAAGCAACACATCGACCTCAATGAAAACGAAGCTTCTGTTTGTTTCGACGTTCTCTTTGAAGTAAGGAAAGTGCGCGAAGATCACGAGCAAGGTCGTACCAATCCTCAGCATCTGAAGGATCTTCAAGATGCGATTGACAGTCTTGGGACGATTGTCGACGCAACTGCGGGTCAGGGTACGGATGAAGTCCCAGTTTTGGTTCCAGTAGGCGAAGCAATCGACGACGGTAAGTCTCTGCTTCTCACTCGGTGTTGTATCATGCTGACCACATGTCCCAGAGCGCAGGCCGTTATCAGATGCCCAGACACGTGCTCGTATCAACAGCTTCGACGACGGAAAAGCTTTCTTCAGCAATACCACGACAGTAGGACCAAAGAAGATGGTGCTGCCTGACCCAGCCCCCCTGGACGAAAAAACCAAGAAGCCCTACGATTTCCAGACCAAAAACTGGCAGGCGTCAAAGGAATGGGATCAGAAGGCGCCGTATCGCGAGATGGTCCACGCCTACTATCGCGCAAAGCTTGCTGGTCTAGAACCGTCCGGGCCACGCCCGCCGGGACCCAAGGACCTGGAAGCATACCGAGCCAAGAAAGCCCTGGAAGCATACCAGGCCAAGAAGCTGCAACATGGACAGGAGGGACAGGACGATGACGAAGATGGCATGGAAGGACAGGGTGACGACGATGGTGGCATGGAAAGACAGAAGGACGATAACGACGAAGACGGCATGGAAGGACAGGACGACAACGAAGCTAAGATGGAATGACAGGAAGAAAGTAATGATGAATCAGGAACAATACTCAGGATTCCTCAAACAGTGATTCGGACTTCCCCTCAGTAGCTAAGATAACTTAGCTAAGCCATAGGCTACATAGCAAAAATAAAGGCTTTGTTTACTCTTCTAGGGCGGGTGCGAAGCCTCCTTAACTACTACGTACCTATCTATGCTACCCACTGGTCTTGGCCCTCTACCACAACAACTATTACTCGCTCGCGAGAAGGAAGCTTTTTCACTTTACTTCGCTATGCTTGCTCCATGTGTATGCATGCATACAAGAGCAAGCGACGCCACGCCACGCCACGCCACGCCGCGAGCGAGCATGCTGGTTGCCGTCTTCTTCTGCGTACTACAGACTACGGTAATTCCAGGGTAGGGCCGCGGAGGGAACTATGTGTGCGCGGTTTCTTTCTTGCAGCTGGCTGTGAGTGCGCTGGGGTTGTGTTTTGTGTCCTGGTGGGCGATACTCCTACTGCGGTTCAATGCTGCGCTGTGCGTTGTGCGTTGGAGTTGCGAGCTGTTGCTGCGGGTAGCGGGTGCGTGGTTTTGCGTCCGAGTGCGTAAATATGTAGGTAGGGGGGTCGTTGCCTCGTTGGTCGTCTGTTCCGCCTTGGAGATCCGTCTGCATGCGGTCCGTTCGCCCATCAATCACCGCCGAAAATCCCTAGGGTATCAATCAATCCGCCATCGCAACCAAAACACCATACACGGGGCGTCATCCCGCGCACGAGCTCAAGCGCGCCCACGGCCCCTCACGCCGCCCCTCCCAATCCCGCTCCCTGCCCTCCCAGGCCCTCTGCCCACGCCCCGCTGCCCGCCGACGCCGACATACCCCGCGCCAGGCGTGGTCCTGCCAGTAGCGCTGGCACCAGCCCTGCCTCTCGCAGTGCCCCTCCTAGTGCCGCGCGCGCTGCTGCCCGGCCTGCTCGTACTTCCGCCCGCGGCCTCGACGCGGCGCCGCTCCTCGTCTTCCTCGGCCCGGCGCGCCGCTGCTTCCCGCCGCAGCACGGCTTCTTGCTCGCGCCGCGCGGCTTCATGCTGCCGGGCTGAGGCCTCGGCTTCCGTGTCTGCGACGTCCTGCCCCGCGCCTTGCCAGGTCGGGTCGAGGATGAGGCGCTGGTTGTGCTCGGTGGCGGAGAGGATGCGGGTCCAGGTGTGCAGGAGGGTGGAGGCGGAGGAGACGGTGCGGTGGACAGTCTGCGTGCGTGGATAGTGTTAGCTAGCAAGGAGGACAGATGGGAATGGATGCAGGAGGAAGGGGAAGGGGAAGGTGTGAGGTGCGAAAGAACGGGTAGCGGTGGGGCATGCGTGCGGAGAGAGCGAGAGGGGTGACCGGTGCGGGGCGGGCGTGGCCAGACCGGGCGGCAGGGTACCTACATCCATGTTGGTGCGGGCCTTGTCGAGGCTCTCGACGACGCCCTCGATGACCTTGTTGACGGAGCGCACTTGGTCGAGCTCGCGGCGCAGGGCCGCCTCGCGCGCCTCGTCGGTCGTGTAGCGCGACTCGGGGCGCGGGGCGGTGGGTTGCGGCTTGGGGCTGTCCATGTTGATGTCAGAGTCGGATAGGGTGAGGTCATCCATGTTGGGAGTGGCCATTGTCGCGAGTATGGTGGTGGAAGATGGTGTGCGAGACCGAGACGGGCATGGACCGGTCAGAGCGTGTGTTTGTTGACTGAGTCTTTTCCACTTTACGCGTGGGGAACGCCAAGGCGGGCCGTCAAGTCGCGCGCGTCTTCACACACGCAACGCAACCCCATGAAACGAACCAGCCACCTCTTGGTCCCTCCCTCGCTAAGGCTGTAGTTTCGTCTGCATCTTAACCTACATACATACATACTACTCCAATTACTTTCCGACGCGTCCGCACAAAATTCGCCCCGTCTCGCTTGTTCGCTGTGGGTTTGTTTAGCTGGCAGCCAAGGCAGCCCGACGTCAACCAACAACCAACACACCCACCACCACCACCGCTTTCCATCTCACCTTTGCTTTTTCCCACCTCCGACAACCACCATCGTCGCTTCCACATTCTCCACCATGGCTTCCACGCCGCCGCCTCGCGAGCGCATTCGCGTCCGCACGCCGCCTACTCCGCTCCACGGTGCCCGTTTCGATGGCTACGAGCCCTACTCGCCCAGACGCTCCCGTCGCGTCGCATCTCAGCGCGCCCCCGGATATTCGCTAGACGAGCCCGAAGTCACTACCAAGCATCCTTCCGCCAGCAGCAAAAAGCGTGCTACTTCTCTCTTGGGCCTGGACAACCGCACGCCCTCGCCCCCATCGTCGCCGAAGTCTCCCGCAAAGCGCTCCACCGCCAAGAAGCTCAACTTCACCTCGGAGAGCGAAGTCGACCGCCCCGATTCCGACATTGACGCCATTGTCCGCAAGCCGTCTGCATTGGACCCGTTTGCCTCGCGCACCAGTGGCATGCTCCCCACACCGTCCAAGACACCCGCCAAGCCATCCAAGCACCTTGCTGAGCCCTCGTCCGCCTTTGGTTCTACCGCGCGCGTCCTCTTCCAGAGCCGTCCGGCCACCGTCGACGAAGTCATGCCTTCGCCTCGCAAGAGCCGCAAGAAGCACTCGGCCTTCTCCCTCTTCAGTTTCGCCGACGAGTGCGACGACAACCGCCGCACCAGCAAGATCGAGATCTACACCGACTCGAAAGAGCGCGTGCCCAGCAAAGACAACACCGTGGACAACCCTTTCGTCACGCGCGATGCGGACGAGCAGCGCGCGTCCAGGCCCCGTCGCAAGACGCGCTCATCCCGCAAGCGCACCGAGAGCGAAGAAGACATGGAGCGCAAGGCCGAAAACGACGAAGGCCTGATCTACACATTGTAAGTTCTTTTCGTCCCGCTTTACCGTCACTCACAGTTGCTAACTATCTACAGCCGCGGAAAGAAAGTGTTCCGTGCTTTCAACAACAGCAGCGACGAGGAATCGCCCTCGGACGACGACGGCCCATTGGAAAGCGCCCGTGCCCGCCGTCACTCTGGCGCTACCTCTCGTCGCCCGCTCACGCGTTCAACCATCAAGCCGCGCCTTCTTTTCCCCACCGACGAGCAGCGCAAGGCCCGCGAGATCGCTGCGGCTGCCGCCGAAGAAGAGGCGACGACCGACGTGGAAGGTCCAGCCCGCAAGCCCACCCCTCGCAAGCGTTTCAGTGTCACCAGTGGCCCGCACGTCCCCGCTATCGAGCAGCACAAGACGCAGCCGGAAGCCGCCCCCTTTGCTTCCGTTCCCCAGATCACGACGACGGCCGCTACGCCCGCCAAACAGCGCTTCAGGGACATCGGACCGACTACGCCCCCGCCCAGCGGTCGCGCGACTCGCTCTACCGCCAAGAAAGAGGCCGAGGCTGCCGCCGTTCACGACGCGCTCGACGTGGACGAGGGCGAGGAAGACGCGCCCTCTCCCTCCAAGACGCGCGAGTCGCCCGCGAAGCCCAAGAAGAAGCGCAGCCCGTTCGACAACTGGCGCCGCAGCAAGTCGAGCCTGCCGTCGTCGCGCGGCTCGCCCAACCGCCTCAAGCGTCGCGGCGAGACGCTGGAGAAGACGGAGCAGCACAAGCGGACGCGCAGCCTCAACCTTGCCCCGACTCAGGCTCACGACTCTACATCACAGCAGCAACAGCACAGCCCGGGTGGCGACAGCGTCTGATGTTTGGAAAAGGCATTGGATTGAAGTCGGGGTTTTTATGATTTTGGCTTAAAGAAAAAAGCACACATGGATTGTTGTTGTTTTTTGGGTTCTTCTTGTTCCTCCCCCCAACCCACACACACACACACACACACACACACACACACGTCTTCTTCTAGCACACGCGTCCAAACAGAGGAACGGTTACGCTTCTTCGTTGAACGTTGGGCGCGCATGCGCTTCTGTTGTGCGCGGTCTGGGGTGTCTCTCTAGATGGCGTGGAGACTTCAGCGCCGCGAGCAGCTAGTGGCTAGTCGCTGCTGCTGCCGCTGCTTCTTTCTGCTTCTTCTTGAATCGCGCATTTGCGAGCCTTTTGTGGCGGGATCAATCAGATCAGATCAGACCAGATCAGATCAAACCAGACGTATGTTTGCACGCACGCAGTACCTACGCACGGCGGGAGCGCATCAGCTGTGGGCAATGCGCATTAATGGAATGGACGGGTGCAGGCAGGCGCGCCCGACGCGACGCCGACGCCATGGAACGCCAACGCCCGGCGCGATTGAGCTCCCGTCTGCGCTTGCCGTCTTGATGCGCGACCCGCTCTTGTTGCGTTGATCACGCACCACCACACACACTACTCGGGATCCGCGAGCACGCCTTGCGGCGTGGAGGACCTGGGTAGAGCATCTCTGTGCACACATGCACATGCACACGAACTAAGGGTCGTTTGCGTGGGATGCATCTGCGCTTTTCCCTTCGGCTGCTGCTGCCCAGCGTGGCATGACATGGCCAACTTCTTCTCTTCTTGCTAGTTCTTCTCTTCTTCTTCTCTTCTTTTCTCTTCTTCTCTTGCTCGTCCCCCACCGACTACCACCACCATCATCTGTGGTTGCCCCTTTCTATTTCCTTTCCTTTCTTTCCTTTTCCTTTTGCATTATAGCGTGCGATGCGATGCGATGCAATTCCCTGCTCTGACTGGCTGGCGTGCGTGCGTGGTGAGCGTGTGGCTTTCTCTTTCTTTCTCTTTTCCTTTTGTTTCTTTCCCCCCTTTTTTTAGTCTTTAGTTTTGTCGTGTCTTCTCTCTTGCTGGCTAGGCGTGTGGCGAACCGGACTGGACTGGACTGGACTGGACTGGATAGTATGGGCTGGGTTGACTGGGTGGGATAGGATGGAACTGGATAGGCAAGGGCAAGGGCAAGGACAAGGACATCGCGTGCGTGGGTTGGTTAGCGAAGTAGCTAGTTGCTGCGTCTGGATGGTGGATGGATGGATGGGCGAACTCTTCTCTTCTCAGATCCTACGTTAAGAATAAGAACACTTTTTTTTTCTTTTTTTTACTTTTTAGGCTTTTGGGTTTTGGGTTTTGACTTTTGGGTTTGACTTTGAGTGTCTTGCGTTGCTTTAGACGTGATGAGATGGTGACGACGATGGCGGAAGAGGGAGAGGAGAGAAGGGAGGTTGGAGAGGAAGGATGGGTGGGTTTGGTGTGCGCAGTGATGCGTGAGTGGATGGATGGATGTAGGTATATACCTAGCTACTCGTACACTACCACCACCATCCACAGCAATCACGCAATCATCTTCGTCCCATCCATCCATACCCATCCGCGTACTATAGGCCGAGCACTCCGCCCGCGCGTACTCCACCTAGCTAGCTATGTAGGTGCCTACGGGTAGGTAGGTACTAGGAAGGGTGTCGTCAGAATTCGCTCCGCGGCCCGGCCCGTCCCCGTGCCCGTCCCTAGGTCCCGCCATCAGGCCGCCAGGCCGTCCGTCAGGCCATCGCGCGCCAAAATAAAACAAAACAAACTAAAACAAAATAAAACCGCATCGCTCGTTGGGCGCCTACGTAGGTAGGGACGTAGGGACCTACCTATACTAACTGGATGCATGAGAGTGAGAATGACGGGTTGGCCACGTCTATCCATCCCTTCGTTCCAGCTATTATTATCTATTCATCTCTCCCCAACGAGGGATACTGTACGCCATAACAGCAAAAGCACGTCAAGGCGCTACGGATTCGAATATCAACCAACATGACAGCAGCGTGTGAGCGTGCTTGCGCTGCCTTTGAAACGGTCCCTACAGCTCACCCCGTGCGTGGATTTAGAGACTGCGCTTGTGCGTGCATGGGTTCCTCGCGAGGGACTTGTAGAGCATAAGGACGCCTGGGCAGGTGGGTAGGTACATAGGTAGGGCTCACCCTTGGCTGCAACTACCCGCCCGCCTGCTCGCCCTTCGTAACTCGTTCGTTTGTTGGGTCGGCGGCTCCGTCGGTGCTTCCGTCGCCACTGCCACTCTCTTTGCCTTCCGTCACCGCCACTAGGTATCACGTTGTCGTTCGTCGTCCGTGTCGTCGTCGCCACTGTTGACTGGTGCTGTTGCTTTTGCTGCCTATGTAAGTACGAGTACTATGCTACGTACGTATGTATGTACGAGACGGCTGCTACCGCCGCCACCACCGCCACCGCTGCGCGCGTCGTGGTAGGTGGCGCCGGAGGAACGAGCTGGCTAGCTGGCTACTTGTGCATCAAGGGTGATGAAGTTCTAGCCAGTGCTTGGTTGCTGATTTGCTTGGTTATGGGCAAAGATCTAATTAGCGGTGACGCGACAGCGCTAGTGAACGAATGGGTTTCCTAGTTAGTTCCCCGGCGACGCGATTCGCGAATCGCATCAAAGACGGACAAGGTCGCGAGACGAACCACCGCCCTACCTACCTACCTCCAGCAGCATCTTCATGCCCAAGCTGATGGCGCCGCCGCCGCCGCTGCTGCTGCTGCTACTGCCGCCACCACCGCCGCCTATGCCTGTCACTGCCCCCATGCCACCTACCGACCGTGTGGTACAGGAAGGCCCGCATCCCAGTGGGCGCGCGCAAAGCGGCCCAGCGCCGCCGCGGCCGCCACGCTGACCTCTCACTCATGGATGTCATGGTCGCCGCTGCTGCCGCCTTCGCCGCACGGCACGCCGAAGCAGCATCGCAGGTTGACTACCTCGACCTATCAGCGCCTACCACGGGCAGCGAGTTTCTGGAATCCGCTCGACGGCCGGCTGGTGTGCGCTCTGCTTGCATCGCGACACGAAGCGCCGGGCTCTCGGGCACCGAGGGAGCGGCCTTCCATGTCTTTCCCTCGCTGTGGGCACCCAAGTGCGCGTGCCCACGTCACGGTGGTGTGGTGCGGCGCGGTGCGGTAGGTAGGTAGGGGAGGCAGGACCGAGCGAGGAAGGAAGGAAGGCAAAGCAAGGGCTTGAAAGGCTGGCTTGCTTGCTGACCCTTTGGCGACCGCGCGTCCAGCTCTCGGCCGTTGGCCCCCCGTCGCGGACCGCATAGTATAGCATGATCGTGGCAATCGTCCTTCGCTCAGTCAGCTGGGTGCATGGCGTGGGGGTGTGGGCGTGCTGCTCACGCACCCAGACGGCCTGCGCGGCGCGCCGTCAAGGGTTGCTGGTCTGTACATACGTGCAGATTCTATTGAGTGGTTCCGGGAGTGCCCGTGAGGCACGTCAAGGTCTAGCTCGATCGCGGCAGGCGAGTTGGGCGCGCTGTGCTATGGCGGAATCATGGTAGGTGTGTGGTGTTGTGAGAGGGCGAGATACCTAGTGATAGCCCAATACGCGAGTCATGGCGTCGTCTCCCGCGACGTCACTCGTCACTACGACGTTCTGCTTTCGCTCCACGAGCCATTGCCCATCCAATCCGTCCACCATGCCTGCGCTGAAGTTTGTGAACTCCGTACGTCCTGCCCGTGCTCGACATGCGCTACCAATGTGTTGACGTCGCTTCCATGCAGGTCTGGAACTCGTTCAGGGCAACCTCTGGCCTTGAGCCAAGGTAATGAATGCCCCGGTTCATTGCTAGTTATTCCTTGTCCATTGGAGTCGCTCACTGTCATGTATGCGAGCAGGCTTCTTGATGGGGTAAGTGCTGTCGTTCTCGTTTTACATTCCGAATAATAGCCTGATGGGCGGCCATGTCTCACTATCAACACCAACCCATTCATCCGGCCCCTTCGACCATCTTCACCCATTGATCAATTCCATAGCTACGTGTAGTCAGCGCCGTGCCCGGCAAAGTCAACTTCGAGCTCGACATAAAAAAAGAGCACACAAACAGGCTCCAGATCCTCCATGGCGGCACCATAGCCAGCATGGGCAAGTCACACCTCAACGCCACGCAGCCGGCCCCAATTGCACGGCCGCTGACAACACGAGCGCAGTTGATCTTGGCGGCTCTCTCGCCGTGGCGTCGCGCGGTCTTTTCGCGACTGGTGTTTCCACTGACTTGAACGTCACGTACCTCAGCTCCGGCGGCAAGATTGGCGACCTGATCCGCGCCGAGGTCGAATGCGACAAGTTCGGCAAGACGCTTGCATTCACGACTATCAAGTTCTACAATGATAAGAACCAGGTCTTTGCCAGGGGCAGCCACACCAAGTAAGCGTTCATCAACGTGCGAGGTTCGTTGACCAGGGATAGAAACGGCTGACCCCGGCGGCTGCGTAGGTTTATTAGTCTGGCTTGGAAAGACGAGAACAATATTGTCCAAGAGCTGAGCCCCAAGGCTGCTGGAGCGGAGAAGAAGGAGGGCTCTTCATGAGTGGTCTGTGGATAAGATTGCAAGACATATAATTGGCTTCGAGATACATATAGATCCCTGGCTGATGGAGACAATTGAAAGAGCTAGGCTGCATTCGAGACTGGATTCTGGTTTCGGATGCATGGCAGCAAGACGAAAGATACAATGCCGAGCTGATACAGGGCGAGCGGGATGAGTGCGTTAGCTTTGCTTGACTCCCGGATCGTCCCGCTTTTGCGTGCAATCGTCAACAATCTCACGTCGACGATGGCGTTGTTCATGGATCAACAGACCCACCGCGACCACTGCGTCGGTGACATTTCAGTGAAGTCGATATCCGGCTCCATGCAAGAAATACGATGCCCGCGCGGGAAACCATCGGACATGGAGGAGGTCGTGTCGGACTTTTGCTAAGTTGCCGTTGCCCCTTGCACGAGAGCGGACAGACATTGAGCCGCCAAAAGCCGCTATCATGCTTGGCGTTCGCTTCGATGCAGCATCGCGCTCGTGTCGATCAGAAAGATAGGCGAAGGTGCCCTGATACGGCGACTTATATTCATGCAGACCCTCCTCGCCGCCCAGGGATTTTTCCGTGATGATTGCCTGCCAGCGGGCGCGTGGTCATGTGCAGGCCTTGTGTCATCGACTTTGATTAAGGCGCCATGGAGAAGCTTGAGATGGGGCCCAGCACGGCGGACGGCTTAAGCGCGCTCGCCCTGCTATTTATGGCGGCTCGTTCCAAGTTAATCGACGAGGTGTGTTTTCGCATTAGTGGCTCCGGGATGGCGGCTAAGGAACGAGCGTGAGCGATCAGGCCCCGTTTCAAGAGCAGCGCCGACGATCTATTGAAAGCATGGGGTGATGCCAATGCCTCTTCACATGTGAGGTAATATGCGAAAGCGGGGTATACGTCTTGAGGATATTGAGGTTCAAGGGGATACTTCCGAGGCGCCTTACTTACCCCGCGCATATCCCGCCAGGCTGGACCCGACGGCCTGCATGCCAGTCTGCCGGAGGGCCCTGCCGTGCTCCGACACAAGTCTTGTTGTACATTGCTTTTTTTTTTTTTGTTTTTTACTTTTTCTCTTACTCCTCTTTCGCTCTCGTTAGGCTCTTTTTCCCTCGGCAGAAAGCGCGTCGTCGCACAAGGCGCGTCTTGGACATGCCGGTTCGGGCAGGTGAGATTCGGCAAGGTCGGCCGTGGGCGATTTTTCGACGTGGCTCGCTGGGACTCTCGGATCTATCCAGCCATGTGCGACGCGTTTGCCTCCTGCAGTACCACGCTGCCGGCGAGGCTCGAGGACGATGAACCACCGGATCGTCGCGTCGCATGACCACGCGCCCGCGTCACCGCTCGGCGGCGGGAAGGGCGGAGGCAGCAGTCATCTGTCAGAGCCCGGAGAGCGGCTCTTCAGCCCTACCTGGGGTCAATGGCCTCGGATGAGCGCGATAGGTGGGCGAGACGGAGACGGAGGCTTTCTAGAAAGCGTCTGACACGAGTATAAAGCGGCACCGGCGGTGAGTGGACGCGAAAAAGGTGAGGCTGCCCTCTGCAGGCTCAGCCACGCCCATGTCACTGGATGTCTCGCACCTCGCGCCCAGCCATCCGATATCCACGGGCCCTTTCCCTCGCCGCCCAAGTCCTGGCCCACGAGAGCATCCTGGATGAGTCAGCCCGCTCCCGGCAAATGGTAGCCTGGTGGCCTGGGGCCAAAGCGTCCCGTCAACCTCTCCCGCTGCTGTGCCTCGCAAGGAGCGCACCCTGTTTCCATTGCAGCTGAGAAGACTGACTGCGCTGCCGGAACCGCCGACGCTGCGTGCATCTTGTGGCGAGTGCTGCCGCTCAAATACATACTACTCCCAGACGACGCGGCTCATGCTCTCACGCTTTCCGCCATCGCTTACAAAGACCATTCCCTCCCCTCACCACTCCCTCTCTCCTCCCAGTTCTCGTTGCTCCACCATTCTCGCCCTACCGCGCTGACTGAGTCTCACGCCGGCGACGCCATGGAGTCCCCCTCGAGCGGGTGGCGGGCTCTGCACTTGTTCCATCAAGTCACGCCCCTGCTATTAGTAGCTTACTACACGGTAGCTCTAATCTTTGATGTCGCGATCCGCATGCCGCCAAAGGAAGGAGCTGTCAGCCGGCGCTGGTACAGGGCCGCCGTCTCTCTCATTGTCCTTGTCATAGCTTCATATGCTGCTGAGGCTGCTGTATACATAGTACACAGCCTCATGCATCAGGGCTGGTGGGCTGGTCAACACAATGTCATCTTCATCATGGCCTCCATCCTCGTCTGGGGCAGCATGTCACTTATTCTCGTAGACTCCGCAACTCCGCGATGGCTACCGTATATTGGCACGTGGATTTTGGGTCTGGCCCTGGAATCCGTGATGTTCTCCCTTTTGATTGCGACTCGACCCCCGAGGGACAACTTTGAGGATTCTCGATTGGTTATTATTGTCTTACGGCTTGTTCTCCTCGTTTTGTTGTCAATCACTGGGGTTGTTATGATCTTTACCGGCAAGATGAGCACCATAGCCGTGGATGAAGAGAGCCAGCCATTGCTAGAAGATGGCGCCAATGGCACGACCGCGCCGTCATCAAACGGGACCGCATACGGCTCGATCGCAGCCGAGGATTCGAAGCTTCCAAAGACCAGCGAAAGAGAGGAAAGTGAAGAGTCGGAAGTCCCAGAAGATCAAGACAAGGATCTCAAGGAGCGGCAACGGAAGCGACTACTCGAGCAAGGAGGTTGGTGGGGCTACCTGAAGGGTTTTTTCATCTTTCTCCCCATGATATGGCCAGCGAAAAACCGAAGGATGCAGTTTTATGTTTGCCTCATGCTGCTTTGCATCGCCGCGCAGCGAGCCCTCAATATGCTTATTCCACGGCAAATGGGTATCATCACCAATGAGCTCATGGAAGATTACGGCACCCATCAGCTACCCTGGAAGCCGATACTCCTGTGGATCGGGCTGCGTTTCCTTGGCTCCCAAGCCGGTATCGAAGGTCTTCAATCTTTGGTCTCGACGCTCCTCGAACAATTTTCGTACGCTCAGATCACGGCGGCAGCTTTTCGACATGTCATGAATCTTTCTATGGATTTCCATACGGAAAAAAATTCTGGCGAGTTGCTCAAAGCTGTGGAGCAGGGCCATTCGCTCACGTCTCTGATGGAATACGTCTTCTTCGACACGGCACCTCTTTTCCTAGACCTCTTCCTGGCATTTATCTATCTCTATAACCTTTTCGACGCTTATCTCGCCTTTACAGTTATTGTCGTGGCGGTCACGTATCTCTGGACCACTGTCAAGCTCACAACTTGGAACCGAGAGGGGCGACGGTTATTTATTGAAAAGTACTTGAAGGAGAACAAAATCATGTACGAATCGGTCAGCAACTGGCAGACGGTGGCCTACTTCAACCGGAACGAATTTGAGCAAAAACGGCTAGGAGACGCGGTGAACGACCATATCGACGCGTACGTGCGGTACAATATTACCTACAACCTGATATTTGCTGTGCAGGTCTTCATCATTTTGCTTGGTTTGCTCGTGGCCAGCTTCCTTGCTACATACAGGATCGCCGAAGGCACAGCCACGGTAGGAAGCTTCGTCACCCTGATCCAGTATTGGTCAACGCTGTCCAGTCCCCTGTCTCGCCTCGCGAACTCGTACGACCGTTTATCTTCCGACCTAATTGATGCCGAGCGCATGCTACAGCTATTCCAAACAAACAGTAGCATTGTCGACAAAGAAACCGCAAAACCCCTCGAAATCACCAAGGGTAGGGTCGACTTCCACGACGTGTCATTCGCGTACGACCCGCGCAAGGCAACACTCAAAGATATCAACTTCACAGCAAAGCCGGGCCAGACGGTAGCACTGGTTGGTGAGACAGGCAGCGGAAAATCGACGATACTGAAGCTTCTGCTACGCTTCTACGATGCCACGGCCGGGGCCATTCGGATTGATGGACAAGACATCCGTGACGTGACGCTTGACAGCCTGCGCGAGGCCATGGGCGTGGTACCGCAAGACCCAAGCATGTTCAACATGTCGATCATGGAAAATATCCGCTATGCGCGACTCGACGCGACAGATGAGGAAGTGTACGCGGCGTGTCGGGCGGCGGCGGTGCATGACAAAATTCTCAGTTTTCCGGACCAGTATCGCAGCAAGGTTGGCGAGCGGGGGGTCAAGCTGTCGGGCGGCGAGCTGCAGCGCGTGGCTATTGCGCGGGTGCTGCTGAAGAACCCGCAGCTCGTCCTACTCGACGAGGCAACGTCGGCCGTCGATTCCGTCACCGAAATGCAGATCCAAGACGCGTTTCGCAAGCTGTCCAAGGGGCGCACGACGTTTGTTGTTGCGCACCGTCTCAGCACCATCATGCACGCGGACTTGATCCTCGTTCTCTCCAACGGGCACATCATCGAGCGCGGCACCCAGGACCAACTGCTCGCCCAAGGCGGCAAATACGTCGACCTCTGGAACAAGCAAACGTCGCGCCGAACTGCCAATATGAGTGAGGAAACCGAAGACGCAGACGTTGATGCAAAGCACGATGTCATAATCATTGATGACCTTACATCGTGCCCGAGACGGCTCGACGCTACAGACCTTCACAGTCTGCTCGACCACGCCGATGGCCAAACTGACAGCAAGTCCGACGACGACTATGAATGCACCGACACGGATGCCACCTCGACATCCACGACCCACGTGCACCAAGATGGCCATGCGAAGCTCGAAGGACTCAGCGGTGTTACTTCTAGTCCTAGCGTTCATGATCCTGCCGACACAGAGACGGATGACTCAACGGAGCGGACGAGCGAACGCAAAATACGCCGGGTGCGATGGGGATCTCGTGCGCGGAGTGACGGTATGGGAGGTGGTGGGGAGAGCGAGGCGAGTGGAGACGCGGACGGGGAGGAGGAAGAAGAGGAGGAAGAGGAGAGTGAAGACAACAGGGACGGGAACGAGGACGTGAATAGGAGAAGATTATAAGGTTTCAGTTAGTTGTGAAGGATATGGTAGGAGCGATGGAACAGGTGGATGAGGCACTGGAGGGTCCAAGATGGAGACGTGGGCGCAGGCGTCTACGCGCGCACATACACCCCCCTTCCTCTGGCCGAAGGAGCCAGTACAAGCAACCGCAGCAACGACAAAAAGCAGCGACAAAAAGCAACGGCAACAAATTTCCAGACAAAATGAACTATTTTATCTGCTTCTTTGCCCCAGTTCCGATCCGGCCCAATGTTAGCAATCCAGTCCCTTTTCCCCTTACATATCACACTATTTCCTTGCAATTTTCCTGTTTGTCCAAGTCGTCCTTTTCGCTTCTCATCGGCGGCACATCGTCCTGGAATCTACGCGTCTCTCTACGTCCTAGCCGCGTCGTTATCGTTGACTGTCTGTCTCGTTCGTTTCCTGGCGGCTGGGTGAGGCTGAAGGGGCGTTTTCTCTTCGTTTGGTGGTTTGCGTTTGTGACGTTTGTTTGTCTCTGGTTTGGCTCCTCGGCTTACAGTATATTGACCCCCGTCGTCCATAGGATTTTCTCAGTTCGGCCTTCTTCGTCTCTGCTATGACTCGGCTCGGCTCGTCTGATTTGGCTTGATCTGGGTTCGGTGTTTTTGTCTCGTGTGCTTGCTCTGTTCGGGCTGGCTCGAGCGGTTTTCTTCCCCGGAACAGCTGGGGGAGCGTTGCCGTCGTTATTGCTGTATAAACGCGCTACGGACATTTAGCTGTCTGTTTGTTAATCTGTCTTTCGTTTCTGGTTTTGGTTTTTTTCGGCTCTATATCTGTCGCTGTCGCTTCTTGTGTGTTCAGCTGCGCGTTAATTGGCTTTGCTGAGCTGGTTTTCTTGCTTTTTGTTTTTTGTTTTTTGTTTCTTTTTCTCTCGGGTTGGTTCGCGTGGCTTGTGGGTCGTGCGGCTTTCTCTGCCTGGCTTGGCTTGGGTTTGGCTTGGAAGGCTCTTGCTTTTGCGCTTGTTGTTGCGCTTGCGTTCATCGCGCCTCTCGTTAGGCTGCCTCCTGTCTGAGTTCAATACCGTGGGGTGGGGTGGCTTGCGGTGCTGCTACTGCTTAGATTGCGAAATGGATACCGTTGGTTCTTGCGTGCGTTGGTGAGTGATGCTGGCTCTCGAGATCATTCGTCGGCTGGCCAGGCAACTGCTGCAGCTTGGCTTGACTGTTGTTGGGTACTTACTGCTGTGAACTAGCATCCGCAATACTGTTCCCTTACCCACCTTATATGCATATAAGATTTGTTTTCATATCCTTATACATCCATATGTCTGTACCCTTATAGTACTCGGCCCCGGATAATTTGCCCACCCCTTCTAGATATTTTGCCTACTCCTTAGCTACATGTTGAGTTAAATCTACAATACCTACAGAGTACTCCTTAGGTAGTTATAAAAGTAAAAAAATAGGGTATAACAGTACTTAAAAAGATATAAAGGTAAAAATATATACGAGTTCTAGAGTATTCTTTAAGGGTATAGAGGTATAGATATATATGATTACTAGAGTATCTACGAGGGTTTAAAAATAGAATATCTAAAGAGTATAAAGATACTTATGAGGGTATAGAAACCTAAAATTTTATAGAGTAGAAAACAGATCATATAACTGTGTAGATACTATCACGTGGAGTGGGCAAATTATCCGGTGCCTAGTTATAGTAGACCTGTTGACTATTGTGTACTCGCTTTAAACCACTCGTGCAAGATCGGGGCAAATCATCCTGGTCCGAACGAGTACTAGACGTGATCAACTTTGATAAATCGAAGTTAAGTGCGTAAACAGTAACGGCAAACAACGGTTCTAGCGGCAATAAGCGCGCGTGAGTAGTTTCCATGATAACGGATGTCTTCGCATAAAGCATGCACCTGCCACCCGCGCTCGTCATGACGTATGCCTCTCCACGTCAACATCATACAGCCGCGTACACAACTTCACACTTCAACCCAAAAGACTTCTAAACCCACTCTTCACGTGGCAGTACCTCAACTCCTCCCCAACTTCCTTCCTTCCGCAAACGACCCCCCCACGAAAACCGCTGCCAACCCCGCACCCCGCTTATCCCACCCGCAACCCCCACGCCGTCTCTTCAATCAGCCCACGCCACCGCCACAACAACCAACCCTACCAGGCCTCGCGCTAAACAGCAAACGGAGCGATGGCGTCGCCAACGCTCAACGCCGCGGGTGATGCGTCGCCGATCTATTTCTGGCGCGAGTACGACGAGCCTTACGGCTTCCTGTCGCAGTGGTATGACTGTGCGTTCGAGCACGCGGGCGTCACGTACCGGAGCGCGGAGATGTGGATGATGGTGCAGAAGGCGCAGTTGTTTGGGGACGAGGTGAGTTTCGCGTGCTTTGGTTTTGTTCTTTGCCGTTATCCTGTGCCGTGTGGGCCGGCTTGCTTTGGGCTGCAGTACTTGTTGACGTGGCTTCTGGTTTGTTTCTGGATGCTTGCTCATGTGCTTTGATGGTGTCTAGGAGATTGCGCAGGCGATGCTGCAGGCTGTTTCCCCAGAAGAGCATAAGGAGCTTGGTCGTAAGGTTAAGAATTTTGATAAGAAGAGGTGGAATGAGAGTAAGTTGTTTTCCCATGCTTTCTTGCTTTCTTTCGGTCTTGGTGTGGGGGTGAGACTGAACGGGTTTTCGTTCTTATAGACAAAAGCCGCATTGTCGAAGAGGGCAATTTCTACAAGTTTACGCACAGTAAAGAGAAGACGCAACTAGCGAAACTGCTGCTCGCTACGGGTGATCGAGAGCTTGTTGAGGTGAGCAGTTTGCTTTACTTTTTGCTTGTTTGGAGTAATGAGATTATTGAGCTGACACGTGTAGTAGGCTTCACCTTACGACAGGATTTGGGGGATTGGTTTTGATCGGAATGTGGCAGAGGAGCACCGAGCAGAGTGGGGCGAAAACTTACTGGGGAAGGCATTGATGAGTGTGAGAAAGAGGCTGAGCGAAGGGAAAGAGGAGTAAAATATTCTGTAACGAAGAATCGAAGCCTAGTGTAGTTTCTAGAGATGTATTGTCTATTCCTTAACTACACACCAAGTAAAATCTACTATACCTATAGAGTACTTCTTAGGTAGTTATAATAGACTATTACACTACGGCTAGGAGTCGCTAGGTACCTATATAAGTAGTATATATTAACATACAAAGGCATAAATATTTATAAGTATTAGAGTTTTCTTTCGGGATCGAACAATAAAATAATTATAAGGTATTAAGGTATTTGCAAAGGTACAAGGTTATAAATTATCTATGAGCAGAAAGTAAATCAAATATTGTTAAAGTTGTATTATTACGTAGGGTGGGCAAATTATCTGGGGCATTTTGTGGGAGGTGGCCCAAATCAAACAATCGGAGGTGACTTCACTCGAAAACAGTAATTGGGTTTCTATCCAGAGTGGGTATTCGGTTCTTTATCAAGACGCTTTGTTCATGTGTAGAGTTGCGAATGCTATGTATGCTGTGGTCTACGACACAGCTACCGACTTTCATAACAGAAAATATACCAAGAACGGAATGCTCCTTGGCTATGAACTGTATGCCGGCACCGGTACGGTGATCCAGTGAGGATGTTTGTACTGATTGACGCGTATTATGAAATGGCCAGATAAATTCGTTAAAAATGAATGGCTATCCAAGAGTTCAGGAGTCCTTTTTGGGCTCTGTTGCTGCCGTGGCTTCTGTCAAGGCAGTAGGCTCCGTAGCGGCCACAGGTTTCGTAGCGGGCTCGGGCTCTGGGGCTTTGCTGGGCTTGAAAAAGACGTCGCGGTAGAATTTTGCTTCAGCTATGCTTTCCAGGATATCCTGACGAGCTTCGTGCAGTGCTAACTTCCTCGGAGTTTTCTTGAGCACCTCTTTGGGAGCCCACCGCCTGGCGGCTTCCTTGAGAGCACTAACGTCGAGGATACGGTGATGCAAATGTTTCGTGACCATCTGGTACGGTGGTCTCCGCAGGAAAGCTCTATCGGCGTGCACAGTGTTGCCAGCTAGAAGTGCCTTCTTGCGTTCCGGGACAAATCGTTTAATGTAGGCTAGCAGCCCCTCGGCGGCCTGTTCGTGAGTAGTAGAAGAAGTCATTGCAGCCTTGGTGAGGCCTGAAGCTTCGTGATGCTTGGTGCACCACTCGTCCATTTTATCGAGGAGTGCCTTATCATGGTGGATGACTACCTCGTAGCCTTCCTCATCCAGAACGTTAAGGTCATAGTCGGTCACGAAACAGGCGATGGACAAGATGCTATCGTTTTCATAGTCGAGGCCAGTCATCTGGATCAGAGATAAGCTGAGAGGTAATGTGCTGATTCGAGCGCAGTCAATACCTCGCAGTCGATCCAGACCAAGGGCTCGCGGGAGACGGATTCCGGCATCTTGATGCAGTGTTGTGTGCGTACGTGAAGGATGTTCAGAAGCGGAAGAATGCGGTGTGGCTGTAGTAGATGACAGCGCCAGAAATTCCTATGTCAGACGAGGTGGTTGAAGGATCGACGGCATAATCGCGGCATTTGATTGGACCACTTTACGCGACTCGTGCTTCGACGCGTCGCGCAAGCTCGCGGAACGCGACTCTGCTCAGCTTTCCGCCTTTGCCCTCTCCCCACACCAACTTTCTTCACCAGCACAACCCACCCGACCCGCCTTCGACCCGCGCTCCTCCTCCTCCAGTTTCAGCTCATGACACCCTTCCACTCGTATCAGTAATTGGTCTATTCACCGCTATGTCCAAATCCCGAGCCAGTCAGCTCGCGCAACTTCGCGCCCTGCGCGCCGCCGGCAAAACCCGTCTGGACTCCTACGAAGTCGAGGAGGAGAAGCAAATTTACGAGGAGGTCGATGAGGAGGGATACAAGAAGGTTGTCCGTGGCCGGCTGGACGAGGACGACTTTGTTGTCGACGACAACGGCGAGGGTTATGCCGACGACGGCAGAGAGGATTGGGAGGAGGGTCGTCAGCAATACTATTCTGATGAGAGCGAGGAGGATGAGCCTGTGAAGGGCAAGGCCGGTATGCATCTTCACTCCAGCTCGGGTTCTTGGTTTCCACCTTCTAACGCTCGCACAGCCAAGAGGAAGCGCGAAGAAGATCGCGAAAGGAAAGAAAAGGTCAAAAATGGCATCAACAAATATTTCACCGCAAATGCTGCTGCTGTTGTGCCAAAGCCTAAGGTATTTCTTTTCCAATTGGCGCGCATTCGTGGAAGCTAACTTTCTAGCCTGTGACAACTGCTGAGGACGCAGCCTTCATGGCAGACCTTCTCGGTGAAGTCGACACCAACGTCCCCTCCCGACCTCGCATGAAATCCGTCAAATCCGAAACTCGCCGCAAAACCCGCGTTCTTTCTCCCCCCATTGCCGAGTCTCGGCCAACAGCGCGCCAAAGCCGCAACGATGCGGATTTGGATATCATGATAGATACCCCACCTGCGGAAGTAGAGCTGCCAGAAGACGCCTATGTACCGCCAGTGGATGACGATGTTATGATGAGCGATCCGCCATTACCATCATCGCCAGTTACGAAAGCTGTCCAACGGAAGATATCGAAGGTTGCGATCAAAGACGAAGAGGAAGAGGATGACGATCTCATGGAGGTAGCTCAGGCTACCGGGCAATCTGGGATGCATACTGCCGGCGTGAACATGGCAGGAAGCAGACCTGTGCCCAAAATCAAGACTCAAAAGGCGTATCCCACCCCAGACAGTTCCTCTCCCACTCGGCCTCCGGCGGACGCAGTCGATGCTTCTTCCTGGAACAACGTAACCAGTCGGTTGAATGTCCAGAGTACTCCATCATTCGATACCTCGAGTATAGGAAAGCTCAAGCCCGAGCACGCCGTGGAAGAGGATGGCAGTCTCCGAATGTTTTGGCTTGACTATACAGAGATTCACGGTAGCCTTTGCCTTTTCGGTAAGGTCAAGGACAAGCACACTGGGACCTTCGTCAGTTGCTTTGTGAAAGTCGACAACATACTCCGCAAGCTGTACTTCCTTCCTCGAGAGACTCGACAGAAGCATGGCCGCGATACCGATGAGGAGGTTACAATGGGCGATGTGTACGAAGAAGTTGACGGGCTCATGTCTAAATTCCGTGTTGGCATGCACAAGATCAAGGGATGCACAAGGAAATATGCCTTCGAGCTTCCTGACATCCCCAAAGAAGCGGAGTATCTCAAGCTTCTGTATCCTTACGACAAGCCAGCAATTCCCGTGGATCTTAGAGGCGAGACGTTTTCTCAAGTTTTTGGCGCCAACACGGCACTTTTCGAGCAGTTCGTTCTATGGAAGAACATTATGGGACCCTGTTGGTTGAAGATCGATGGAGCCAACTTCAATGCCATCAACAACGCTTCTTGGTGTAAACTTGAAGTCCAGGTCGACAAGCCAAACAACATCAGCCCTCTTGGAGACTCGGACAATCTGGAGGCGCCTCCTCTTACCATCATGAGCATTGCTCTCAGAACGGTGTTCAACCAAAAGGAAAACAAGCAGGAAATTCTAATGGCTAGCGCCAGGGTCTATGAGAACATGTCTCTGACCGACACCACTCCTCCCGAAAAGCTACCGTGCAAGGCCTTTACCGTAATACGACCCAACGGCGATGCCTTCCCAACTGGATTCAAACTCGAGGCCGAGAAGCACAAAGGAACGGTCAAACTCGAGAGGAATGAACAAGGCCTTCTTAGCTGGTTTATGGCCATTCTCGGCAAAATGGATCCAGATGTCTTGATGGGCCACAGGTTGGAAGATGTTGATTACACTGTTTTACTCAGCCGCCTACGCGAAAGAAGAACTCCTGGGTGGCACAGGATCGGACGCCTACGGCGAAGCGAATGGCCTAAAAACATAGGCAAAGGTGGCGGAAGCTTCTTCGTAGAGAGGCAGCTTGCAGCTGGCCGTCTGCTTTGCGATCTGGCTAACGACCTGGGCAAGTCGCTCATGACAAAGTGTCAATCTTGGAGTCTTAACGAGATGTGCGAACTCGTTCTTGGCGAAGGCAAGCTACGTCAAGATATTGACAACGAGCAAGCGCTCAAGACTTGGGCGAGGGATCGCGAAGGATTGATGAACTATCTCAGGCACTGCGAGGCTGACACCTATTTCATTGCCGCCATTGCCTTGAAAGTTCAGATGCTTCCTCTAACAAAGGTCCTCACCAACCTCGCTGGCAACTCTTGGGGACGTACCTTGAGCGGCACCAGGGCCGAGCGGAACGAGTACATTTTGCTTCACGAGTTCCATCGTAACAAGTACATCTGCCCAGACAAGGTTTGGGGCAAGGGCAAGGCAAAGATCGGAGAAGAGACGGCAGAAAACGAAGAAGGTGCAGATGCGAAAAAGAAGGACAAGTATAAGGGTGGTTTGGTCTTTGAGCCTGAAAAGGGCCTTTACGACCGCTTCATCCTTGTCATGGACTTTAACAGTTTGTACCCTAGCATCATCCAGGAGTTCAACATTTGCTTCACCACCGTGGAGCGATCCGACATCTCCGAGGACGATGAAAAGGTGCCGGAGGTACCATCAAATTCTCAGGAGCTGGGTATCCTCCCAAGGCTGATCGCAACGCTTGTAAATCGGAGAAGGGAGGTCAAGAAACTGATGAAGAATCCCTCGGCGTCCACGGACGAGCTTGCAACATGGGACATTAAGCAAATGGCCCTGAAGCTAACAGCTAACTCCATGTACGGCTGTCTTGGTTACACCAAGTCCCGCTTCTATGCCAGACCCTTGGCCATGCTTACCACCTTCAAGGGTCGTGAAATTTTGCGCAGCACCAAGGACCTGGCCGAGAGCAAGATGCTTCGTGTCATCTACGGTGATACGGACTCGGTCATGATCAACACCAACATGGACAACATGCAGGACGCCCTCAAGGTTGGAAATGAGTTCAAGAGGGATGTTAATGACAGCTACAAGCTGCTGGAGATTGACATTGACAACGTCTTCCGCCGACTACTCTTGCATGCTAAGAAGAAGTATGCTGCAATCAACATGCTCGAGGTCGACGGCAAGTGGATGGAGAAGCTTGAAGTCAAGGGTCTTGACATGAGACGCAGAGAATACTGCGCCTTGTCCAAAGAGACCTCATCTAAGCTGCTCAACTTTCTGCTGTCTGGCGAAGATCCAGAAGTCGTCGTGGAGAAGATCCATGATTACCTCCGCGAGTTGGCCGTTAAGATGCGGGAATACACTATCCCCCCTCAGAAATACACCATCTTTACTCAACTCGGCAAGGATCCTAGGGAATATCCTAACGCCAACAGCATGCCCTCAGTTCAAGTTGCTCTTCGCCAGATTGCCAAGGGTAAACATGTCAAGGCCAAGGACGTCATGTCGTTTGTTATCACGGGTGAAAGTAATGGATCTGCGGAGACTGCGGCGAAGAATGCATACACTCTGGACGAAGTGCTCAAGAGGGACTCTGGACTCAAGCCTGGTATGCCTCACACCATGATAACAATATCAGCGACTAGCAATCACTGACAAACAAACAGACATCGAGTACTATCTCCATAAGCAAATCTTGCCGCCCGTCGAGCGTCTTTGTGCCCCCATCGCTGGCACAAACATTACCCGCCTGGCCGAATGCCTTGGGCTAGACACGAGCAAGTACCGCGTTAGCACCAGCGCCTCCGGCAATAGCTTTGAGCACGAGATCCACCCGCTAGAGTCGCAGATCCCCGATGAGGTCCGTTTCAAGGACTCCGTTCCGCTTTCTCTTCGTTGCCCCAGTTGTAAGGAGCAGTTTACGTTCCGCGGGCTTGCCAAGAGCCCCGGTGTTGTCTCACACGACGGCATCGTCTGCGGTAACGCGGCATGTGGCAGGACGCTGCCGAACCTTTCCATCGTCTCGCAGATGGAGGCGCAAATCCGCCAGCACACGGCGCGCTATTACGCCGGTTGGCTGGTCTGCGACGACCCTGCTTGCGGTACGCGGTCTCGCCAGATGAGCGTCTACGGCCATCGTTGCCTGGGTCCCAACAGACTGGGACTCGGGTGCTCGGGCCGCATGAGCTACGAGTTCTCGGACAAGATGATGTATAACCAGTTGTTGTATCTGCAGACCCTGTTCGATGTGGACAAGGCCAAAGAGGCGGTCAAGAAGGACGCCACTGATGAGACGAGCGAGAAGGTGGGCGTGCTGGCGGAGGTGAATAGGGAACGCTTCGATACGGTGAAGGATGTCGTGAAGGGCTATCTGGATCGTAATGGTAGGCAGTGGGTTGCGATGGATAGCCTGTTTGCTTTTGCGCTCAAGGCGGCGGCTTGAAAATGGGATTCTTTTGGGACGTAATGATGGGCGTGTTTTGTATAGGTAGTCATGGCTTAGCTCGTGGCGTTTGGTTTAAACTGGGCGATGGGATCATAGCGGCTAGGAAGTGAGAAATGCATATGGGGTGTTTGTCTGAAAACGAATGGAATACGTCAGATTCTGACTGTTCGTCGTATGGCTGTCATTCACTTGGCAAGACTTGTGGTATAGAGATGGGGATGGGAGTAGACGAATAAGATCGAAGTAGTGATCACGTGATGTAGCTATTGTATATTGACGTTGCCATACACGTAGTGTAGATGTTAACGAATAGAGGCAACGACTTTATTCGATGATGATGAATATGGGGGAAGTTTCGAAGTTCATCTCAATAAGTTATATGCTTAGGATGTCTTTACTTGAGAGGCCTTAGATTCATTCACGTTAAAGTCCATCACCATCAAGCGTGATTCATCGTCCCGCGAGATAACGATGCTTGTATAGAGTAGAAGTGAAAATTAGTCAAAATGTTCGTGGTATGTGTATGCTTTAAGGTCTTTTTAGTTATATCTACGACTTAGGTTTATAGTTGGATAATGAGCTTTCTATAGAGACTGCTTTATCCTTTGCTGTCTCGCTCGACGATGAATCTCGCTTGACGGTGACGGACGTTAGCACGGGACATCGGCTCGGTTGCTGGTCTCGATCATCGATCATCACTCGCAACAGATCAACAAACACAAACGTCACCATCCTTGCACACCAGACAGACCTTGGCAGACTCGTTGAGACATGCAAATCCCCTCCACCAAAACCACAGAAACGGTTCTCTGATGTCCGAAGCAGACGTTGCGATTCTTGGTCGGCTGCCATCGCAGCGCCATGTTTCCAGGCGCTGTGCTGGCGCTCTGGCACTGCGACGTTGCCATCTACCGTAGCAGTCGCCATGTCGCCATGCCGCTCTCCTTTGGCTTCTCCCTGGACGCTGTTCAGTAACTATGTGACAGGTGGCTTTCTAGGATGAGGATGTGTGGTAGGCGAAATTGGTGCTCAGTTTTATTGCAATTTTGTACTCTTTGTGCGGTCCCGCAGACCTACGAGCTCAAGGTAGGTCACTCTTATTCTAACTAACATGAAGATGATATTGCTGCTACAGATTCGTGAGTTTACTTACCTTTTGCTATGATTTAGATTTTCTGTGTCGTTTGTCACGAATTTTTTACTATTTCCTTTTCAGAAAAGTCGTACTTCCTAAACGTCAACCCCCCCTCTTCGCATGGCGTTCTTCTTTGTCCAAGATAGTACCACTAAGAGCGCCTCGCTCAGATCAACCTCGCTATTATGCTACGGCATGGGCTTGTCCACCCCTCATAATAGGTTAAACCGCCTACAACAATCGCTTTGGTTCCGTCTACTTCGCGTCCAACAGCAGATGGCCGACTTTCTGACGTAGGAGTTGCCGATCACCGCTCGGTTCAACACACAGAACATGCTTGACAGAAAAGGCAGTTGAAACCATCAATCAAAGCCTTGCACGACGCCGCAGCCGAAGAGCTGCAAGGAAGAGTAGCGCAGTTTGAACGCAAGAGCGGTGGGAGATATTTTAATGGAGATCTTATGATATCAATAGTACGTATATATCTTGGCCACTATTCATGCTCTGGAAGATTTTACAAAGTTCTTTTCTATTTATCTTTCTCCTTCCATTTCCCCAGTTGACGTGTTGACGATCATCCCCGCAATGACCGCTGAGCAAAGACGTCATCGATACAACGGGATCAACCCCACCAACTTTTTTCATTGCCCTTCAGCATATACCACGTGGAAAAGCAGGGCCAAGATACTCGCGCTCCCTGTTCCTAGGACGTGCCCTGTCCGCCCTATGCTTACATGATGGCCCGACAACAGCGCCACCGTTTCTCACGAGGTGCAGCACGGGTCCGCTGACAGGGAGCGCCAACCTGGCACTGTGTCCGTGTCCCTGCGCTAACGGGTGGTCTGGGGTACGTAAAACTGCGGGGTGACCAGGGTGGGCAAAGAGGGGTTGTCTCTTTGGATCCACCGCGGACAACTAGCGTCCAGGAACAGTGCCACAGTGCGCTCACTATCCAAGCAAGGATTACTAAGACATTGTTTCTCTTTGGAACGTACATCGTCCCCAATGGCACGGCCCGGTCCGGCAAGATTTAGCTCCAAGCAACGCCTCAGATCTGCAATCTCACTTCTGTGCTCCGCTCAGAGGAGCAACCTCAAGCTAATGCAGGCGCAGTAAATTCCAATCCCGATTCAGCCAACACCGTTTTGTGTTTGTCTTCCACATAGTTACATGGTGGTTGTTTCAGATCAGCCAAGTTATATCACCACCAAATGCTCTAACGCACTCATTACGCCACATCAAATAATAACGAACTCACGCCAACTCAAGCCAGCTCTTCCAAATACCGCTTATATTCCCAATTCAACGCAACTAAAAAATGATTAGAGCAGCAGCGATGCAATGGAAACAGCAGCAATTTACAATCTAACCAGTCCAACACTCAAGTGTAAAAAAAATAAAAGCCCGGCCCTCATACTACACCACATGAATACTCTCGATTCTCAACCCACGCAGGCAGACGAGAATACATACGAACATCGAATCCGATGGACCTACAGACAGAAAGTTCTATTCATCCACTCAACACTATCTCTCACCCACTCTCTCCCCCTCTCCTTCCCTCCCTCCATAGCATCAACACCAGAACCAGCAGCATCAACCATCAGCAAGCAAGCAAGCAAGCAATCAATTAATCAAGCACCATGCAACAATAACCACGTACTGAACAAGCACCCCCTCCCACAATCTTCCCAACACAGCGCACCTACCGAGCCAGCCAGCCAGCCAGCCACCAGCCCCTCCGACTTTCCCCGCCAACCCATCCGATCCCACCCTAACCCAAACCCCCGCTACCTGCCAGCACAGCCAGAAGCTAGGGACCTAGACAGCTAGCAGCGATCCACAGATCCTCCGCAGGGAGTGCGCGCGAAGGGTCCTGGGGGAGAGCCCAGCCACTGCCAGGCACACAGCCAGGGCAGAGCGCCCTTATAGACAACAACAACAACAAACACCACTGCTCACTCACTCACTCACTCACTCACTAACTCGCTCAATGGCACGCTGACACCAATACCGTGCACGAGCAACCCACTCTCACTCAGTCCCTCACCAGAGACAGAGACACCATCACACCACCCACACACTCTCTCAGGCCATGCTCACAGCAGCAGCCCCCAAAGAACAATGGCCCGACCTAACCTGACCAAGCACCAATTTTTCTTCCCCCTTCAACCCTTGCACCCGCACCCCGCCCCCTGCAACCGCGAAAAAAAAAAAAATTTAAAAAAAAAAAAAATTCAAACACAATAAAAAAGCCTCACAACCTCACAAAGACCTGACATGGCACCACCTCACCCGTCCCCGCGCGCGTCTTTTTCTTCTTTTCGGCCAGAAGGGAGAAGGGAGGCGTCAGGCGGCAAGCGGCGGCGGCGTCGCGTCGAGTGGAATGCCCCACCTACATAGGCCGTGGCTTGACGTGGCGTGAGCGGTAGGGCTGAGCGCCTAGGCAGTAGGCACACTTAGGGCCAACCTAAACTTACCGCCTCCCCAACGACAACGACGACGACAGCTCACAGCTAACAAATAGGATTTAAAGTTTCATGCCCGTGGACTGAGGAGCGGGTTTCCGTGCGTCTGCATCTTGTGCGATGTAGTATGGCGGCGTGGAGTTGCTGATGCTGATGCTGATGCTGATGCTGATGCTGATGCTGATGCTGATGCTGATGCTGATGCTGATGCTGAAGCGGACGCTAAGAGAGTTTGGGTTGTGGAGTACCATTGGGGTTCGAGAGTGTTGTTTCGGCTTCTGGAGGAGGAGCTATCTGTAGGGCTTGCTCAAGTTATTTTGTAAGGGCATTGAGAAGTCGTTGTGCTGTTGACTTTTCAAGCTCGGGGTGACTTGAACTAGATTAATTCTCCGGCACTGTGAAGGCATTATCTTGACGGACTCTACGCAGTATGCATTGTAATTTCTTCAATCCATGCGTACACTGTCTAACTGCGGCTTTTGCATGATTTCGGACATGTAGCTACCAAGTCACATTTGTAGTAACACGTCTGCAGCGAAATCACTAAATCACAGCATCGAATATAGGGATTGAATAAACGTTTTTTTTTTTTTTTTTGGTGGTCATGGATTCATTTATACATCAACTAACCCCAACTGGTGGCTATAAAACTTCATCAAACAACTTCTCACCAACTCCCAACCGTGGTATAAGTCCTGTCAAAGGACGCTTACAGCTGGCCGGCGGTGTTGAAGTCGGCAAGGGCCTCGTGGAGACGAGCAGACATGGTCAACTCGCCCTCACGCACCCAGACACGCGGGTCGTACTTCTTCTTGTTGGGCTTGTCAGCGCCCTCAGGGTTGCCGACCTGGGTCATGACGTAGTCCTTGTTCTTGAGGACGAAGTCACGGATACCAGTGAGGTAGGCGCTGTGATGGATGTTAGCGATCTTGTCATAGTCTCTTCAGGCGAACAAATACATACAACTGAAGGTCGGTGTCAAGGTTAACCTTAACGACACCGTAGGAGATGGCGTCCTGGTACTCCTTCTTGGAGGAGCCGGAGCCACCGTGGAAGACGAGGGCAACGGGCTTCTCGTCCTTGGTGCCAATGGCCTCCTGGACGTGCTTCTGGTGCTTGGACAGAAGCTCGGGGTGAAGCTTGACGTTGCCGGGCTTGTAGACGCCGTGGACGTTGCCGAAGCCAGCGGCAATGGAGAAGTAGGGGGAGACGGCGGAGAGCCTCTTGTAGATCATGAGGATGTCCTCGGGCTGGGTGTAGAGGGAGTTGTTGTCAACGTCCTCGTTGTTGACACCGTCCTCCTCACCACCGGTGATACCGATCTCCATCTCGAGCCACTGCTTCATGGGGGCCATGCGCTGGAGGTACTTGGCGGTGGTGTCGACGTTGTACTCGACCTCCTCCTCAGACAGGTCAATCATGTGGGAAGACCAGAGAGGCTCGCCGTGCTGCTTGAACCACGCCTCGTCGGCATCGAGCATGCCGTCCAACCAGGGCAGCAGCTTCTTGGCGCAGTGGTCGGTGTGGAGGATGACGGGAATGCCATAGGCGGGGGCAATGGCACGGATGTAGTGGGCAGCGGCGATGGCACCCTGGATGGAGGCGGTCTGGTCCTTGTTGTCGACGCCCTTACCAGCGAAGTAGGCGGCACCACCCTGCGAGGTCTGGAGGATGATGGGGGACTTCTTGTCCCTCGCGGCCTCGAGAGAGGCAACAACGGTGGACGAGCTGGTAACGTTGATGGCAGGGATGGCGACTGAAGACGAGATCAGCGTCGAGGTTATGGAATGTAGTTTGAGATGTAGTGACTTACACTTGTGCTCCTGGCAGTACTTGAAGAGCTTCAGGACATCATCGCCGTAGATGACACCGGTCTTGCGGGACAGAACGTCTTGGCAACCCATGATGAATGTAGGTGATGTGGTTTTTTGGTAGAGGTCTGAAGAAAGGATCAAGAAGTTAATGCAATGTGTGAAAGGGTATCAAGATGCAGATGGAAGAGAGGGAAAGGGGGGAGTTGCTCGCTTTTGTGTCCCTTCAGCTTCGGCCAAGACGACGAAGGAGGGGAGTGGAGCAATTGCATCACCGGGATAAGGCCGCGGGCAAGGGAACAGGCGGGCAGCGAATGGGAGATACTCACACGATGTGGTGCAGCGGTGCAGAATCTGCGGTTGCTGTGAGGCGTGAGTTTGGGTGACGTGTGGAGGGACGATGGTTGAGGGGTGGGGCAAAAGAGGATTACTTCATAACAAGCGTCATTTTCGGCGGGGCAGCTGCGACTGGCGACCGGCGTTGTGTCGGCGAGAAGGAGCACAGGGAGCCCGTGGGAGCACCACTGCGCACCACAAGGCATGAGGGCACCACATCCTGACTGCGCGTCTGCCGTCTCCGTCCGTGTGCCTGGCCCTGCCGCTCACGCCTTGCCCACGCCTTGCCTACGCCTTGCCTGACCGCAATAATCCGCAAGCCTCGTTTCAAGGGTCTAGCTACCCTAAGTACATACTGCGTGTCGGGCGGCCTTTTTCGCGCTGCCTCGGATGTCTTGTCTTTGTCTTTCTTTCATCGTTCGGCTTTCTTTCTACAACCTTCCATCTTTTCCACATATATGTTTCATCTCCGCCAATCACCATACTCCGATCTCCCTCCTCACTCTGATATCATCCCCGTGGCACCTCCGCCGTACATCTCCACGTACAACACTATTCCGCCGCCTTCACCCGCACCCGTCGCTTGATGCCCTCGTCCGCGCCCTTGATCTTAATCTCCACCTCAAACTCTCCCACATGCTTCACGCGATCCGTGTCCTCGCCCGTCGTACCGCTGATAAAGTGCACATCCGCTTCCGACAACACCACGCGCGACGCCTCCTCGTTGTCCGCCAGCATAGCCTTGATGCTCGATGCAATGTCCGACGTCGACACGGAGCCGTGGATGGCCGTTTCCTCGGGCTTCTGCTTGGCAGCGGCCATTGACGCCGCAGCGAGCACGTCGGCAGCCGAAGAGAATTGTCCCCGGCTTCGTTGAGGAGTAGCCGGTGCCTCGGGCGCTGGCGCCTCAATGACTGGCCGGCTGAAATCGAGGCGGGGAGGAATGAAGTTGTCAATCAGCTCCATGGACCGGTCGGGCTGTAATCGCGTTATTAGCATATCTTGTGTGATGCCCTTCTTCTACGCGCCGTGCACATACACTCAACCGCATAACATCCATCGGATTGACCTTGGGCATGTCCAGCACGGCGGCGCCCGACGCCGCGGCAGTCTCGTCCTCGACGCCAAAGAGGTAGTCGCGCTCGACACTGATATCCTTGACCTTCAATTCCTTTTGTTCGGCGGCCGTGACATAGTCGGCGGTGCGCGCCGGGAACCAGTTATTCCTCATCATGCCGGCGGGGATGGGCACGATGGAGCCTACGCAGCAATTGACGGTCAGCCAATGCTCCCGCGCCGCGAGAGAGGAGGCTCACCCTTGCGGCCAAAGGCCTTGACATCCTTCAGCAGCCTGACGGGGATGGCATGCGGCTGCTGCTTGTTGACGAGCTTCTTTTTGCCGCGCACCTGCTGCTGGAACGAGGGCCTCCAGACACCGCCGAGACCAAACTCGGCGAAGCGGCGAGTGCAGGAGCTGCACTGGGGCAGCAGCGAGGGGCGGAGAGCAGCGGCCATTGCTGGTGCGGGTGGGGGGTTTTCGAGTGGTGCTTCAATAGCTGGTGGTAACAATAGCGCGCGCGTTGCGCTTCGGCATTTTCCACGCCGAAAATCGCGGCCCCCCGGGTGCCCGTCCATGCTCACGGCCGCAGGCCGGCAGCAAAGCCAAGGCCGCGAGGCCGCGCGGGAGCACAGAGGGTGCAATTAGTTAGCAAGTCGATCTGCTGCCGCTTGTTCGTGTCCTTGGAATTGGAACTGGGTCGCCCGCCTTGTCCGAACGCTGCCTGCTATTCGTGTGCAAGCCCTCCTTCATGCCCGCCGCCCCGGCCAACACGGCGCAGTCCAGCACATCATGCCCGACAAACCTCTGACTATAGCCACGTACGCCGCCGGGGCCTCTCTGGCCGCCATCACCCTCGTCTACGTCTTTGGTCCGACCTTTCTGTTCGACGATGATTCCGCCAGTTCCGCCACCCGCAAGAAGGGCGTCGTCGGCCTCAGCAACCCCGCCAACGATTGCTTCATAAACTCGGTGCTCCAGGCCCTGGCTGGCCTGCCCTACTTGCGCCTCTACCTGATCAGGGAGATTCACCGCCGGAACCTGGACGGCGCCGACGTCTACAAGGTCCCAGACCAAGGCAAGAGTGCCGAGGAATTCAGAAAGGACATCGCGGCGGTCAAGCTGAATGGCTTGCAGTTGGGCACTGTCACCCGCGCGCTGAAGGAGGTCTTGGACAACCTGAACGAGAGACCGCTCTACCGGAAGACCATCTCCGCCCAAGGCTTCGTCGGCGCGCTCGAACAGGCATTCCATTCGAGGATAAGCAGGCAGCAGCAGGATGCGCAGGAATTCCTGCAGCTTGTTGCGGAGAGGGTTTGCGAGGAATATCATGCCGGGAAGAATGCGCGCAGAAAAGCCAGGCGAAGGAACGTTTCTCTGGCTGGATTGAACCGGTCGCCGGATGGTCCGAAACACATCGAGAATGTATCGGATCCCAAAGCGTCCGACCAGCCCGACTATGACGACGACGACGACGTGTCTGATGCGGAAGAGCCACAGAACGAGGAAGGGTTTCCTTTTGAGGGTGAAATGGAGTCCCAAATCGAATGTCTGACGTGCCATTTCAAGCCGAAGCCTACCAAGTCCAACTTCGTTACGCTCACTCTCCATGTACCCCAGCAATCTTCTACCACGCTGAACAGCTGCTTCGACGGCATACTGAAAATTGAGCACATTGATGACTTCAAGTGCGAATACTGCCGGCTCGAGCACGCTGTGCAGCTCAAGCAGGCCGATTTGGAGAAAACCAAGGATGAAAATGCGCGCTTGCGACTTGAGCATGACATTCTCAAGCTTCGCACCGCCATGCAACAAAATCCCGAGAAGCCTCCATCGGACGTTGAGCTCCCGAGTACCAGTCTCGCCCCCCAGCGCCGCATAGCACGGCATATGCGCATTTCCGCATTCCCGAAAGTTCTCGCCATTCATCTCTCTCGTTCTGTGTACACAGCCGGAAACTATGGCCACTACTCCACCAAGAACATGGCCAAGGTTGCTTTCCCCGAGACGCTGCCTCTTGGCGGCATCTTAGACCAGAAGAAGTACAATCTTGTCGGTGTTGTGACCCACAAAGGTGGCCATAATAGTGGACATTACGAGAGCTTCCGCCGCCAAGTCATTATTCCGCCCTTCTCTACGCCTCACTCTTTCGGCACGGAAGGCGTGTACAGTATTCATGGGAGCCCGAATCCCAGCGCCATGACGAGCGCTGTGCAGAGTCCCAAGCCTTCAATTAGAGGCGATCAGCCCGACCAATCCCAGGACGAAATCGAGCATTTGCCTTCGCCTGTATATCCCCCTCCCAGGTCGGCCTCCTCCGGATCTTCGCGATCATCTCGGCGCCAGCGCACACCGGTTACACCAACAGTCCCGACTTCCACTTCCCGCGCCGAGGACGCGCAATCCACCACGCTGCGCCACCGGACTTCAGGCGAAGTAAAGGCCGCGGGGTCGCCGTCTCGACTGCGTGCTGTGGGCGAGAAAGCGGCGTCAAAGGCGGAGAGTATCGCTGAAGCAGTGAACAAGCGTAGGCCGCATAGGAAACGCGACAACCGCTGGTGGCGCATCAGCGACGACAAAGTCAAGGAGAGCAAGACTCGCGAGGTTCTGGGGATGCAGAAAGAAGTTTACATGCTCTTCTACGAGATCGCCAGGGAGGAATAGGCTTGATCGTGGTATCCGCGCCTATTCCTAGTCATTCATTCCATCCTTATTTTCTTTTGAGACTATAGACTTTTGCATTGCTTCCAGAGCTCAGCATCTGGTTTCCGGCGTCTCGGGCATATCCAGGTGGGTTGGGGCTGGCTATCGTTTGCTGTTCAGTAAACTCGTCGGAAAAGTGGAAAGGGTTCGAGGTAACCAAGGATCAAGGATATCTGCCTTCATGTACAGCATTATAGATTCCAGTGGCTTTCTGTCGCCCTCGGAAACACTCTCCTATGTCCTACCTTTTATTTTCTACACCTCAATATTTCGTACGGAAGGATTTTTTTGTCGTCAGTTAGATACTGCGGCTTTGGCCAGCTGGTTTGGATCATAAATATAGCACCTCCTTTCAGTTGGTTTTAATCTTTCATGCGCGCGCTGTTTTGTCTTTTCCTTGAACATTATATATACACGTTCTCTGTCTATATTTGGGATTTTCGACTCGCATAATGCTGTAACTAGCGCATCGATACCAAGCTTTTTATATACGCATAATTGGAGTCAGTACTCTGAATGGATATACACGTGTATCACGTCACTCTTGAGCTCAAGCTATAAGCTGGTACCCTTAGCATTGGCGGGGAAGTCTTTGAACATATGCATACTATATATATCTTAAGTGACGGACGTTTATACATACCTCCATATATGACCGTGTCTAAATGTCCTTGCCGAGGACTATATATAACTCTTCTGAATTATTTCTTCCAGCCACAAACATAGGACCCGCAATATGCGGTAGCGATTGACACGGTTCAGAGGGACGGACGAGGCCATGACTCGCGCCCGACCCCCCGGTCGACGCGCATCGGTTACCCGTTCGTCGACCTCCCCACCTCACGCAGCGCAATCTCTTGCCTCGTACAACCTCGCTAATCGAGTGTAACCTCTCTACTGCCTAACCCACTCTACATGGACGGGCTTTCGGATTCCTGGCTCCAGCCCGCCATCAAGCACGCCCTTCGGGCCTCGGGCGCCTCCTCTCGCGCACCTCTCGATGACGCCACGACAATATCGATAAGCGACGAGTTTGGCGCAAACCCGGGCAAAGATCCGCGATTCCGGAAGTTGGTCGAGGGCGTGCTGTACTCGAGGAGCTTCCTCCTTACGTATAACGCTGTCCTGCTGGTCATTCTGTTTGGCTTTGCGCTGGCGCAGTGGAGTGCTGTCTTGAGGAGAGCGTACCAGCGCCGAGCTGCTGTGACAAGAGCTGGGAAAGCGCGTGTTCTGGCTGCAATCGAGGATGGCGGTGCTGCTTCTTCTTCGTCGAGCAGCACCCTCGAGGGGACAGCCACTCCGCCGGATGCTCCCAAGACCGACGATGTTGTGGACGAGCGGGCCCCCTTGCTGTCAGGAGGCCAAAGAGGAACGAAGAAACAGTATCTTTTGGTTCACGATTTGTACAAGATATATGCGTGGCTCATGTATCAACCTCGTCCGATTCCGGTGATAAACAAGACTCTGCCCTCCAACGGCGCCACTCTTGTCATTTCGGCCTTCATTGGGCTGAACGTCTTTTACATGTTCTACCGCACACCACTGTCAATCCCGATGCTGTTCGTCTTTGCAGACCGCGCCGGTATACTCTTTGTCGCAAACTTGCCCGTCTTGTATCTCTTTGCGGCCAAGAACCAGCCCATCTCTTGGCTTACCGGATATTCGTACGAGTCCTTGAACATCTTTCACCGCCGCCTGGGTGAGGTTATGTGCTTGCTCGCTTTCATACATGGATGTGGAATGCTAGGCGTTTGGTATACGCTGCTCCACCCGCTCGGATTCACTTTCGCCAGATTCGTGCTCTCGCGGGTGATCTTTCCGGGCATTGGGGCTTTCTTTACCTATGAGTTGATATATGTCACGTCACTTGGGAGCTTCCGCCAGCGCTGCTACGAACTCTTCCTATGCCTGCACGTCGTGCTCCAAACAGCGGCACTGGTCCTCCTCTTCCTGCATCACAGCCGAGCCCGCATCTACGTCGGAATAGCACTGGGCATATTCCTAATCGACCGGCTCCTCTTCCGCCTATTGATCAAATCCACCACTCTCCGCGCGGACCTCCGCATCCTCAAAGACGGCGAAACAGTGATGCTCTCCGACAACTGGAGCATACCAGCGCCGACACTGCTGCAACGCCTGCTCCAGCACAGCCCAGCACAAGGCTGGCAGCCAGGCGCGCACGTCTTCGTCACCGTCCCCGCCCTCAGCCGCCGCCACCTCGTGCAAGCGCACCCCTTCACCATCGCCTCGGCCGCCCCCTCCGACACCGCCTCGACGCACGCCTGGCTCTCGCTCCTCATCCGCGCCCGCGACGGCTTCACCCGCGACCTCGTCACGCACGCGCAGACGGCGTCGACCGCGCGCGTCCGCCTCGACGGGCCGTACGGCTCGGCCCGCCCGCTCGCGACCCTGCGCCCCGCGCGGCTTGCCGTTCTCGTCGCCGGCGGCTCCGGCATCGCCGTCGCGTTTCCCCTGCTTTGGGCCCTGCTGAACCCGGCTTCCGCCGACGTCGAGGCGCTGCGGGGCGGGCCGGCCGCCGTGCCTCGTAAGGTCTGTCTGCTTTGGGTCGTGAGGTCGCGGGCGCATCTGGATTGCTTGCCGCAGGAGCGCCTGGATGAGCTGAGGGAGTGGGGAGCGGATATTCTGGTGCCGGATCCGACGGAGGAGAAGGGCCGCCCTGACGTCAGCCGTGTGGTAAGGGAGTGGGTTGAGCGGTATGCTGCGGGTGATGGGGGGCATGATAGCACTGGGGTGGTTGTTAGTGGGCCGGATGGGATGAACAGGGATGTGAGGAATACGTGCAGTCGTTTGGTGGGTGAAGGTCGGAGGGTGAATGTTTCTGTAGAAAAGTTCGGATGGTAAGTAAATACGTAGTCGCTGGCGTTTTCCGGATGCTAGGTTTTCTTATTGGTAGTTGTATGGTTCGAAACGTGGTTGGATCGATAATGATCGGTTCTGCCCGTGTATACAGACTGCTTCAAATGTAGGCGGGACAACCATTTGATGGTGAGATTGATGTATTGTTGATGTAGCTGTCGGGTTGGGTTTTGTCACTACTTGAATCGATCTCTGTCCAGATGACGTTTGATCTCTGCTGCACGTTTGAGCATGCTCACAACCGCACGCTACACCACAGTCGGAGGGGGTGTTATTGTTACTACATCCCTACGGTGAGTGATGCTTCGCAGAGACGAAAGCTTTTCAAGTCGCTCCGAAATTGATCATTATCCGATTTATAGGAGCAGGTAAGTATGCGTGCGGTACCTTTAGAACGCTCCCTATAGATCACTCCGTAGGTAGATCTAGAGGCCGCGCTCTTGGATGGGTGACTTGCTCACGAGGGGTATGTATATTATAACAGTGCCTACCCCTCCGAAGGTAGTAGATGAACACTATCAAATTGACCAGTCCTCGGGAGTTTCACTGTGTTTATTTGAGAGCTGATGAGCGCACAGGTAGCCAGATTGTCGCAGGATGTGAACGACACGAACTGAAACATTGGATGCTGAAAACCAAGAGTTTTAGAGTTACAAATCAAGGCCTGTGCACTTGTTCGCGTCCTAGGTTTTGCCTGGTCGCATTTTGATGTGTATTTCCGCTGGTGAATTCGAAACGCCTCTTAATGAAACCTATATACAGCAATGTCTGCTAAATCGAGACATGCCAGTCTCGCAGATCAATGTTTTGTCACGCTGTCAGTTGATCTTCTTCTCTCACGTCAGGCTCAAAATTGATTTGCTTATTTGCCCTCAGCGGCAAGCTCGCGCTCGGCCTGCTGGTAGTACTTGGCAGTGTCCACACCGTGCTGCGACAAATTAGTGACCGCTCCGGTATCAATTCAATCGCCAAAGCAATAACGCACCTGGTTGTGGTTGACAAAGTTGAACCAGGGCATCACATGCTGGAAGACAGCAGAGTACCTCGAGTTTCTCGAGGAGACACCCTGGATGTGCTCGGTGAGCGAGGACTCGCCGTACAGAGACTGGCCCTGCTTGATCTTGCCGACCATCTCCTTCATGTCCATGTCAATCTCCCGCCTGTTCTCCGTGACACCGTAGAAGCGGTCTGCGCCCATCATGTCAGTAAACCGTCTTGCAGGGTGCGGGAGGCAGCCGTACAGATGGAGCGCTGGTAGACCATGAGGAAACCGGCGACAAGGCCGACACCGGCCGTCAGGCGCATGATGGGCGGGAAGCCACCGCGGCCGACGTACGAGGGCGCGACACGCTCCATGAGCAGCATGGCGGCGGGGCCGGCGACGGTGGTGGCCGCGCCTACGGCGTAATCCGAGGGACGGGCATAGCCAATGACTCGCTTGAAGTGACTGCAGCGTGTCAGCGGCGGGAGGTGAAGGTGGAGGAGTAGTTTGCGCGGGAGGCGTACGGGTCACTGTCGATAAGCTGGGGTAGGACATGGTCAGCGGATTGCGGTCCATTGGGCTCGCAGCGGGGGCGGGAGAGCGCACCGGGTAGTCGGTGTTGAGCCTCTTGGCCGGGACGACCTGCCTGGGCCGGACTTCGGGGGCGTCCATTGCGGAATTGGGGGGTGGTGGGGTTGTTGGTGGTGATGGGGTGCGGAGGAAGGGCTGTCGGTCATAGCAATGAAGTCCAACGTGATTCGCGCCAAGCCGAGTAAGAGCTTCCCGCCCGCGCGAGCTTCGGCCAAAAAAGGCTGAGGCAAGCGCGTCACCCAAAGCTTCCTGCTCTCCACGCGATGCCACCACCATGACCACCATGGAGGTCGACACCGACACACGCCCCCGCCCCGTCGCCTCTGCGCGCCCTACCGTCGCCGACTTGCATGGCGACTCCCACTACGCCCACGTTGCGCGCACCCACTGGCTCGACGCCGCCAAGCCGCCCAAGGTCAAGCCTAATGTCGTCAAGGATGAGCTGTGGGACCAGCTCGAGGCCGAAGACTTTGCCTTTGGCTCGCTTTTGATCCTCGAGAACCTGCACCTGCTCGAAAGGTAGGCTTCCCCCCCCCGCGCCCGCCGACCTCAATGCTGATCGTTGCAGCTATCTCTGGCCCGGTTACACCCCGGACTCTTCGAACCACCACGTCCTGTTGCTGGCATTGCTCGTCAACATCAAGCGCAGAGAGAACCTGCCGTCATGGGACCTCTTTGCCGACAAGCCCTCGGACTTCGCCTCTTTTTTCCGCCGTATCCTGTCCATGACCGTCGATGCGGCTCTCCCCCTCAAGGTCCGCACGCACCTGATTCTGTTCGTCATTGGCGCTTTCCAATCCCTCGACAGTGGCCTGATCCGGAAGGAATGTGCGCCTCTGGTTTCGATAGGCATTTGGCACAACCTTCATAGCGATGCGACGAGGGAGGACAAGCTCGAGAAGAATCTTATGTTGCGCAAAGCTTGGAGAGCGTCGGCGAAACGTTATGATGGCGCAGATGATCAGGGAAAGACGAAAATGCGCTTCGAGCGGTCATGGCTCTTCACGCTGCTGCTGGACTTCTTAAACCGGATTTACGACACCGAGGCATTGCGCATTCCCGATAACCTGCGGTACTGCGAACGTTTCGTAGAATTCCTTGCGGATTTACAGAGCCAATTGCCTACGCGACGCTACGTCAACGCTCTTCTCCAGGACGTGAACATCCTGCCTGCCATCTGGCTCTCCCCCGTCTGCAATGACGACGACAACATCCTGTTCCGGGATCTTTTCGCTCTCCTTCGGCACTACACGCTCTTTCCGATCGACGACCAAGTTGGTCACCAGCAATCACCTGCCGAGTATCACCAGGCGCATTGCGCTAAACTGGCGAAAATTCAGCGGACGGCAATCAAGCACTTCTCCGAAAAACTCAAGATTTTGGCCTTGACAAACTACGGATCTTTGGAAAACCGTGTGGATTTGGAGGGCCATCTTGAAGCTCTAGAGGACAGTGAAATGGTTGAGCTCTGCAAGCTGTTGGGTTTCAGGACTGAATATCCCAAATCCTCATTGGTGGTTCAGGATAGGGCTTTCTACGTTGAACTAATCACATCAATCTATGAGAAGAGGCCGACATTCCAAGACTCAGTTAGGGACATGGAAATCTTTCCAACCGAAAGTACTCTCTACAACCCATCCCTTGTGGTCAGCGAGTCCTACAATGGATCCAGGCCGCTAGCAATACCAAAGCTGAACCTTCAATATCTCACCATGGGTGATTTTCTTTGGAGATCGTTCATCTTGCACCGCGCCGAGACGTTTTATGAGATCAGGAAAGACATGGAAGATGTGATAAAGCGCCTGCAACGTAAGAATGTTCGGGGATCTGCACAGTTTAGTGGATTCTCAAGGATGGCTATGCCGATTTCGAAGCCTGCTATTACCGACGTGGCCCCGCCCAATGTTGGCGAAGTTGCTCCATCAAAAGTCCAGGCTGAGGTGATTGTGGACGTTAGTCGATTGAACTGGGCTATCCGGAGAGAATGGGAGGCCCTCCGTCCTGATGATGTGGTCTTCCTACTCTGTGTAGACCCTACCGATGAGGATTCTGGGATCAACGATGGCAGCAAATCGCAGAACGAAGCTGAAAAAATAGGCCTGAGGCATCTACGATGTGCCGAAGTCATTCAAGTTCTGGATGACAACGGACGGCCGCTTCGCGAGCAAGCACACCAACAGGATGGCCAGGGCCGTAGAGCCCGCCAACGTCGGCTGTTGCTCAAGCTCGATGCCAAGGCTTACCAAGAAGACATGGACCGCGTTGCCAAAGGTCTGGCAAATGTCTACGACTCCATCAACGTGGTCGTGCGGCGCAGAGGCCGGGAGAACAACTTCAAGCCTGTTTTGGAATCTATCAGACGCTTGACGCTATCTGATATCCCTGCCCCTTCTTGGCTCCAGGAAGTATTCTTGGGTTACGGCGATCCTGCTGGTGCCACCTACAAGCGCTTGCCGAATCGTCTGAAGAACATCGACTTCCGTGATACTTTCTTGGATTGGCAACACCTCACCGAGAGTTTACCAGGCAAGACTGTCGAGCCCGCGGAAGGCTCGTCCGACAGACTGAACCCGCCATACGTTCTGGAATTTCCTGAAGAAGAGCAGGGAGCCCCTCCTGCTCGGCCTGCTAAGAAGCGTAGGCGGGAGCAACAGGAGCAGCCTCCGCCTGGCACGCCCAAAGCTGTTCGCATCTCTACTTACAAGCCTGCCAACATGGGTCCTTACCCGACAGATGCCCCCAAGCTCAACACCGTCCGCTTCACGCCTGCACAAACGGAGGCCATTACTGCTGGCACTCAGCCTGGGTTAACAGTCATTGTCGGTCCCCCTGGAACGGGCAAGACAGACGTCGCCACTCAGATCATCAACAACATCTACCACAACTTCCCCGCGCAGCGCACACTGCTCATAGCCCACAGCAACCAAGCTCTCAACCAACTCTTCCAGAAGATCGTCGCGCTGGACATTGACGAACGTCATTTGTTGCGGCTGGGACACGGCGAAGAGGAACTTGAAACCGACGTCAGCTACAGCAAGCACGGCCGTGTGGAATCTTTCCTCGAGCGAGGTGCAATGTACCTCGCAGAGGTAAACCGTCTTGCTGCCAACTTTAACGCGCCCGGTGCACACGGCAACTCTTGTGAGACCGCTGGGTATTTCAACCAGGTCTACGTCAAGCCTGTCTGGACGAAATATTGGGACAAGGTCGAGGCGGGAGAGATAGGCAACGAGGAACTTGTTGCCGAATTCCCCTTCCATCAATACTTTTCCAACGCCCCCCAACCTCTCTTCCCGCAAGATGCCTCGAGAGAACAGCTTGTGGATATCGCTGCTGGATGTTACAGACACGTGGAGAAGATCTTTACGGAGCTGGACGATATTCGGCCGTTTGAGATCCTGCGCCATTCTCGCGACAAGGCCAACTACTTGCTGGTCAAGGAAGCTAGGATTGTCGCCATGACATCGACCCACGCAGCCATGCGGAGGCAAGAAATTGCCAATTTAGGCTTCCATTATGATAATGTCATCATGGAAGAAGCTGCGCAAATCACAGAGATAGAGAACTTTATTCCGCTTGCGCTACAAAACCCCAAGGATGGCGAGCTGCCCCTGCAGCGTGTGGTTCTCTGTGGTGATCACCTGCAGAACTCCCCGGTCATCCAAAACCTGGCATTTAGGCAGTATGCCAACCTCGAACAGTCGCTCTTCCTTCGTCTCGTCAGACTCGGTGTCCCCACGGTCATGCTTGACCAGCAAGGTCGCGCCAGGCCCAGCTTAGCGGAACTATACAAGTGGCGTTACCCCAAGCTCGGCAACTTGGCCAGCGTTGAGTCGACGCCGGAGTTCCTCAAGGCAAACGCTGGCTTCAGGTATGACTACCAGTTCATCAACGTGCCTGACTACAAGGGCCGCGGTGAGATGGAGCCAACTCCTCATTTCATCCAAAACTTGGGCGAAGCCGAGTACGCCGTGGCCATCTTCATGTACATGCGTCTGCTTGGGTATCCTGCGTCCAAGATCTCCATTCTGACGACGTATGCCGGACAACGTGCATTGATCAGAGATGTCCTCTCTCATCGCTGCGCGAAGAACAGGCTGTTCGGGATGCCACGGATCGTGACGACGGTGGACAAGTATCAGGGCGAGCAAAATGACTGTAAGTCTTGACGATGAAATCGCTTTTTTACCGACTACACGCTAACATCACCTAGACGTCATCCTCTCGCTCGTGCGCACAGCGCGTGTCGGCTATCTGCGTGACATCCGCCGTCTCACGGTTGCCTTGTCCCGCGCCCGCCTCGGCCTGTACATCCTAGGCCGGCGCGAAGTCTTCGAGGAGTCGTACGAGCTCAAGCCCGCCTTTGACATTCTGCTGCAGCGTCCGGACAAGCTGACCTTGGCCACCGGCGAGATGCACCCGACGCAGCGGCTGCTGACGGACGAGCCCGCGGCTACGGAGATGGAGGGCGTGGAGCACCTGGGCCAGTACGTGTTCGAGATGACGCAGGCGAAGGTCGCGGCGCTGAAGTCCAACGGCGGCGTCTTGCCGCCCGTCGAGGAGGAAAGGGACGTCGATATGGATGCGGATGATCTGGATGTGGACGATCAGGAGGTCGAGGAGGTGTTGGACGAGCCCGATCCAGAAGAGGAGGTCGTGTAGATGCTCTCTATCCCTCTATCCCTCTCTCTTCCTCTCCATCTCACACACTCTCTCCTACTTCTTCCCCTACTAGATCAGGCTAGCGTTTCGAGGCGATTTTGGTTGGTTCATTGACAGCGAGCAAGCACGTGGTGGCGGATCAAGGTCGAGGTTATTATATATACCAAGCGCGTGGCTGCGGGCGCAGCCAGGGCTATCGAAAATTAAAATAAAATACTCGAAGAGGTGTGTGTGCATATGCGAAAGTGGCGGTTGCGCGGGTATGCGAACCCGTCTGTCGGGTGTACGGAGCTAGCGCTCTGTCCTGCTGGGACGTCGGTCGTGGTTGCGGCCGATGGCGGGTTTGGTCCATCCCCGGACATGACCGGGAGTTTGTTGCGGTGGCAGTGGTCGTTTGCTCGCACTACGTGATACCGTACTAACGTAGGCGCATGGCTGACTTCCTATCTACCCCTTCACTTTCAGTTCTCGCCTTCGTTAATGCCGTGTTTTTGTACCCTCGTATATGTATTGTGTATATATATATATATAGCTTCGTATATGCATACCACACCGCACACGCACACACACAGACACACATGCTCGTGCTCGTGCCTTGAGACACAACACCGCCCAGCAACGACCACCTACACGGGACATGCATATATCCAAATCAACCCCCCCTCACCCTCACCAACAACAACACACAACCACATCATTACAATAATATATTGTCGAAAGGTACAGTACATATTATAATTTCAGTCCCCCATATAGCGAAAAGACCAAGATTTGTATGTTTATGTTTTGTTTTGTTTTGTTTGTTTGTTTTTGTTTGTCTGGGGGTGTTTCTTCGTGCAATAGAAATGTGCGTAAGTAATGTCGACCTCGAGGAGGCGCACTGCCGTTTGACCTCGTTACATGTCTAATAATAATATCTACAAGAAGGGGTTTGTTGCCGCAAGGGGCATTAGGCCACTGCTCATATCAACCGTCCCGTACACTAGCGCCTCGACGCTGCTAAATCGAAATCTAGCAGTTGAGGTCGAAGATGGGCTGGAAGTTCTGGTCCAGGACACCAAAGGCCTGCGACGCGGGCGCGTTCTGGTAGTCGCGGAGCGTGAACCACCAGGTGTTGTAGTTCTTGGACAGGCCGCAGAGCACGTCCTTCCAGAAGACCTGGGCGTTGGCCGGGCTGGCGTGCGAGTTGCCGAACGAGGGGCCAGCAGTGGGCCAGCCGGTCCTGGTCATGAGTGTTAGCAGACGTGTTATAGAGAGCTTGGGGCGGTTGATTTGCGCCGCTGCGGGATTACGTACTCGGTGATCCACAGCTCGGCACCGGGGTGGAACTGGTCAATGAAGCCCTGGGTGGTGTCAAGAGCCTCCTGGAAGGTGGCCTTGCCTTGGTCGGGAGTCACACTGGAATTGCATGTTAGTATCTCTTATTTTTTTCGTGGGGATTTTAGTTAAGTGTCAACGTACCCCTGCCAGTACGGGTAGGCGTCCATGCCGATGAAGTCGGCGGCCTTGATGACAGCGGCCGAGGAGGCGTTGTAGGCATTGTAGGTGTCGACGTGGCCGACCTTGATGTTCTTGCCGCCATACTTGTCCTGGCTGATCATGCCACGGACGTCGTAGATCTTCTGGGCCATGATGTCGGCCGTGGTCTCACCACGGTAGAGATCCTCGGAGCCGACGGAGACACCGGAGATCCAGTCAACGCCGTTGGCGGCGATGGCACGCTCGAGAGCGGCCTTCTCCTGGCTGAAGTGGTCGTCGTTCTGGGTCCAGACACCGACAAGAAGCTTGACGTTGTTGGCCTTGGCGGCGGGGACGGCCAGCTCGAGGGTGTTGCAGTCCGAGGCGGCGTAGACACGGACATCAGTGAAGCTGCCGGGCAGGGCCTTCATCTGCTTGAAGTTGTAGTCCCAGTCGGCGGCGGACTTGCAGCTGCCATCGGGCCTCTCGGCAGCAATGTTGAAGCCCTTGGCGAGGGCAGAAGCGAGGGGAAGGGCTCCGAGGAGGGAGGCGGCAGCAGCGACGGCTTTCATTATGATAGTAGTATTATTAGACCGTGACTTCGGTGTAGTAAAGAAAGACTGTGGTAAGAATTGGCAGTGACGGAGGCCGGACTGAAAGAGCGAGGTGGAGAGTCAAATAGATGTGCAGGCCGGATGAATAAATAGAAACCGGCGAGCAGGGCGGAAGAGGCGCCTTGAGTGGCCCGATCCACGGCGAGTCGATGATCATCCTCAGGGTTGCGTGGTCGGGCAAATCTCGTAAAGGTGGAGAAGCGCAGCGCCCAAGAACTTCCAAGAACGCCGCAAAAGGGGGGAGTGAAACATCGAGCAACGATATTCGAGGGCTCAGGGCACCGCGTGGTTGTAGCGGCTGCGCGGATTGCTGGCGGCATGTTGTGGCGCGGCTCGGGAGAGGCTGAGGGCCGCAGAGGGCCGCACCACGCCTCCCGGCTACACCACGCGGCGCGCTAGAGAGCAGCGAGATTAGACGCACCTCGTCGCGATGCTTTTTTGTCGTTTGCCGGTGGAGCGAGTGACGACGGCGGCGTGCGGGTCGTGTGGGGGGCCCGAAGTGGAAAAGCTGGAGGAAGGAAGGTGTGGAAGGGCCGGCGCGCTCTTCCGTGTAGTCCGCGTGTACGAGTTGGGAAGCGGCGGAGATGAAAGGGTGAGGCTGAGGCCAGGCCCCTTCCGCCATTCCACCCACTCGACCTCGCTGCCCACTCACCACTCTCAGGAGTCTTCGCGCACCACCCCCAAGCCTGCACCACTTCGCATTCCTAGCGTTACGATTCCATCTATTCCTACCTCACCCCCTCTCCTTACCCGGACCTTCTAGAACACGCGTCTATCTACTCTGTCCATACTACCATCTGGCTCCTGACCAGTTGATGAGCCCTGACGCCCGCCAGCACCACCTACAGATCTCCCCGCCCAGCCTTCCAAAGTTTCTTTGGTCGGGTCGGCGCATCACGGGTTTAGCCGGTAGGGCGACACTGCCGGGGTGCCATGCAACTCCACCTTCCCAATGCAAATCATCGATTACACCGGAGAAATCCACTACGCGATACGACCTCTCCTAACTACTGAGTCGGCAGGGGCAACATCTTCGTGCGCTCCAAAATGTACGGCTGACTGTGCTGAAAGTCAAAAGCCTTGATTAGCCCGACGAGATGCGTCGCTGCCGCACACAGCACTAGCACGTGGAAGATCTGATGAGAACTCCCCCAAATATCGAATCGCCCGGGCGAGAACCTCTCGGGCACTCGGGCCTGCCCCGGATCAGTATCGCTGCCCACATGACTATCGGGGGATAGGAGGCCTGAGCTTACAGCATAGATCGCAGCGCCTATTATGTACAGCGCACCATGGACCACGAGCCACGACAGGGCGATGCGTTCGTTCAGGGCGTGGAGGCCGTATAGCTTCAGACCGCTCATGACCGGGAAGACCGCCGATAGTCCTAAGCCCACGAACATGGCAGCGCGGATGGGACGGAAAGACGGTGTGCGGAACTTGTCGGACACGGCTGCAATTCCACAGGCAATACTATTCGTCGTGATCTACCCCCAGAACTGTCAGCATTCTGTTCGGCTTCAGACCGGTCAAAACCAAGGAGTATGGCTGATGGACTGAACATACCATGATCCAGTAGAATCTGACCGAACTCGGATGCTCCATGAGCCCATAGTAGACGCTCGGGATGAAGCTTCCCCATATCAGGAACACGATGCCCACGTAGTCCAGCTTGTTGCCGAAGCTCTGGACCAGAGGGGAATGGTTGCTGAACAGGTGGAAGGTGGCACTCATTCCCAGGCATATGGTAGCCCCGGCAAAGAAGCACCCAAACATGACAACGTCCTCGTGCGTGGCCGTCTCATATCGCGGCTCCAAGACGTCGTAGAGCAGGAAGCTTCCCACAATGGCCACAATGGCGCCCAGCAAATGGGAGTAGACGTTGACGGACTCATTGTGCAAGTAAGTTAAACTCTTTGCAGATTTCAAATATGAGTTGGAGGCCGGACGGTATCCGCTTTGGATGTAGTGGTTGTCTTGTTGCCATGCTTCGATCTCGTGCCAGAGATACGTGAGGCGGTTTTCCAAGCTCTTCTCGGCCTTGACGGCCGTGTCGGCAGCGTGCTTGAGGGAATCCATGAATCTCTATCAACAGCTCTACGGCACCCGCAGGACATCTAAAAGGTGAATCATTTTCGGTTGAGGGCAAAATGTTGGGCGGTTTGGCGACCGAGGATGATCTGACGCAGCACGCCATGACTCGCTCGGCGCATGTGGTTCGGCAGTGACGTTGGACGTTGGACGTTGGAGCAGTGGCATCGGCATCACCACCTCAGTCTTCAATGGCAGCTCGCTCGCCGTCGTCTCGAGGGCATGACAGCACAGCAAAGGCCTAGTGGCCGCCGCGGGCCGTCAATGCAATGGAGCAGGCTCAAGCCGGGCCCGTCGGACCCGCTGGAAGCGTACGGGCTGCCGTCCAAGGGAGAGACCAGGTCAGTTGTCGCACCGCCCGCCGTCGCCGCGTCCATTCCAGTCCTCCTAAGTAATCCAGACTCAATGACTTCCGCACCCAAGAAACCTACTACAACAAGATCGTCGAGCGGTACATGAAGTTCTGCGCCGCGTCGGGCGGCGGCGACAAGCTCGACGCGCAGTTCGCAGCCATGTCCCTCGCCGCGCCAGCTGCCTCAAACGAGAAGCCGGCGCCCGCAAAGCCCAAAGCGGCGACTGGACTTGCGGCCTCGAAGTACGCGACGACGACGACGCCAGCAGCATCAGCGTCAGCACCAGCATCACAGCCCGCGCCCTCGTCTTCCACCTCCGCATCGGCCTCGGCCAAGCCTGCGTCCGCCGAGCTCGCGACCATACTCGCCGCGATGCGCAAGCTGCGCGAGGCCATCACCGCATCCCACCGCACCGACCGCTTCGCGCAGCGCGCGTACATCTTCCTCATCCACGCCGCAATCCTGACCAAAGCGTGGGAGGCGTACCTGCCGGCGCTGCTGTACCTGCTGCAGGACATACACGGGCGCACGCCCATGGCCAGCTCAGAGTTCAACGAGTTTGCGGGCTACCACATCCTCGACCTCGCGTGTCGGCAGGGCGACCTGGCTGCGGCGTTTGAGCGCAAGAGCAAGGTCGGCTATGGCTTTGTGGATCCGACGGGCCGCGTGGAGCGCTTGTTGAGGGCCCTAGTGCTGGATGATTGGGTCGGGTTTTGGCGCGTCGAGAGGCTGGTCGATGGCTATCAGAAGCGCATTATGGAGTTTAAGGAGGAGGACGTGCGGCTGCATGCCTTGAAGTGTATTGGGCGGAGCTATCTTGGTGCCGAGAAATCGTTTGTGGAGAGGAGTGCGGGCACGGACTGGGACGAGCTTGTTAAGAGCGGTGTTGGTTGGGAGTTGACAGAGGGGAATAGGATCGTCATTCGGAGACCGAAGGCCAAGTAAGTCATTGGGGGCCACTTTGCTGGCTAGGCCGTTGCCATGTGCGCGAGAGAGGACCGATACGCCAGAGAGTAGTCTTGGGCTGGCTGGTGATAAGGTCTGTATGGTATCGCTTTTGTTGGTCATGCAGCAAGGAGAGCCAACCAACCTTCCCGTTTCACAAGAAAGATGGACTAAACGTGAGCATGCAAACAGAATAGAGACTAGATCAGCGATGCACATTGATACCCGACGCTTGTATACAGAGCGCAGATGAGAATGCTATTCGATCATCAACATAGGGTCAACATAACCATCCTTGTTAACATACAGCACCTTAAAAAAGAGTAAGAATTGAACCCGCCTGCCCAGCAGAAAAACGGTCCAGTAAAGTTAGTTTAAGGGGGGATATGCTTACTCTATATCCGAAGTAAGTAAGTGCCTTCTATACGCCCTAGAATAGTACTAATGACTGTTAAGTACTGTATAAACTGGCTAGATGCCATATATTGTAACGTCTGTCACCGTGAAGCGCGATGTACCGTGAAGCGAGATGGTGATAATTGTATGGAGTAGAAGAAGATACCGAGTCAAGGTGTGTAGAGTCTGTGCGTGCTCTAAGACCTTTTTACCTATACCTAGGACTCGGGCTAGGAGCTAGGTAAGGAGTGCTCTGTAGGGACTGATCATATCGTCCCCCTGGTGGATCTCGGTTCGCGGTGACGGACGTAAAATCGTCAGGCTCTGCGATGCTAAGGTTACATTTGGCGTGAAATGGGAGCGAGGACAGTTTATAGACTCGCGGGGTTAGGTAAGGAGTGAAGCTAAGTGAGTATTTATTTTATCTTAACATCTACAAAAAGCTCGTACGTCTCCCGGTACTATTTATTCCCTTTTGAGATTAACTACTTGTCACTTGCGAGTGCTGCTCCAAGCAAACAAAAACCGCCATCTTTTTCAGAGTCGATCAACTCTTCACCAGAACAAATAACCCGTCTACAAACCTTACTTTTTATCTCACTTCGAAAATGTATGAGTTGCCCCATTGCCCTAACGATACAGTTGCTTCCACAACCTTAATGCCCAACACCAGGCACAACGACCCCGTTTTAAATGGTGACGACAATGAGCCTGATGAGGTTTTCGCCGCCGTTGAGGCTGATAAAGGCTTTCCTGTCAAGTTGGACGAGGCGCTCAAGCGCCTACCCTTATATGCTGCTCTCGACCCGGCCTCTAGAACCAATGCTAGAGAATACCTCGGCGTCATCGCTTATATTGCAAAATAGCCAGATTCAGCAGCTCACCTCTCAAAAGTCGAGAAAAGGTTGCCTATGGAAGAACTACGCGTCGACGTATACAAGCGTGCTAACCAACTGGATGATGCCGACTCTGACCTGACAATGTACTTGGTGGCTCTCTGGACCTTGACATAGCCAGAGACAGCTATGAGCTCAAGTTTCTTGCCGGCTGCCCCTGGCCTTACGTCGGGATGATCTTCTTACTCTTATTCTAGAAGAAACTATCATCGACGTCTCGTAAGGGATAGATTAGGTAGTTATGCATCTTAGGAACGTTATGGATCGAAGTATACGCTTACGACCTTATGATAGCGCCTTCCTTTAGTCAGTGTGTCCTAGAGGCAACACATTGTAGCATTTCCTGTACATCCAAATCAACCACCATCCTCAGTATCTATCGGGCGCCAGCAGGACCAGAAGTCTTTGAAAGCCTGGCCACTATTAAATTGCGCCTCGGACCGACTTCTCTCTACGATCGGGTGGGGTAGGAGCTAAGCAACTGCGCATGATACGCTAAGGAAGCTTAGCCGGTTAACTAATTACTGCAAACTGCATTACGAATACTCAGCAATCTGCTCTTCCTCGTGGTGACGTCCATCGCCGTCAAGCGATATTCACCGTTTAACGAGATAGGGAAGGCTACAAGCAGTCCCTATGGAACGCTCCTTGTCCAGCTGCATATCTAAGACCTAGATATAAGTGAGAGGGTCTTAGAGTGTATATATACCTAAAATTATCTTAACTAGATTTCGTTTTTACTCTATACATGAATTGTTATTTCGCTAGGTGGTGAATCTCGCTTGATGGCGACGGGCGTTGACCGTTGCGTGCCGTTTCAGCTAGCCGGCGACGGGCCGCGATTCAGATCTCGACGTCACGACCTACTCGTATCAAGCCGGCTGCAAACGGACGTGTTTTCCGTGCCCATCCATTTGTTGGCATCCCATTCTTCTCGCGCACAACCATTCGCTCTGCTGTCTGCTGTATCCATGCCAATGCAACACTTCACCATGACGACATCCCCATCTCCGCCAGTCCCGAGAAGTCTCCATATGCGGGCACGCTGGCGTGCTACGTTAACTTGATGCGTGCAGCCAGGATCAAGCGGTCCCGTGCAAATGTTCCTAGTCTTGGGCCGCCGTCATATATACATCGACGAGCGAGCCGCTTTGCGTCCAGTGTCCCTCTTTCCAACTCGAGCAACACCGCCCATTTGACACTAACTGACCTCCATGGCTCCTGCCGAACCTGAAGCCGTGCCCTTCAGACCAAAGGGTGAAGTGCCTTTCTTTCCCGAAGAGCGTGAAGGGTGGAAAGGCTATATCGAGTGGGAGAAGTATCCGGAGAAGAAAAAGAAGGCTGAAGAAATTCTGAGCAACTATGACTTTCCAAATGTGAGCTCGAATCAACATACTGCTTTTCTTCAACCTTGAAAGGCGAAATATCAAGGAACTGGCTAAAAATGCTAACCGTCGATTTGTGCAGCCGCCAGAGTTCCAGCTCTGTCCCTTGCCGGACAAGAACCCAGTCCTCGAGGGTGTCAGATGGAAACAATATCACGAGGCCATGGGCCCCACACTCAAGAACATTCCGGACGTCAGCTGGGACTACGTGAAGAAAGAAAAGAGTCCTGACATGATCCACGTTCTGCAATTCCCCTACAATGGAGAACCACCCAGGGTGAGCCTCAATAAATTTTTGTATGCGCTTGCTTTGAACCGAGAAATTAACCAGCGGCCAGAACCGTCTCGTAGCAAACGAGCACACCACGAATGCCGACCATTTTGTTCGCAACCACGGCGGCGTTCCAGAAATCGATGCTGACCAATGGTCCCTCGACATCTCCGGCCTAGTAAACAACCCGCAGCGTTTAACCCTCGCTGACCTGAAAGATGAGTCGAGATTCCCGCGTCAGACCAATGTCGTCACCATCCAATGTTCGGGTACGCGACGTATTGAACAGATCCACGAATATCCGGGCGACGGTGACGAGCTTATCAATGCGCCCTGGGGCGAGGGAGCCATCGGGACTGCGCGTTGGACGGGCGTAAGCTTGAAGAAGATCATAAAATACTGTGGCGGGCTGAAGGAAGGGGCCCAGCACCTCGAGTTCTACGGCGCCGACACATACTTCAAGAAGTCCAAGGTGTACAACTACGTCGTCAGTGTGCCATGGCGCAAAGTCAAGCTGAACGAAGTTCTAGTTGCCTGGGAGATGAACGGAGAGCCTATGCCGCGCATCCACGGCTTCCCCGTGCGCACCGTTGCGTTCGGGTATATCGGCGCGCGCAGCTGCAAGTGGTTGTACGAGATCAAAGCGATCGAGGAACCGAGCCTGGCGCCCGTCCAGATGAAGGAATACCTGTACTACACGCCGCAGGTCGGCAAGCAGAACGCCATGTACAGCAACGGCTTTTCAATCCAGGATATGCCTGTATCTTCGGCCATCATGTCGCCCGTCAACATGGACCAGATTGTGCATGACGGAAAGATCAAGCTGCGTGGCTGGGCCTATTCGGGCGGCGGCCACTGGCCTGTCCGCGTCGAGGTCTCGGGCGACGGTGGCTCCGTCTGGTACGAGGTCCAATACGAGCAGATGACCAAGAAGTACTACCACGCGTGGCGGCTGTGGGAGATCGACATGCCTGTAGACGCTGAGGGATGGTTAGAGTTTTGCGTGCGCACGTGGGACAACGCGCTTAATACGCAGCCGACGTTTGTGCGGTCCGCTTGGTAAGCCTTGTGCATATTCTTTGTGTTCTCTCGTTACATCTATCAATCAGCGCCAAGTTCTGGCTTGCTAATCCGCCTGCAGGAATTGGGACCTCCATGTCACGTCCTCGTGCCACCGCATCAAGATCTACAGCATCAATCGCAGCAAGCCGGTAACGGCTGCGCGGCTTGAGCTGCTCAAGAAGAAGGGTATTCCTATAGTGCCTATTACGCATCCGCTTGAGATCGATCTCGAGAGCGAGGAGGACTACACGCGGCGAATGAGGGCGCAGGGCGGGCGCGAGCCGGACGAGTAAATGGAGTGAAGGGAGAGTTCGATTGGTATCTCTAATTGGATAGGTATATAGTGTTTTGTAATGAAGTTTTGATTACATTTTTTCATGAGACACTTCACGAAGGGCCCGGACACTTTGCCTACTGGGTACACTTTAGGTAGTTGATAAAGATTTTAACGCTACGGCTAGTAGTCACTAAGTACCTATATAACAGTAAAATAATACTAGGTATGATAGTATTTAAAAATATATAATTATATAGATTTATAAAAATTAACGAGTCTTCAAATATATACGAAAGTATAATATATGGAAGTACTAAATATCCTACGAGGGTCCGGAGGTACGAATGTATAGAAGTACTAGAATAAACTATAGGGATATTAATATATAAATATACAAAAGCACTAGAATGTTCTATAAGAATATAAAAAATCAAAATATCGGAGGGTATAAAAGTATTTATAAAGGTATGAAATACGGTTGTATTATCACGAATAGTAGGTAAATTATCTAGGGCCCTTTGCGGAATCAATAGACCAGTGGTTCGCCGTTCATCCAAAAGGCTTTAGCGGGGTATACTACGAAAATGTCTTCACTACCGGCTCGTCTTCAGCAAATAGAGGACGCCGGGAACGAATAGGTCTCGATCCCTTCTCGAGTACCCTCCCACCCCCTCGCGCTTAATTTCCATGTTTCGGACGCACTGTAGTAACGTACCGCTCAAAGCTACATATTGCATAGCAGGCGATTCTCTAGTAAGACTTAACATCAGGCTTATATAATATTAAGGGTCGATACTTGTTCATAAGGGTAGAGGATAAGTACACGCTTAAGTAATAAATATTATCGACGCTATTATTTAATGTTACTCAACTCCCTAAGATATGCTGGGTCAGTTCTTTCAGTAACAGAGTTAGGTATTATTACATACTTATCCCAGCTAATATTGTCGAATCAGAGCCATGTCGGCGTCGTCTATCTCATAGTCGACTATAGAGTTCAGCGCCTACAATACTACAGTATTAACTACATGAAAACATAGCCATTTCTCAGTTGAAGTACTCACGTAGCGGTAGCCGATTTGGTAGAGACTTATAAGGTAATTAATCTGGTTAGTATGTATTCGCTTAATTTAACCACGGCCTGGTTAATATACTCCTACGTACTCATCCGCCGGACCGCCATTCGAACGTTCCTCACTTCCAGTTCCGGTATCTCCTCCGAAGACTCCTCAGTTCAAACTTCTCCAAAGCCTCCTTCATTTCTAGTACTTCCTACTCAGCCCAGTATCGGATGCTGCGAGCGTCTTCATATCGCCCCTACTATCCCACCAGTACCTTCTTGTTTTCGACCGTTCAGTGTTGTTCGATGCCGTACGCTTTGAAACAAAGACCTTGTCAGTAAGCGATATAGTCTAGATAGGCACATTGGATGTAGGAGCGGAATCATCTCCTTTACCACCGATTACTCTACAACTAGGTACTCACTTATCAAGCAGCTTTCTGCGATCCAACCCTTATAGAAGACATATCTCCGACCAAACCGAAAGAAAGAGCATCGAAGGGCGAAGAGATTGATCTGACTCGAAAACAAAGAGCTTAACTCAAGAAAAGATTCCAAAACATCGACCAAGAGCGGGAGACTTCCGGGCCCAAATGGATCAAATGGAACATTCCGTCCATATCCATAAGGTCCACCATACAAGAGGAAGGTGGACGGAGTCCACCTGGGTCATCAATGTTGTCGAGAAACAAGCAGCCCAGGAAGCCGCATGCATGCTAAGATTTACTGACGTTCGTCGAAGTTGAACACTATTTTCAATCATCACCACCAGACACTGACGAACAGCATTACCACCACACTCCCCAAAGACTCAAGAGTACCGGTCTAAGATCTCGACCACCGGCGGCGGGTTTATTAACAACCGCACGTAGTTAGTGTTTAATTTGTCCGTGATCATTTGATGGTGGCCACGACCTGGTTAGTTTGCCTGTACTCCTTGGTTCTAGTTTGGGTCACTTTCGTATTTTTTATGATCTTCACTTCGCCCATATGAGCGTCCACGGCCCCTTCTTCATCCCAATCAACACTTAATTAAGGTTGTTGTTCATGCCACTCGATTAATGTTGCCATCGTTGAGTAGATCTCTAACTGCGTCCGAACAGTTCAACAACGACTATCCGAATAAGTTCATTGTCGATTTTTTCGTCATCTGACTGTTGAAAGTTGGTGAAGCCTTTTACTCTGTCTACATCGTTCTAAATAATGTTCGTTGGTAAGCGGCTAGAATCGATAAATATTTAAGTGACTCAAGCTCAGTAATGCGCTTTATGTTTCAGCGAGTTAACCAGTTAGATATTATTTCAGAATTAAAACTTCGTTTGAAGCTTCCATGAAGTTAGCATGCCATGTGCGTTTACTATAACGTCTAGACTGGCGAAGACGCAAAAAGAACAATGAAGTTTCGAAGGGAGCAATAAAGCTATGAAAGAATTGATGAAGCCGTGAGAGCGATGACGCGGCAAAAAGTAAATTTCGACCCATGCTTCTTCCCAGTCTATCTTATCTTATCCACTGTATACTTCTCGGATTGGTCTATCTTCTTCTTACCTTTTAGACTACATCATCCACGCGGGACCGAGAGATTTGCATTGGAAGAGGATGTCGACGAAGCACTTAGGGGCCGAAAGACTTCTATAATAAGACACTCGTCTAGTATTCCTCAAAGCAAGAGGGCGAAGTTAAGAGGCGAGTGGTGCATTGTATACTTGTGGTACATGTGTAGTAGTGATGTTGGTCGTCAGTGTTTGATATGGATGATCAACAACAATGTTGGGCTGTAACGAACGTCGATACATTTAGCTTTTCCATTCCAACGTGTAAGGTACATACACGGAAGCCAAGGGAATACACCAGTCATTGACCGCAAAGTTGCTCGAAAAAGGAAAAGTGACTACTGCAATCGAAACAAAGTATTTGTTTCCAGTTTCAAAAGAACGGAGACGATTGTCATCCGGTAACAGAGATAATAAGTGACTTTACTCCTAAATGTCAATGAAGAACGAATACTAGCGTAGATGATCATCGCTACCTCTTATGAAATCAACACACCTATGTTTATATTTTGTGTCAGATCAAAATACCCATCGCAAGAGTTTTCCCTAGACCCATCTCGTCTCCTAATATGCCTCCTCGGGTGAATCCGTTGAACAGGACCAGCGTCTTCTCGATAGCTGCTTTCTGGTTGGAAAGAGTGTGCTGATGAGGATCTAATAAAGCTTATTATCCGCGACATGTTTAGCTTACGTAGCTCAATCTGAGGGACGGGATAGCGTAGTTAAGTATAACAAAAGTAAATTAGAGGAACAGGGAAGCGTACAGTTCTGCTGGTGTAATCTGGGCCGCGATAGTCGTGGATCGCGAAGGTTTACCGCCGATGGTAAGGCTGCCTGGTCCATCAAGAAGACTGCCAGAGGCGCCATCGTTGTCTCCGGGGATATCGTCGACTTCACGCACCAGCTCATCATATGCCATGTTCATGTCCTCTGGCGATGTTCTGCAAGCGCATGGCCGATCTAGATTCCAGGACGATGCTTGATGTTGCCTCAGTTCGGGGGATGTCATTGGTGCTATGGACCACGTGCTTTGTGTATGGCAGTAACGTTCCTCCCCGTCAAGACAGATTCACCGTCTAGCAGGAGGGCACGCAGACATAAATCGAATCTGGAGGTTTAAGAAGGATACGAAAGCGCCGTGCGCAATGCACGTTTCGCGTTTTCTAGAGTGCATACCATCAGTCGTAGGGACATGGATGAGACAACGATATCTACCCCTGTGGCGACCGTAGCATGTCTGCTCTGCGTCCCCTCCTTATTCCTTTCTTCCTAACTTCCTTCCCTCCCTTCCTTGCTCTCTTTCCCCCCTCATCCATCCCGTCCCCATCCAGGGCTCAAGTGTCTGCCTGCAGGCGAGCGGCTCGCACTAATACTCCGACTGTCCGTCGCCGTCTATGCTGCTGGCTGGCCGGCTGAGTGGAAACACGGCCTCCGGCGACGATAAGTAGCCTGGTTGTATTCAGGCTTTAACGAAAATCTTGGATGCGCGCCGATTCGGCCAAGAGGACCCCGGTTAAATGGCCTCAACCGCAATCTCAGTGGTCCTCTTGGGTATCGCGGTCGCTGTGGATGGTGGAACGATGAAATGATATTGTCGCCGGTGGGGTATTGTGCCTACCTACACTCTGTCTAAGCTGCAGTCGCGATATGGATGCGATGGGATGATGGGAGCGACGGGAGCGAGTAAAGGGTGGGGGCTTTGGAAGTGGTCATGGGAGATCCGCGACGATGTGTGATGTGTGTTGTGTGTTTGGAGACGGGCAAGCAAGCAAGCAGCATTCTCCATCCTCCTCCTCTTGCAGAAGAAGAAACAGCTCGTGGAGGCGAGCGGGCGGTGTGGTGCGGTGCGGTAGTGCGAGTATGTGCGTACGGCGTGCGTGAGGGAAGTGGTGGTGGTGGTGGTGGTGGTGGCAGCTGTGGTGGAACCAACCAACCAGACGACACCACACCCACACCCACACCCACATCCACACCCACAGACGCACACACACGCATACACACCACCACACACATACATATACACATGTAGAGAGATGTAGTAAAGTCCGCGGGCGGCGGCGGCACCGGCGTTATTTCAGCCTGCCCCGTTAGCCCGTCTACGCTGCATGAGCGAGATCTGTTTCGAGATGAGCTGGACCTGCTTCTGCAGCAGAGCGAGCTCGTCCTCCTCCTCGCCCGTGAGGCCGTGGTTGCCGATGTGGCCACCGGCAGCGCTGCTGCTCCCACCGCCACCGCCCCCACCACTACTGCTACCACCACCACCGCTCACGCCCGGCTGGCCGCGCACGATGCCTGCGCCCGAGCAAGTCGGACACGTGCGCGTCTCGAGCGCCGGACTCATCGGCAGGGCGGACCCGCGCGTCACGCTGCTGGCGGCGCTGCCCGTCGTCGCCGCTGCATTGGCGAAGCCGTTCGGGTACGCGTACGCTTCCATGCCTGGCATGTTGGCGGGCATGGTCTGGCGGCGCTGCTGGGGGCGTGGCGGGCTCGCGGGCCCGATCACCCGCACTCCGCTCTCGAAGATGAAGGGCCGGTCTTGCTGCGCGGGAATGGGATCGCCGTTCAGGTCGTGCCCGTTGATGTCGAAGCCGAGCTGCTGCTGCTCGCGCGCGAGGCGGTCTTGGCGCCGCGATTCGCCCATCGCGACTTGCATTTCGCGTTCGCGCCCTTCGAGGTCGACTTGGCTCGGGCGCGTCGATTTGTTGCCAGTGTTGCTGCTGCTGCTGTTGTTATTGCTATTGGTCAAGTTGCCGGCCATGTTGTTGGCCATGCTGCTGTTCATGCTGTTGGCCATGTTGTTGGTCATGTTGTTGGCCATGTTGTTTCCCATGCTGCTGGCCATGTTGCTTCCCATGTTGTTGCCCATGCTGGTGCCCATGTTACTGCCAATGTTGCTGCCCATGTTGCTGCCCATGTTGCTGCCCATGTTGCTGCCCATGCTACTACTCATGTTGCCGCCCATGCTGGTACTCATGTTGTTGCCCATACTGCTACCCATGTTGCCGCTCATGTTGTTACCCATGTTGTTACTCATGTTGTTACTCATGTTGTTGCCCATGTTGTTGCCCATGTTGTTGCCCATGTTGTTGCCCATGCCGTTATTCATGCTGCTGTTCATGTTGGTGTTCATGTTGGTGTTCAGGGTGTTGCTCAGGGTGTTGCTCATGTTGGTGGCACTGGCATTTGTGGGCCGACGGGGCATCGTGTCGCCGCGAGCTTCGAGCAGACTCTGCTTGGACTTGACGGCCAGGCGCTCGGTGATTTCCTCGCCAAAGCGGTCGCGTATGACGTTGATGATGGCGCGCGGTTCCGTGTCGATGGTGACGTCGAAGCCGGCGCGCTGGATGGCGTCCTTGACCCAGCGCTGGGTGTACTGGACGCCGCGCTTGGCGTACTTGGGCTTGCCGTCGGCATCCTCGTACATGTCACGCGAGCAGCGGTGCTCGGGATTGACAGAGCTGACGATAAGCTGACCGGTGTCCTTGTTGACGGTGGCGCGCAGCTTCCATGGACAGCCTTGGGCAAAGTGACGGCATTGGTAGATGGCGCGCGACTGGTCCTTTTTGTGGATGCGCGTCAGGAACTTGTCGCGGAGGGCCCAGCTGTTGACGGCGAAGCGCAGGGCCTCAAAGTCCGGGTAGGTGGAGCCCTCGCGCGGCGTGGGGACGTTGAGGTTCGGCGGCGGGCGCTGCTGCTGGAGCTGGTGCGGCTGGTGGTGGTGGGAGTTGTGATGGTCGTCATCATCGTCGTCGGCATCGTCGTCGTCGCCGCCGCCGTCGTCCTGGTCGGAGGGCGGATGCGGGGATGGCGGGGGCAGGATGTGGGCGGCGGCGGCGGGCATTGTGGTAGGCGGGATGGGCTGGTGGTATGGATTTGCGGGCAGGAGAAGTCCCACGGGCGCCGTCGGACTGACAAAAGGCTCATGGGCGAAGGTCTGGGGCGGCGGCGGCGGCGCAGTTGGCCGTCGACGAGGCCCAATGCGAGGCGGGTGGTGGCCCGGTGTCCTGCGTACTTTGTTAGGCATCCTGCGACGGCATGCACCTGCGTCGACAAGTGCGTGTTGTTGACGCTGACCCCCTGCCCACTGCCCCCCCCGCCAAGCTTCGCACGGGACGGAACGCAACATATACAATACTAACTATTCTACTCGGTCCAGACAAAACTCGTTGCGCATCCCGCCGCCAGCAGCTTGACCGTCCCGTCGTTCACTTGCACTTCATTCCACTTGCTGTCCGTCGCTGTCCCGCAATTTCCGTGCTCGTTCCAGCCCCAGGCCACGACTTTGCCCTCTCTCGTCTTGGCAAGAACGTGCTCGCTGCCCACCGCCATCAACTCGATCTCCGGCAGTCCTTCTGCCGGCAACTGCCCGTGGTCGTTCCTGCCCCACGCTACAATCTTGCCCGACTTCAACAGTACATAGATGCCGCTCCAACTCGCCCCAATGTCCACCCAGTCCACTATGCTCTCTACCGGCGGTATCTTTATCGACCACTTGTCTGAACCAAGCACTAAGCTCTCCCCAGTAGCAGGATCGCCCACAATGTACGTGAACTCCCGCCCGCAAGCTACGCGGTGAGCATGGAACGAGACTTCAGTAATCTTCCGCGGATTCCAGACGTTGGCCACGGGCTCACCCAGCTGCCCTTTGCGGCCGTTGCCCCAGCCGTAGACCTCGCCGTTGTCAAGCACGACGACGGTGTGGTCCATGCAAGCTGCCATGTCGACAATACGCGTGCCCTCTGGGGGAAAGTCGATGATGATTCTGGGTTGTGTCGAGTGTGTCAGGTGGCCACCCTGGCCCAGCTCTCCCTTGTCCCCAGTGCCGCAGGTGAAGACATCGTCGCCCGAAACAAAGGTAGAGGCCTCCCACGTGCAAGCACAAAGATAGATGATGGGCTCTGGCAGCACGCCGGCGTTGAGCGAGCCGGGCCGGAACTGGGTAGAGCTCTGCACCACGGCGCCGGTGGCGCAGCGGCCGTTGCTGTCGTCGCCAGTTGCAAACATGCGGTTGTCGGCGGTCAGCACAAGCGTGTGGTTGCCTCCGGCCGCAATGCGATGCGGCTGCACGATTGTCGAGTCCTCTTGCACGTGGACTTCAGTCGGGACCGACACGTCCTCCTCATGGCCGATGCCCAACTGACCGGAGCCATTGGAGCCAAAGGCGTAGAGCATGGCGTGGGGGAGTGAGTGGACGCGACTATTATTGCTTTTTTTTTTTTTTTTTTCGCTTGGACCAAATCAATAAATCCCTTTTCTCTTTTATGAAGCCGGTCTTTGGGAAAAGATGTGAAAGAGAGATGGGGCATGTTCCTGATGGTGTTGATTTAGGGCTGATTAGATAAGCGGCCCCCCGGAATCGCACAATCCATTAGCGACTCCGACAAATTTGACCTTGTACAGAGCGACAGCGACGACGGACTAACTCGACACCAGTTACCAGCCTGAGCCATCACATCAACCAACATGGCCTCCACCCAGAGCGTGCAATGCTTCGGCAAGAAGAAGACGGCCACCGCCGTCGCCCACTGCAAGGCTGGCAAGGGCCTCATCAAGGTCAACGGCAAGCCTCTCTCGCTCGTCCAGCCTGAGATCCTGCGCTTCAAGGTCTACGAGCCCGTCCTGATCCTCGGTCTCGACAAATTCGGTGCGTCTCCGCGAATGCCCATGTATAATGATTGGGCCAACACGACTAACGTATTTTTCTGCAGCGAACGTCGACATCCGCGTCCGCGTCTCCGGTGGTGGTCACACTTCCCAGGTCTACGCCATCCGTCAGGCCATCGCCAAGTCCATCGTACGTCCACCGCGCCCGGGATAATCGCAAAGAAAGCGTCGCTGGGAAATGGATTACTAACAAAGCGCGTGCAGATCGCCTACTACCAGAAGTTCGTCGATGAGCACTCCAAGAACCAGCTCAAGCAGGCCCTTGTCCAGTACGACAGGACCCTCCTCGTCGCCGACAACAGGCGGTGCGAGCCCAAGAAGTTCGGCGGTCCCGGTGCCCGTGCGAGATACCAAAAGTCCTACCGTTAAAGAACGATTGTACGACGGGGAGGAGGATCGGTCGGGGGTTGTGGTTTTGCTGGTACTGGGGCAATACATCCTCGGTTTTCTGGGTCTTGCGGGCGATCAAATGATAAAAGGAAAATTCTATTGATTGCAAGCGCAAACGTTACACGGTCCACGTGCCAAAGATGGGTTTTCTGTGGCATGAAATACATCGAGTTTCTTTGCAAACAGCGGCTTGCCCCACGATTCAGCACTTCCGCGACCCGTTTCTGGCTGGTAGATACAGTGCGCTGGGAGAGGTTCCGAGAACCATTTGAGCTTCAACGGCCCTCCGGAAGCCGCAGTTTCTACACAGTAAAGTGCCTGGTTCAAGCTTCTTACATCATACATTATTTCAGTGAATCGTCGAGTTTGCTTTAGTTTCTAGGACACTAAGTTTATAGGTGAAAGTAGGCAGCCTACTCCTACCATGCTTAAGATCCATACAAACTCGCCCACCCACGTATCCTACGACCGCCACAACTACATGACCCTCAACAACCTTGACAAGCGGCACGTCTGGGCCTTCACTATTTACACCTCGTCCTGTTGCTGCAGATAGCTTCACAAGTCCAGTACAAGAGACTTGTCCACCTAGACGTCACAAACTCATCGACACCTACCAGAACCTCACAATGGCTCGCGCCACGCAGCACCAGCGGCGTTTTGGCCAGCGTCGTACAGCATCTTCCAGCCCCACGCCAACCTTTGACGACGATCCAAGCATGTCTCTTAGCTATCATCTCATTTTGGAAGAAGGCCAAGGCTGGCCTGTGGTAGTTTGCACTAAAGATATGATACCTTTTAAGGAGATCGGCCAGCAGCCATCGCCGTCGCATGTGGCAGTGCTTTCGATGGGGCGTCTTGAAATGTAGGTCCTAGGTTCACATTCCCGTCAAACAAAGTTCACCTGATCTAGGGTAGCTCATGGGTGCCCCAGTCGAAGCTCTTAGACTTCGACCCGTCCGTCATCGAGCAGCTGTCCGACAAGCCAGAAAACAGTGAACTCAAGTCAGCGTACGAGGCCGTACTAGGTTCGCCAGACAAGCCCGAGATGCCTATCTGGCCAGATTTAGATTACTGGCGGAGTGAATACTTGGCGAAGACGCTCGCTTACAAGACCGAGTCAGATACAGAAGACGACGACTTCCCGATGACGAGACCAGCTGACAAGACGGTGGTGGATTTGGGGGAGGAGATCGACGACGACGAGCTCTTCATCCTCAGCGGTGACCCCATGCTTGGCAGCACCACCTCTCAGTCTGTCAACAACGCCCAGCCCCGCACTCCTACACCTCACAGTCTCCGCATGTCAGACGTTCACATGGCCACTGTCAACAGCACTCGCGAGCTCAACAGCCCTCGCAAGCTCACTCCTGAGGCCTCCGCCCCTCACACCCCTCACACTCCTCACACTCCTCCGACCAAGTCCAGCGTCGCAAAGCGCAAATGGGACATCTTCAAGACAGAGAAGCTCTTCGGCGAGGAGTACAATGTCAAGAAGCGCACCGGCACGGACACTCCGTCAAAGGGAGGTAGGAAGGCCAAGTGGATTCCGGATGACCCGCCGCCAGTGCCGCTGCCTCCGCCGTCGGAGCTGTATTCCAGCGATGAATCGGACGATGATGATGACGACGATGACGAGGAGTGCGACGGTCAAGAGCCGGATAAGCGCGATATTCCTGGTCTGGATTTCGAGAGTGCCATCGATTGGGGAGACGAGAACCTGGTGGACGACAGCAATGACCGCAAGGCGGGCGAGGTCATCTCACTGCCCAGCTCCAGCGATGAGGAACAATCCACAATACCGCAGGGCCTGGAGGCGGACGAAGGCGACGAGCAAGAGCAAAAGCAAGACAGCACGATGGTCCCCTCCTACAGAACAGCGCTTCACACACAAGCCCCGCGCAACAGCAGCAACTCCGTCCTCTCAGGCGCCCACATCGTAGGCTTCGACGGCAAATTCACGGCCGAAATGCAGCAAGTCCTACGCACGGGCGACTACGACCCCAAGATCAGCGCGTCTGGCCACGGCCTCGAAGGCATCACCACAGCCACGCAGCGCAAGCAGCAACTACTGCACCAGAGCATGCTCTACGACGCGGCGCGCCAGCACAACTACTGGGACGTGGCCAGCCTCGCCAGCGCCAAGCTGCAGGCGCTGCAGCCCTGGGCGGCCGCCGACGCCGTCATGCTCGCCAAGCTGGCGTACCGCGCGCCGTCGCCGACTGAGGAGCCTGTGGACCGCGTCTTGAGAGCCGTTACGGCTATGGCGCTTGCGCGCGCTTATGATGAGTTACGGGACAGCGATACCTACTGGGTTACGCTTGCGAGACTGTTGCGCGAGCATGAGGACTTGGCGGAACGGGTCTACGAGACTAAGGCGAGGATGTTGAGGGAGAAGCGGGAGAGGAGGGAGAGGGGTGAGGTTGGTGAGGTAGAGGGAGAGGGTGAGGACGACGATTGAGTGCTGGTGGTTGGGTGCTGCACTGCTTGTGCGGCTGCTTCTTGAAGAGGCTCGTCGACGCAATGGGGGCTTGCGGTGGTGGTGGTGGGTGCGGGCCGGTGCAGCGCAGTTCTGGCGCGGGTGCTTGAGGTCGCTGGCTTGTTCACGCATCGACGGTGGTGGTGGTGGTGGTAGGGTTTCTGACGAATACGGTTTCACGGCTGCTAACGACATGGCATGACTTTCCCTTTCTTTTTCTTTCTTTTCTGTTCACGCTTTACATCCCCCTCCCCTCAAACAATCCCTTTGTTTATGGCTCCTTGCTCTTTAGGCACGAGCGATCACCAGCCATCGTCCGTTTTTGGATAGCGAGGGACGCGGCTCCTGGCATAGGGAGGCTTGGGCTTGAGCTTGGGCAGACGTACGACCTGCTTACTTCGTTGAAGCAAAATCGAATCGAATCGAATTGAATCGAGAGTGTTGCGGGATTATGGCTCTCGTGGGTGTGTCTTGGCTGCGGCGAGAGGGAGTTGCTTGTGCTTGTGCTCGTGGTGAAAAAGGGGCTATCTCAAAACTCCGTTGATATAAGGGGCTTTGGATGTCCTGGTTCGCGAGAGTACGGGCTGTGCGACCGGTCCACGGTCTATACCGTAAGTCACAACCTGCACACCTCTCATGCGGTCATAACCACCCACGAGCACCAGCTCCGCGTCCCCGCAAGAAGCGACCCATAAGGAGCGTTCACATCACTTGCATGACCATGTAGACATAGTCAAAGTTTCCTCAACATTTTACGACTAAAACGCCTTGGCACATGTCCGCTTCTATGATGGTGGTGGTTGTGTGTGCTTGTGGGGTGTGCATATGCCCTAGTACGGATGGGATCTTGGAGGGTCGTAGGCGGTTGTGTGTGTTTCGTTGGTGGTGAGTATATAGCACTGGAGGGTTTGGCTACCTCGCGTGATGATGTGTTTGTGAAGGTATGGCTTGCTCTTTGTCCTCGTGTAGATTGGAGGGTACGAGAGTATTTGAATTCGCTTCTATGCTTGTGGGTTTTGGTTTTCGTACCCTCGTAGTTTGCTTTGGTGCTTTTATGTGTTTATGTGTTTGTACGTATTTGAATACTTGTGTATGCTTGTATATCTATGCCTTTATATATTCTTAAGTGCTTTAATACCGAGTACCTTTTCACTTTCTTATTGTTGCCCAGTGACTACCGTCTATAGCGTCGTGGCTTATCATAGCTATCCAAAGAGTACTCTGTCGGTATAGTAGATTCTACTCGATACGTAGTTGAGTAGTGGGCAAGTCATCCGAGTCTGACCAGTTCAAAGCTCACTTGACTCGATACCGCATCCACTCGTCCAAGGAACTACACACCTCCCACGAGCATCTCAACCCTACCAAGCGCCGCAGCCTATAGCCGGATAGAAAGCCGTCTGTAGAGAGCATACCCAGTCTTCTACAGAGCACCAAGCACACCCGCAGTGCCATCGAATCTTCGAGCCCAGAGCAACTCGATCGGGACCACTTCCCCTCCTCCAGAGCCCAGCATCCCCCGGCAAGAAGGGTGGGTGTGGGTGCGCGGGAGTCTTCCCCGCCTGCCCCCCTCCCCCATCAAAACCCACCTGCAATATGCACATGGCATCTCCCGCGCTCTCGCCCGACCACGGACAACAACACCCGGGGAGCATCGGGGCAAACATTAGCATCAGCAGCAACAGTATCCGCCGCCGCGCGGCCAGCCAGG